GGACAATTTGTAAATACATTCAACCACAGCTGTTCCTGAAGAAAGCACATCTCTGTCATCTGCAAACACTCTGTCCTCAAGGTCTCACTGTCTCTCACTGGCGGGGATCGCAGTTAAGACCCCTGAGCTCGGGCTCTCAGCTGGATCCAGCAGCAGCTGTAATGACCTGCATTAAGGGTTTCATTCGGCCTTGTAGAGACAGGAAGAACACGTGGGAGTGAGCCTGCACGTGAGCCGTGGAGCTCATGGCAAAACAAATCATCCTGGACTGACCGGTCATACTGGAGTGGTTTATTTTCTCTGCTAGTGATGATCAGCACTGAAGAGAGGTTGGATATGCGTATCTATAGCGTATCTAAGAGTTTTTTGTTATTGTAAAACACTCAGAGATAATTGATCTGAACAATTTTCATAAAAACTGCTGTGCTTAGAAATGAGCTTGAGATGAAAAACTGGCAGAAAAATCGATCATCATGTGGAGGAAATTACCAAAACTACCAGATTTGAGAGTAAAACTGTATAAAAATTAACAAATTAAGGAAAATTTGTATCTGTTTTCTCTCATTCTTCTTGTTTTTGGTAAAATTCTGTCTCAGTGCTGAATAAAATCCCAGTTATGGACGCTTGTAATGTCTCATAAAGGCTGGAAATTATGTTGCACAGAAGAGCATAAGGAATCTGGTCCAAGATTGTGAAGGGGAACCCATGCGCAGCAGATCTGGTATTCAGGACTTGCTCCCCCAAATGAGGCACCCATAGCAGCCTTTTGTCTAATCCAGCTATGATGAAGTTGTTCACAAGCCGCTACAGCGTTCCTTTTGTTGCTTCTTTTCACGTTATTCCTTCAAAAGTTTCACTGTTTGAGGCTCTAAAGTTGTCCAGACTGTCAGGATAGACCTCTGAACTCGGGTACCTCAACATGGAGGTCATGCAAGAATAACACCCCGGCTCTGGAGGTGAGCGGTAAAATCTCAGTCCTTCAGTGGCCTCTCCCTCTCTGTGCACATGTGACAGCAGCAGCAGTGAGTTCAGTCCAACGAGGAGATGTGGTCATTCACTCGAGTTCATATTAACCTGGTTTCAAATTTGTGTCTAATGCACTCAGAGCGGAGCAGCTGGCCGTAAAATGGTTCAACACTGTTTCTATTTGCACATGTTTTGGCCTGATTGGTGCTTTGTCAGCTTGTTTCAGAGGCTGGTGCCCTAGTTTGTACGATTCACTGTTCCATAAACGTTGCTTTTACCTTTGTATTTCAACTTATTTTGATGTCTGAGTTTTCTTACACTCTCAAGTTACTACTTTATCAAAATAAGACTCATGAGAATTATGGGTAAAGGGTATATGAGTTTGTCTGCCAATAGAGAATTTACAGTCATTGCCCATTTTTTCTAGTATGATAATGTGAACCTAACCCTCTATAGCAAGATCAGACACAGTTTTGGGGTTAGGTTTAGGGTCAGGGTTAGGGGTTAGAGTTAAAAAACACAGTCCAGGACCAATTTAGGAGCATGTTTTAGATCATTTGGAGTCAATAGGTACAAAAATAAAAGTAGGAAAAATGTCAAGTGTTAGGGCTACGTTAAGTATAGGGGTTTTAACTACAATAGACGACCGACGATCCTTGGTGATATTCAAGGGAACGAGATAGAGATCTGGGACTAAGACCAATCCACCCTATTTCATGTACTCCAAGTTCACTGGTACCCAAATCATGTCTCTACAATGTTACATTCAAAAGTTATGGGCAATTTAAAAAGTCCCCATTCAAGTGAATGGGATTGTCTGGGGCTGCTACCCTCTATAGCAACATCAGACAAGTGTTTAGGGTTAGATTTAGGGTTAGGGTTAAAATCACCATCTAGGAACTATTTGAGAGCACATTACAAATCATTTGGAGTCAGTAGACACAAAAAAATTAGGAAAAATGTCACGTTGGGTATAGGGGTTTTAAACCTTTAAACAGCCAGGAAAAAGGATTTGCCTCACTTGGCGTAAAAACGTTTAACCAAGTGAGGCAGAATCCAATCCATATTATTTTTAGAGCTCATAAATTGTTCTTAAAATCTAATAATGATCCAAATTGGGAAGTTTTCTTGCCAAAATGACCTTATAGATGCACATCATATATGTGGTTAGAGGGAATTAGCGGACAGATTCCTACGATACAGTTTAAAGAAGAACAGAGACACATACAGAAAGCTGACGAGGACGTTAAAGTGGCGTCACCGGTGTGGATGTTTATCACTTTTTTTTGAGAAGGATAAAAGGACTGCAAAACTTTGAGAGGAGGAAAAAAAGCTTTCAAGTGTTAACACACCAAATAGTATAAGTCATCTGAAAGTTGTTATGTATTGAGGAAATACAAAGAAGAAGTGGCTTGAGCGACTGTCAGCGTAATAAGGTGCCACAGTGCTGATTCAACAGGCCTTTAAAACCTGCAGAAAGTTTTACCAGAAACAGCCAAAAACTTAGATAACCATTGAATCTGCAGCACTTTGTTACTGAACCCTTCGTCATCAAGAACTAGCTTAGCATCAGGAGTGGAAACAAATGTAAACATGTAGGCCAGCTGTCCCCCTCATTATGAGCTGGAGTTTCTTCCTTAGTTCATGCTTCACATTTCCAACAAATTTCATGAAAACAGAGCAGGTAGTTTCCTGTCATTTTACTGTCAATCATCATCTAAATCACCATCTAAAGCCTGACCTCGTGACCTCAGTGAAAAGACCCTGAGTCAGCCCTGTCTGACCTTGCTGTACACCAAGCTTCAAGGACTCTGCCCCTCTTTGTTGGACCACATGTCCGCTCAGTCCCCTGTAAGCGCCGGTGACATAAACAAAGTCCTCCAGCGTTGCTTTAATCCCGTTAGACAGACCTGGAGCTGGGAGTGTTGCCAGGAATCAGGAGAGGAAAGAGAGCGTAGGGTCACAAATAGTCTTAAGTCCTGTCTAGACAGGAGTGCTAATGGATGCTAACAGCCTGAATGAGTTGACACGTAATCAGACAAATGTTTGAATATTAGAAATTTTGATGAGGGTCTCTGAACTGAAGGAATGATTGTTCTGGATCTTTGGGGTTGAAGAGCTCCTGGTTTTTGTTCTTTTTTGGGGTTTTAAGTTACCATGAAAAGAGTTGGCTCCCATTGTCAGAAAGTTTTTTTGTTGGAAGAGTGTTTAAAACATATTTTCTACTCAAGTTTAACATTTGAAGCTAACTTTCTGGGGGACTCGATTTCCCTCTTTGGACAAAGTAACTTCAGGATAATTATCTGATGACTCTAAAGATGATCCTGATGGAGTTTTCGGTGCTGAAGAAAAAAAAAAAAAGCTTCAAAAAAGTAAAAATTTCAAGGCAACTTTCACTAGATTTTTGTTTTTTTACCAACTCATTTTTATTTTTATAATTTTGAAGAAAAGTTGAGCCAACAATTAATCAATAATTGAAGTAACTTAGAATTCCTGATTGATAGAACTTGAAACTTTAAGTCTTACAAACTAAAAATTTCACACCTCGAAAGTTGTTCCAGCTAATTGTTGTTTGTTCAGGTACTTCATCTATAATCCTAAGTCCTGTGCTGTGAAGTATCTTGACTTATTTTACACCCTTTGATCTAGTTGGAAGACAAGAAACTTTAGGTTACTCTGATCACAAATCTTATAAGCATTTTGCAGCATTTTAAATCTAACGTAGTCACTGGGAAAAATAATGTAATATCAGCATTATTTATTTTTTTTTTATGCAAATTTTTAATCTATTTTTTTTTTGTTCAAAAATCTTTTTTTTTTTTTTCAAATTTAAGAATAAATCTTAAAGACTGACTAACATGTGATGTGTCATTTTTGGGGAAATATGGTTCCTGGATTAGTCAGTAGACAATCAAAATCATTCAACTGTTTCACTGGTGTAAAAAATGCAGATTAATCATCATATCAGATCATATAATCACATTTTAAATCAAATCAGCATCCAAAAAATCATAAAAGAATCAAATCGTGAGAAAAGCATATCGTCCCAGCCCTATCGACTAGCCTGCGCTCTCTCTTTGGCATCGGCCATTGTCAAACTGACTTTGGTCGACACTTACTAAGTTGTGTAAATTCTATTAAATTATGCAAATATAGGCTTGTAAAAGTATCCCAGCAGTGTTTCACTTATCTGACTTCAGATTGGAGACAACAGGTAGAGGACAATGAGAGGACTGCTGCTAAAATTGATCCATTACACGTCATTATAGTCAGCTGAACCTTACCACAGACAACTTAGGTTTCACAGTAACTCAACAATATTGTCCTTCAGATTCTTAAAACTAATCAGCGTCATTTTCTACCTTTCTTTGTCAATTTTATCCCCACACTGTTGATAAAGGGAAACACAGCAGTGCCACTGGTTCTTTCTTGTTCCTTGTTATTTTTCCACATGGTGCAATGTGATGAAATTCAAAGTGGACTCTGAAACTTTCCGTCCCACTCCACTGAGCCTGCAGCTTTCATTTTTTATATTTTTTTCTCAATGACAGTGGGGTGCGCTGCTAAAACCATCATGTCATTTTCCTTTCTTTGTCCGTGCCCTGAGACGACACCCCCGCCTCCATTACTATAATAGGAGAGGAGAGGGGAGGGAAGTAAATGGAAAGCTATTGTGTGAATGCTTTCTGGAATATGTCCCATGGCACACATTCAAATCACCCTAAATGGAGCATCCAATGATCTGTAACTGTGCGGCAGAGATTGCCTCAAACAGCTTCCGCCTGCCCTCTTTCATTAGGAACTTATTAAACCTGAATGGAAAGTGGGAGAAAAGAAAAACGCCCCGGGCATCACTTGAATTGTGACTAAATACCCTGTCATTCTGTCAAGGGCAGGGTGCAGTTTTAAGGAGTGCAGAGGATTTGCAAGACAAGTTGGAAATATTTCTATTAAGTGCAGCAGCTGGGTGAAAAATACAAGAGGGGTTAGCGAGACAAAAAAGGATGGAAAAGAAGTTTAATTTTTCCAACCAGGTCAGACTTCTTTCAAAGATTATTTAAACATCAAATATGAAAACCACTGCATGAGATATTTTTGTCGTTTAAGGCAAAGAGGCTGCAGAAGCACTATCTCTCTCTCTCTCTCTGTGTCTGTCGGGTGCAGAGTAAAGCTCTTTTCTCAGCGGGTGTCTTGGGACAGCAGCTCAGAAGGTGAGTCGAGGAGGACAGAGAGAGTGTGTGTAGTATTACCCAGAGTGTGCATGTGTGTCCCGGCGGTCCGCGCACAGAGGCTGGGGGGAAGCAGGGATGACAGGCAGAGGCCGGCAATGACACTCGGTGCATATGGTCTCCTGACAGCCTCAGATACTGCAGTGCAGAGACAGAGAGGGGGAGGACAGGAATACAGGTGCAGGCCCACACCAGTAACTCTCCTCCTGAGCTGTAGAATGACTATTATTAGACAATCTCACGCTGACATGATTGAATGAATATTAAAGATGCATGACTGCTGCTCGGATCATTTTCACAGTCTGGGAGGAGAGATGTTCTCATTCACCGACGACAAGATGATAAGGTTAACATAATGGCACTATAAATACCTCCTTTATATATATTCACATTTAGAAGAAAATAACTCTAAATTACCTTTACAGTCATTACACATAGTTATCACCCTTTTAGAGTACTCTGTGGCTGCCTGTTTTACATATAAGTTGACTGAGTATGGTCAGCCTACAGTGGGTTAGACTCTGAAAACAAACCAGAGCTATCCACAGATTTAAAACCCGAACAAAGGATGTTTTGAATCAATTTTTGGGAATAGTGTACAAATTCAAATACAAGACAAGGATTTTTTATGTTGGAATACATCGACAAGTTGAACGTCAACAGTGAGGACCCAATAGTAACAAACTCAGGGGAACAAGCCGCCACAAAACCGTGGAAGTGTATCTCAATGCTGTAGTCCCTTGCTCACTCCTCCTGGAGATGACTACAGCGGCCAAGAAGCTCCCGTGATGAGTAAGTATGAGCCTATTGATAAAAAAGTTGATTGGACACTTTGGCATGTGTCAGCGGGACCTGGAATTGAACCCCTGACCTTCCAATGACCTTGAATCACAGCTGCCCCCTTCATAAAAAGTAACTCTGCCAAAATACAATAAGATATCCCCCTCACTGTCTCCACACACAAAACGTGAGTAAAATCATTTGCGCGAATGAATAACATGTTAAGTCAATGCAAAGACGCGATTAGACGCTCCTACTACTACTCTGGTGGCACGGATGAGCAGGAGCTGAAAATGTCTCAATTTAAGCGGATATTTGCGTCGGGATAACTAATCAGCACGAAGGTTGAAAACGTACGGTTGTTCACCGCTATCTAAAATGGAGGACAAACTGATCGTGTTGGTGTGTGGGTGCCCCAAATTACCTTTTCTTTCAATCACCGAAACCGGAATAAAAAGGAGCTCGTCTAGAGGCAGGTGAGTGAGGAGGTCAGATTACCTGGTAAATTTAAAAAAACTTTGTCTATCACTTAATTCTGCCGGTTGAATTGGCAGGGATTATCATTGAAATTACTGTTGACGTGCGAATGAAGCCAGTAAATACTATTAATTCACGCGTATTAAGCACGTAGATGATTTTACTTGCGCTTGTTGTTAGTGCCCTGTTACAGTTGCCACATTATAACATTTCCTGTACCAGTCTGTAAGCTGGTCTAGTTTTCCAGTAAATTTGGACGCCTGTCATAGAGGAGGAATTTTTTTAATTCTGCAAAAATGCATTTAAGAGTTTCCTTTTTTTTTTTTAAATGGAGCTCAGGTAAAAAAGAAGAATAACTTTTAATAAACCAAGAAGAACTGCTGACATATTTCTACCTCCTTTGTTATTTTTCAACCACTGGATCATAAATCTGTAAGAGCTGCTTTGTGAAGCGCTCTCAAACAAAATGAAGCATTATGACATTAACAGAGGTAATACGTGTTTCAGGGATATTGCAAAGTTATTACATTAAGTTGAAAGGTATTTGAGTTATAGTGTTCATATTCAAAGTCCTGGTTTAAAGTAGCAGAAGGATTAAAAAATAATTTAAAATACAACTTCAAGTGAGAAAAACAGAGCTAGACTCCAATAATGTCTGCATATCTACTCTGATAACTCATGAGTCTTAGATTTATCGTATTTCTGCAAAGGTGGCTTTAATGAATGAAACGCTCACTTTTGAGAAAGCCTCCTGGGAACTGGTCCTCTGGTTTAAACCTCTCCGACTGGATTATGCAAAGTAACCTGAAGCGGATGTTTTCCTGACCACCCCTTGGCGTCAGTGCGGGAGCATTTAACACGATTAACACTGATTAGCAGAGCCGATTGGCCGAGCTATTCGAGAGTGTTCGATTGGAAAACTTGAGCCTTTTGTTGCTATTAATCCTAAACATGAGACTGTCTTGGAAAATAGTGAAAACATCAGGCGACAATGTGGTAAAATCACCTCTGCAGCTGCATGTGAATAGTTAATTAAAGCTGGAAAACATACCAACAATCAGACCATCAGTAATGCATTTCACACCATTACTAGTTACTGTAGCTCATGTGCATAATAAGCAATATAAATCAGATGCAGTGGGCCATTACACGCAAATGATGATTGGTGTAAGCACAGTTTGGTTTGCAGCTAATTTATTAATAGTTCGTTCGGTCTGTTAGAGCGCTTCACACTGAATTTGATTTACTCTCGACCAATAGGGGCACAGGGGTGACTCCTGTGAGGCCCTTGGTTATGACTTGCCTTCAGGCAGAAATCAGGGCAGCACAGGGAACAGGAGTCGGCCGCTCACTCTGCAAAGAGAAACAAACATCAGGCTCGTGTTTTCATCCCAGAAGTAGGTTGCTTTCCTCTAATCTGCCCGGTAACAGTTCTGCAGTGTGCATATGTATGTTCCAGTCGCGTGAGTGCGTATGTGTGTATGAGTGCGGTTGTGTGCAAGCATGCATAAGTGTGCATGTTTGCATGTGCAGCCAACAGTGAGTGGGCTGAGGGGAGCGGAGGAGGAGGAAGAGTAGGAAGTGTAGGAGGAGAAGGCCAGTGCTAAAAGCTTCAGCAGAAGCTAAAGATAGCTCAGAGCTCGCAGGCACTCACTGAAGCTTAGCTTTCTCTGTCAAGGTTACACACACACACAGACACACACACGTTCAGAAGAGGGACAACAGTGAGCAGGGAGGGCCTCAGAGAGCACCAGAAGCTCCTTTTCAGCAGGGAAAGTAAGAGAAACTTTACAGGCCATAAAGCTTTTCATGAAATCTTCAGTGTGTTACACAGGTGGAGTTAACGGTGTTTAATGTGTTCATTTACACACTGCAATAGTTTCACTGACACATAAGTGATTTTACTCTATAGAGTTTATATGAGAAACAAAAAATTGAGATTTAACTTTCATCAGTTATTCGAAAATGTAAGTCTTAAAGGTTGTAGATCACTCATCTATACGCTGCATATTTAGCTCTTTAAGGTTAACAACAGATAATTGGTCGATTTATTCAGACCTGACTTTGTTACTTTTGTTTGTGTTTGCAGTTGTTACTTGTATGTAGGGCTGGGCGATATGGGAAAAAGTTTATCACAATATATTTTTTTTCATATTAGTCAATATTAATATGTATCACGATATAAAAAATGAAACTTAACAGTTCTTATTGGTAGCATGTCTTTTGCAATTCAATAAGCTACTGCGTCTGTGACGTCTTTGTGTCTCTTTGACATTTTGTCGTAAGGCGTTGCTCTAGAGAAAGTGGACTGAATGGTCGGCTGTTTTTGGTGTTAAAGTGCTATAGTTGTGTGTAGCTGCAGCCTGCTACTATGCAGTTATTTGCTACTTGGTTCTAACTCAGCACATGATTGGTTCAGCTTGAAGCGGACCTGGAGAAACTCCCCTTTTCATTGGCTATTTGTATAGTCTACCAAAACATTGCAGAATGCCGACTATCGAAAAAAGGATATTGACTATGTTTTATATTGATATTGAGGGAAATTAATTTTCGATATATATTATCGTTTTATCTCCCAGCCCTACTTGTATGCAAATATATATATATATATATATTATCATGATCATGCTGTATGCCTAATGATTTTTCATCATTTCCTATGTTTGTTATAAGTTATTCATCTTTTTTCAACAGGACGTGCGTGGCAAAGAAAATAAATTACTTCAAGAACAGAGTCATGACTTAACAAGTAAGAAAAAGTTGAATCATCTCTTCAATAAAGTGTTTGTTTCATGAGAAGAGTCACATTTTTACCCCCCCAAAAGTGGTGAAATTCCAAAGTTAAGGTCTAAGTTTTAAAAAATTGTTACAAGTTTTCCACACAGTTTTCACATTACGACTTTCTCATTGAGTTTTGCTTCAGTTTGTCCCTTATACTCTGTGTTATCTTTCAGCTTCATTGTTTTGAATTTTATTTAAATGTCCTGTAAATTGCTTTTTGCAGGGTCAACATGCTACAACCTGAATCTTGCAGATTTTTTAAATTTTAGATACCTGGGAATACAAATGTTGATTTGTAATGAAAGAATATGAAACTGCAAAGTACTTTTAAAAAAATCTCCTATTAGACAACTGCCCCCAAAATCAACCAAAGACAATGAGACTCAAGAAAAGAAAGTATCAGTCTCTTCCACTGGAGCATCAGAACTTCAGATCATCTCTTATTTAACAAAGTTTAACTCTAACTTGTGCCCTGTCTGCATATCTCATATTAATGATCTCATTAAGATTCATGCAAACTCCATAAAGTGTTCGTTTAAAGCGCATTTCCTCTTGCAAAACTCTGCAGCATATGTTTTGATGCTCTTATCTGTCACAACACCCTGCAAACGATCTCCCCCCGCTTTGATTAATGACGCTGCAGAGTGAAACAATATGGTCGACTGCCTGGATTATCGCAGGGGAAGTGATAAATTTCAACTTCACACTTAACGTGACACAAACGTGCTGGAAATGTTAGTTTTTTTCAGGATTAACAGCTTCAAATAGTGACCCGGCTACTTCTTGGTAAATGTCCAGATGCTTGGGGTGTTTGCTTTCCAGTAAAAAGGATTTCCCGGCTCGAGCCTGACACTGAGTATTTCCTGACACCGTGATTAGAGTCTAATTGGTCATATTTGGCGCACAGGTCCCGCCAAACGTGGGTATTAAGCTGTAAATTCACTAAGATTACATGATCAGCAGTGGCGACACGTTGATCTACTTCCCTTCAGCCTCATGTCGATACGTCTCTCTCACTCCCTCCAGCTCTCACAGCTTCAGTCTAAAGATAGAAGTGATCTAATGAACGCTGAACTCAATCAAACAGGCCACTTTAAGCCTGTGTGGAAGTCTGTCGAGCAGATTTGCGGTTTTTCCGTAATGTTGTCCGCCCCAGCATTTGTTATAAAGTGGATCAAAAGCTCATGTGGACGAGGTGTTCAACCTAAGCTAGCTTTCCACACACTCATGCCCCGGGCAACCCAAAGCCAGGATAACACAGCATGATGTACTACAAATACTGGGCGTTTGGCACAAAAATAAAAGTGTTACAGGACACTAACAATGTTGTCTTTGGGATGCCTCAGAACGGTCATGAGATGTCTGCTGGTTTTTATCTAGTTTCCCCGCTTTAACAAAATCATGTGAACGCTGGAGGGACAAAAAGTTCTTCCACTATGAGTGTAAACCGAATAAACAGGTCATAAAAATGTTTCATTGTTGATCCATCAGCCAGAAACATAAAATTGCTTTAGCCTGGGGGTAGATAAAAAAGGACTGGAAGTTTATTTTAGTAGATTAAAAAAATTCTGAAAAAATTGAAGCACTTTTTATCAAAGCTGACATAGAAATTGTTGCGAGCCGTATGAAACCAGATCCCCGACCACCCAAAAAACTTAAGTTGCTGTTTAAAATGTTTATAAAAACACATTTTGATGGGTTGCAATCATTTAAACCCTGATATTTAATTGAAAATAGTCCAAAAACGACATATCAGGTGTTGAAACTGAAAACAAGTTTCCTCAAAGTTGCTGTGAGAAACTTTTAACTTCTGATTTGGGACCTCCTGTGGACGTTGTAATACTTCTTATCTATTGGGTTACGGTTAGGGTTAGGGTTTTGTTAAATTTATCATTCACTCTGAGTTTTTGCTGTTTAAAAAAAGACGTTTTCTCAGCCTGCTGTCAATCATCTAGTCCAACACCTCCTCCCTCATAGTGATTTTTCATGTTAAAATTTACTGAGGTGACTGTATCAGACTTGTTGCCAGTAATATTTCTTGTTGTTGTAGGTCATAAAGAGGCATCAGGATCAGTTTCAGTCTGTTTCACACCAGGTTAAAAACTCCTTACAGTGCCTTTAAAAACACAGACAGCTGTAACATGACAGATTTTGATGGGTTGCAAGTGATTTAAACCCCGCTATTTATTTGTCTATTTTATTTACTACGATGAATTTATCAGACTTGTTGCTGATGGTATTTTTTGCTTTTGAAGGTCATAAAGAGGCATCAGTATCAGTTTTAGTCTGTTTCTTACCAGGTTAAAAACTCAGATAACTGTAACATACAAAGACGAAACAATACATGATCCGAAAACACTGGCGATTTTCTATTTAAGATGGACTGAAGTAGAGTGTAAAAATATCCTGGGGTCAAACTAATCCGAATTTTATGTTCCTCTTGGAAATAATGTAGCCTCTACTCCAAAGAGAAGAGCAACCGTTTGGTTTCTCTTTATCAGTGTAGTTCAAAAGCAAAGATCCTGAAATGGTATTTTGATGCACATCTGCCCATAGCATGGAAAAGCAATGTTTGTGTAGAATATACCAGACAATGCCAAACTATATTCTGCTTTTATAACAACAGCATGGATCTTTAAAAGAGGAGTCCAGGCGCTTATGTGATTGTTAATACATTCAAAACATCAGTGTTTCAACTTAAAAAAAATTAGTTGTATATTGGATTTTAGATTTAATATTGAAGATGTACAAAAGTTGCATGAAACAAAAACTCAAAGTCTTCCATTTATACCCCTGTGTTGGACTTAAATGGCAAAGATTGGTCTGATTAGGCTCATTTAGAAATAAAAATCCCTCCATTTAAGAGAATATTGTTGTTATTGAGATTACGATCTTACATTGTTTGCTCTATTACATCATCAGAGTATGTAATCTCCTAACATTACCTCAAATCCAGACCCTTAGATCTGGACCAAAATAAACATGAAATCCAACACATGAGCACACTGGTGCAGTTTGTATTTGTAGCATCTAAAAGCAGATCTTGTAGTTCTGGATTGACATGCTCCTATGTAACCAGATTATTTCAGGGCTGCTGCCTCATGCAAAAACAACCCAGTCATTGTGCCTCTGCATGCAGGCTCCCATAGATTACATAAGAGCTCCTGAGCTGTCCTAATCCAATGTAGCATAAAAAAAGGGTTCATTGTCTGGCAAATTGGTGACATAACAATTTCACATGGGATTATATTATGTGGGGTTTATGTCATGAGTTGTGGATTTGCAGGATCTTTACTTCTACTGGACTTCTGAATGATTCGTGTCAGCTCAGATGAACAGCTCACCTCGTCTTTATTCACTCGTCTTCCTGGGTTTGCATGGACACAGAGCAGCCAAGGTCCAAAGAGGCTGTCGTGAGTCAAACAAACAGGATGTGAGAAACATGCCACACCGCCTTTCAGACAAATTTGTATTAGAAAGTGTTATCTTTTTAACAGAACAGTTATCAGATCTCACAAATGTTTATGCGTGCAGTGTGAGCAGTTTTTTTTAAACCGCTGTACAACCTTATTTTAGTGATTTATGGAAGAATTAAAGTGGGTTACGAAGCTGTAAGACGAGGGAGAAGAAAAGCCGTAAACTGTGTGAAAGCTTCTCTTTATCAGCGTACTAGAGGACCTTGCTAAATAATGCATTCATATGCTTTAATATAAAACATTAATAATTTAGGTGATTGGAGGGGAATGAGGCAAGAAGGCAGATACGGTTGCTCAGACGCTTAGGAAAAGTGTAAAAAAAGAGAGATGTAGATTTTAAAAAACTAGGAAGCTCAACTCTCAAGAGATCTATTAGAAAATTTTATTATGTATGACCAGAAAAGAGGGATAGGTGGATAAATGTCTCACTGGGAGATGTCTTCACTGTATTAGGGACAGATATATGGACTCAGACTCACTGTTATCACCCATTGGTTTCTGGATCAGAGTTTTGAAGCACAGTGCTTCCTCTACCTAAGAGGGAAAGAACATAAGTTTGGATTGGGCTTTAGCCTCTTTGCTAACTGCTAATTATACCATTGTGAAACCTCTGTGTAGCTTAAAGCCTACAGTGAAACCGAGACTCATCAGCAACAGAGGACAAAAAAACCAGAGGGAGGTGGCCTGTACCTCACTCAGACCATCCACATCTGCAGTTTCATGCAGTTTGCTCCAGTTTTGCATTAACTTGTGTTTGAAATGAGCTGTTAGCATCTTTACACTCTGATGCACGTGGCAGCGCTGGGCACTCGTCATTCGTCAGAGTCTTTTTGCGCTATTTTAGAAGGCACAGACGCTCTGCAGTCAGGTCCGCCAATGCTTCTCAAAACTTCTCAAAGGTTTTAGCTGGAATGCCAGAGTACGAAGGAGTTTAGGGCCACATTTAGGAAAGAAATTAAGACTTTGTAATTACTTACGAGAAGAAAGCCACAGGAAAATAATTACTTGCGAGAATAAAGTCATAAAGTAAATGAAGTCTTAAAGCTGCTTTTGTGGAGAAGGAAATGGCTGAACTGGTCAACTGCAGAGTTATCAGTGGGTGCATCAGTGGGTCATTCAGAGGACCTTTGTGGTTTCTCAAGAAACAATCCAACTGATGATCAACGTTTGCGATTCAGAGGAAGTCAAGCTGCAACGAGTCCGACCATGTCTGTCTCTGATGCCAGTACAACACCGGCAGCAACCTACACCTGCAGAGGCACCAACACCTTATGGCATATAGTAGATTCATATGATAAACTAAAGACATATGCGATTGCTTTAAACAGCTGCATTAAGGGATTTAGCCTCTACACAGACATTTTCAGCCTCAAAAACAGCGATTCCCGACCTGGTTCTTTCTGCGGAAAAGATGCATTTCTTGCATTTGTCCTGATACTTATGACAATGTGATGCTGAAACGCCAAAGGATTTAGTATCTCCTTGTTTGTGAAACCAAGCTACTGAAGTTCAATTCATCTAAATGCTCCAAAGCGCTCATTTAAACAACGAACAACAGGTTAGAATAGCTATTAGCTACGACTTTATTCTCATAAGTAATTACAAAGTCTTATTTTTTTTCTTAATGTGGCCCTAATACTCCGTCGTACCAGAGAGATGTATATTATAAGAACTTTTAGTTTTTATTCATTATTCAATGTTTTAATGTCAACCAATAAGAATTTAATCTGGAAAAGCTGACACTATCTGCAGATACTCAGTTATCATCTGAGACAAAAATGCCAAATCACTTGATTTTTTATTTCTGTTTTCTTTTATTTTCAAGCTCTTATCTTTGGGTGTCAGGGTTTTCACAAAGCAATAAAATCAATGTAGTCTAGTCATCAGGAAATCTTGAGGACTGTTTCTAATTTAATTTAATTTCGACATTTAATCAACTCAGGCAAAACTGAGCATTCTGTAGAAATTGAGAAAAAGATAAAATCACAAAATAAATCTAACAAGAACAGTTTTCTTTGTGTCAGACTTTGCAGATTTGCTGTTTTGGTTTGTATTTTATATGTAATAGTTTTCTTTGTTCTGAACATGTTTTAAAATGAAGATATGAATCAAGAAAGAGCAGCTATATTCAGAAAAAAACATGGTGTCGACTGAACAGAGCTTTGTATATTTGAGTCACATCAGAAACAAGCAGACAGCCCGGATTCAGAGTGACCTCCCCTGAAAGAAAAACAGCAGAGGTCACGACCCTTTCTCTCAGCTGTGAGATTAATCTGCAGAATGACCACCCAGAAGAGGCGTGTAAAGGCCACTATCATCACACTCCAGCTTACAGATAAGAAATACACATGAATGCACAAGTAGACACGTGCATGCAGACACTGGGAGACGGCCAAGTCATTCCACGAACAAACCTGCACCTCTCCTGCGGTGATCTGGACCTTTCTTTACACAATCTAGACGCAGATCAGCATTCATATTACACTCCTCCACTCAATTTTCATCAAGGTGACCAGTCAGGCAGATGGTTATATCAATCACACCTCACCATTGTTCCTACAGAAACTTCCATTGTTACGTTTCCTCCGACAGAAGACGAATAACCGGCTACAAAAGCTTGTAGTTAAAGCCGGACCGAGCTGTGGTCACCGTGAATAAAGGGAAGTCAGATTGATTGAGACACAGCGATTCTGCTATGAAAAGAGCTCAGGGCTAAAAGGCACCACGTGCAGATATGCATTACAATGGAGAGAGCATGTAGAGAGGCAGCTCCCAGTGATAGAGTACAGCACATGCAGAGACCATCTGGAGGACTCAACAAAAGGCTGCTGTTGGGCAGAAATCTTACATCTAGATTGAAGAAAATTACTTTCAATGAGTGTCTTTCTTAAAGTTCTGCTCAAAGGTGAGGAAAGGTGATTTACTTCTCGAGAACAAAGCCGTTGGAATATTTTTAGAGTACAACCACAAACTCAGAAAATCAATACAGCTGGAGAAAACGTGCTGCATTCTAGCAGCAGAGAAGCAGCTCTCCTGGTGTTTCTCAGACACTCATTGGTTGGATTTTACACGGCTGGATACTGTCTTCTTCATTGTTTTATCAGTGTTTCGACTGATAAAGGCATCATGCATATTTCACCCACACGTTATGGAGATGCTGCGCTCTTCGGATTGAGAATGTCATGAAATGTAAATGTGTCCTCCCACTAGATGCACAAGAGCCAGGGAATATCCCAAATTAAAATTCATATGCCGATAAAAATACTATTCACGTGTTGATGGTGGGCTGATATTGAGTCTGCACAGTCTGTGCAGCTGGAGATGAGAAATGAAGCTTTTTTTTTAAAGATCATCGATGGCAACAAGGAATTTTTTTATCATCCTTAAAGCTCTAGCAAGGAACTTTCAATTTGTGTTGAATTTGGCGCCCCCTGTGGATAAAATGAAACCTATTACGCAGTGTTGTTTTCATTGACTAACCCCTTTTTTTACACGACAAAGACGTGACGTTTACGAGCTAAACATAAGTCTTAGATGACTAAAATGTGTTTTTACGTTGACATGACTAGAGGACAACTTTAGTGGTGGACGATGAACAGAGTTGCAAAATTCATGAGCAGTCTAACGCTAAACATATATTCTGCAGTGTTGTTTTCGTTGACGAAAATATTTCATTGATGAAAATATTTCATCAACGTCATTGTCAAAGAAAACAACACTGCTGTTACGTCTTTGCTGATCTTGTCCTATACCATAGACTGTATATAGAATGGATGCCATCCGCCTCCTTGATGGGTGAAGCCACTCTGAGAACAGCACCCTCTGGTGACAGGCTGCAGTATAGGTCATAAATCCTGCCTCCGCCAGCCATCCTTATGGAGCTGTGGACAAACTGTAGAAATTAATTACACAGAACATAAATTTTTTTCTCCCCCCTGCTTGCGATGTTGACATGTAGTTACTGTAAGACTGGTTTGTGCTCGAGTCCTCTTTTTTCTGTACAGCTCCAGTTTTAAAAGTTATTAGGGGTTCATATTTTCTATGATTGACACTTGATTCAGCCTATGGGCGTACGAAGATTGCCTAGCTCACCCAGGGATACGCTGTTTGAGCCAAGCGTCATCACAGTGACTCTCAGTGAAGCGCGTACACTGCTACTCCACAGTGTTGGTTTCAGGAAATGAAGAAAAAACACGGGATCAGCAAGAGCTTTTTGGCTTCGAATCCTTATACTGGCGAAAGGCGAAACCAAGTTGTCCATAGTATATACAGTCTACGTATGTCCCGTACATACTGGGATGTTGTATAAATGAAAATACAAATTGATTTTGATGGGATGCAAATAGTTTACACCTGATATTCAATTGAAAATAGTGCAACTGTTTCCTGAAAATAAGGTCATTTTGAATATGATACAAACCCAGTAACCAACACTAGGTGGCTGTAATTTAGGGTGCATGACTCTATAGTGGAAGTCACTGCATAGGCTAAAAACCACTCCCAAAAACTGTTGTGTAGATGGACACAATTCACCACTTCATCAACAAAGTGTACCATGCGGTAGACTGTTAAAGACATCTGGTGCATCATGAATTAAAGATACAACAAAGGAGACCCTGGGAAACTGGTCACCTGGGATTTCAAACCTCAACAGAGTATTGGTTAAAGAAGAGGTAATGCATGGCGACATCATAAACATGCCCCTGTCTTAACTTACTTTAAATGTGTTAGAAAAATCAAACTTTATAAAACTATCAAGTGTTTCAATAGTTCGTATATTGTCTTTTGCACGACACGTCGTCCCAGTCTTTTCAGAAATGGTGTTATACATTTAAATTATAAATGAGCTTGAAACCAACAGTGTGTATGATTCTGCCGGCCTTGGAAAATATCCACCAGTGGGCTGTTCTATCAAATAAAAATATGATCTTTGCACTTCAATTTCCATAAATCTACACATTTACAAGCCGCTCACAGACTCAGTGTAGGTTTTTCATATTACGATAACAGGGCTAATATCACATATTAGTCAAAACAGGGTCATGTTAAATCAGATTTTAGCTCCCAGTGTAATCCCACCCCTTGTCACTGAGAGCTGATTTGCAGATGGACTCAGGTGGTGGTGATGCAATTAACCGCTCATGCAACGCCACTACGCAGAATGAGGAAGGGGCAACTGTCAATAAAAATGCCTCTAAATCAATGTTATGTCATGACTTCTCTGCGCCAGATGGGACCCACGGTGGCCGCTGTTGCAGGATCCTCAGCCATAATTTATACGTGCTGCATTTTAATGTTGTATTATTGCTGCAATGTTGGCTGCTGTCCATTGTTTTTTCGAATAGGCTAAGTGGTGAGGAGGATTATAGTGCAACATGTCCCAGCTGCTTGAAGAGGGTAATGTATTAAACAACAGCAAATTGTGCACATGCCAATGTTTTATAGATGCGGTGCTCAGTAAGAGGTAAATCCACTGTTCATGGAAATCCCACTCAGTCTGTGTGGTGAAACATTAACCATCAGCTAATAATGCCATGACGGTACGGGAGACAAGTGGGAGTGACTATCATGGGTCCCAGTGGAAGAAACGACCCTCAATAAACCCGAAATGAAAAGCAAGATTTTTTCCTCTCAATGTTCTGACCCTGGCAGGGACCTATTCATGTAGAGCTAGGAAGTCCCGGGTCCCACCATTGGAGGACAGAACAAGCATTTAAATCACCATGATGTTCCAGACGGTATAACCCTGAACAAATCCTGCATACTGGCACCTCAGTGAAGCGATTAGCATTGATTTCTAACCATATTAAAGTCGTGTGTCGTCCCAGCAGTGACCCAGTCATGCGGAGATGGTTTGGATCCTACCACTGGAATGTACACCAGGCTTTTGTATAATAAAAAGGTCATAAACCTGTGAAAGTGAGCACTGCAAAATGTGAAGTGTGGTAGTAAGCACTGACGCCTCGTGGCTAGCAGATTGTAGAGGTGTGTCCCAAACCGCATACTTCCATACTGAATACTTAAATTTTTCAAATTGAGTTTTCTAAGCATACTATGTACTCAATCGCATAGTGATTGAGTTTCGAGGGTGCAGTGTTGCCGTGCGTCTCACTGGAAATGACGCTGCGATTTTTTCATCTACGCCAATTTGTCATTGGCTAGCTCTGCATTAGCTAACTACCGCCACCTTTTGCCTGCGCTCATTCATCCACTTTTGAGGTAAAATCAGCAACAAAATGAATGTTCATTGCTTTTTACATCTCAATCGGCGCCAACAACGCTTTCTCCTCCTTCTACTGGCTGAAGATGCAGCGGTATGTAGTTTATTTGTGATCTATTTTGCAAAATCGTTATTTAACGTTAAGATGACTGTAGACAAGTCAAACTACTAAACAGTAAAAAAAACTTTTTTCCATTTTGCATTGAGTATACTCAAGATTTTACGTATTTAGTACTGGAAGTATGCGATTTGGGACACACCATCGGTTCACAGTCTGGTGGAAAACTTTCTTTGTGTAGTGAATATATTCTGGTTTTGTACCACAGCTGTCTTGACTGTGCTTTTGAATTACCACAATATAATGAAAAACAGATAAAGGTAATTAATCTAGCCTGACATAGTAATACCTTATTTAAGTGGTTTTTAGAGTATGGATCACACTGCTCCAAACTGACAGGAAAGTTATAACAACTAAGAGGGGAGAAATGTAAGGCCGACTGTGTTTCATTGATTTAGATTTCCAGTTCACAGCTGAAAGGTTCAGAGTATAAAACCAATATAAGTGTCTGAAGAGCCTAGGCTGTGCTTTTGAGCAATCATAAAGAAGTGTTGAATAGAAGGCGCCAAATAAAGCAAGCACTGTTATACAGACTGGGGTCAAGGGGTTAGCATTGCTGCCTTTGAGTAAAAAGGTTCTTGGTTCAACTCCTGAAGAGGCGTTTTCCACACGATACAGGAACAAATCATTTCTCCACACTGTGTTCTAAATTATAGTAATGGCATGGTTTAACCAAAAGACCAAGAAAGGCAAGCAGACCTGAAGCACTGCTGCCTTAAAATGGTTCTGGGTTCAAATCCTGACTTGGAACTTTCATGTGAGATGGTCATGTAAAGCCTCACACGGCAGTCTGAGCTGTGATTTTCAACAGCCAGACCAGTCTCATGATCTCCTTACCATCATAACTGCAAAGTGCAGCCCTGTATTATAATGGACACACACACACACACACACACACACACACACACACACACACACACACACACACACACACACACACACACACACACACAGGTGTATGCCCAACAGGGAGCTCAATTTTTTGTTCCACAAGATCTGTTGTTGCCATGGTATTGCACTGCATCTCCTTACATTGCCATGGAAACACAAAAATGATGACTGGCATGGGGCTCCAAGTGAAGTGGGTCAAGAGCAGCGGAGACATGTCAAGTCATTTATTTGTACAGGCCTTGGATTGTCTTGGTGGGCTTAGCAGACAAAAGCATCACACTACTCAACAGATCCTGACCTGACTTTATCTGAAAAATCCCAAAACAAATAACAGAATAATAGAATAATAGACATGTTGGATTAACCTGTGCTCAGACTGCAAATATTCAATCGCACGTCACCTATAAGCCCAGTTGACCTACTTTAAATAACTCATACACGCTGTGCCAGTTTGACTTAGCAGTTATACAATTGACCCCAATTTTGTCAACACCCCATCATGAGCATTTACACTAATCACATGGTAATGATCTGAATTTAATGCAATAAATGTTCAAAATGGTTTTACATGAATTATTCTGCATGCTTTGGTTTTACTAAGAGGGAGACGTGAATATATAACGGCCGTGCTTTTGTACCGCCTGATGTTGTCAGATGCTGGGATGTGATAGACCACAGTAGGTACCACCCAAAGATCCCCACTAAAAGTAGCTTCTAAGAAAACTCAGAGTAATGAATAAAGCTTATATTAGAAGTAGGACAGACAGTTTTGAGATAAAAGTCAAATTGTTGAGAAAAAAAGTCAAAACTCTGTGATAATGTCATGTGTTGCGTTAAACTGTTTGCCCAAAGTTAAATTTAATCTCTTTTCTTAAAAATTCAACTTTATTCTCAACATTTTTACTTTACTCTTGAAGCACATAATGACAAAGAAATCTTCCTCCTTTCATTTGATTCTTTCTCCTTAACCCTGAAACTCTTTTGTACTCATCAGATGTCAGACTGTGTTAAAATCCACGATTTGGACTGTATTTTAAAGAAACTCAGAACTTTCAGTATATTTTGATTTGGCATATTCCCTCTTTTTAGTTTAGATTATGACTGTAAACTGTCCTTTTCTGTCTGAGTCCATAGATGTTTGTGCTAAAAGATCAAAATATTGTTTTATTCCGTTGGATTACAAGATATGAATGTGTATGTAGATGAACTTCATACCTGCAGATGTATAACTGTATTCTTGGTGGATTATATCATCCTGAAATGTATAGAGACCCCAAACAGAAAGCTTTTAATCAGTAGTGCTCATATCAGTGAACATTCATCCTGAGTGCTTCTCTCTTGCTGACATGAGTCTTTTGTGGGCCCGCTGGCTGAACATGATGTCTGCACCTGAATTGTTGTGACTCATTAACCTACTTTTACAGACCTGTCCTAAAGGGTTTCAAATGGGAACAGTTTTCCCTCGCTATGCTCCTCAAAATCCTTTATACAACCACTGAAATACAACTCAGAGAGACAGGAAGTCATTTCTTTGCATATTTTTGACTGTTTTAATTCTCATTTCTGTCGCCCAGTTTAAAACACACCCACTGTTCCTTTGTAAAATTACAGCTTTGTGTGATTTTAAGTGGGCTTAATGCTGAAATTTAAAAGGAGAGCAGCTCCATCTTGTGGTTTTAAGTGCTACATTACAAATCAGGAAAACAGAATCTGCCAACGCATTTCCTGAGATTTGTCCAACTACTTTAAGAGATTTTAAAAACAAACTTTCCAATCAGACAAGTTGCCAATTTTTACTTTTAAGTTAACGTGGCATATCTTACAATATCTGAAAAGAGTTTTCTATCTCATACACAGCATCATGATCTATCTAAAAGCCTGTGCTGCCACCTACAGGAGAAAGAGGTGAACATGGTCTTCAGTGGAGTAAACGTGGTCAAACACAGTGCAAGTCATTCCAAGAGAAACACAAATAGTACAAAGCTGCATATAAAAACCTCCTGTACTCTACACTTAAGATAATTTTTGCTTTTAATTCCTCCATAAAGATCTCCATCAGCATGTCTCGTGATTTTCTGGGGTTAAATCTCTGATACTGCAAATGAAACTGTAGGAAAAGAAGAATATTTCCATGCAAGAATGGAAAAACTGGAGGGACAAAGGTGAGATTCAAACACAGTCTAAGGGTGCAAGCTATTGGTTGCAAAAACTGGTAACACAGAGAAGCTTTACATTGTCAACTTTGGGCATAAGCAAGTGAGGTTACTGTTTGGTTCCTCTGCAGTAGAAGTGCTGAAATACACTGGAAAACTAAAAGACCCGAACATGGACTCAGCTAGGGTGAGACTGGAACCAGGTCTACTTCAGCAAACTCAGAGTGATTTGAATGCAGGATCATTTTTAGGTAGCAGTCCAAACCACCACACCACAGGCCTGCTGGTCTGATCTTTCCTCACATCCATGTACAGGTAGAAGAAAACATTTCAAATCCTCCCTGACACGTCCTCATGATACCATATGAGGACAAATGCAGACACAGCTTACTGTTTTACACTGTTTAGGCAGAATAGGGTTTACAGTGAAACCATATGACTGTAGTGACACAGTACTTATACGCACATTTGCTGAATATTGGCAGGAAGCTATGCTAACACTTATAAGTCAAGATTAGACCAGCATGATCATTTCACAACAGCCAGTAGGAGGTTTTTGCATCACATGAATTGGCATCTTTCCAGACTGCCCTCTGCAATATGGCGGCGATGTCAAAGTACAGTCATTTGCACTTTCGTACATGACCGTTGCTGATGCCCTCTGATAAATGGAATGAATGGAGAGTTTCCAGACTTGTTCACCAAAGAGAATAGGTTTGGTAATGGCAGGCTAGCACAGCACCAAAGCATTTTGGTCTGTTGGCCAAGCAGACTACACATCACCCCATATACACAGGTTATGCCTCACACCACCGGCCCAGCCTGTAGCTTCCCTCCCACATGGACAGGTACAGGGAATCCAAGTGCTCTCTGTCCCTGTTCACTATCCTGTCCTCTCCAGGTGAAGGCAAAAAGTCTTGGATGATTTAAACGGGGCCCTTTTGGTGTCTGCACAGTCAAATCCAACACATGCATAATGTGCCTGTATATACTAAAAATACAATCTGAAATAAATTCTTAAAACAGTAAAAAAAACCAAGTCAACATGTTGATTCTTCATTAACAAATGTATTTAAACTCCACTCAAAACTCATGTTCCAACTGTTTTACTTTTCAATGGCTGATTTTAAAGGTTCATGCTTTATTTTGAAACCCGACAGCTGAATGTGTTGTTGTGTGCATCTGTCTCCCTTACCTGAGATTTCATCTTTGGTTCATCACACCTGCTGCTCCTGTTTCTCTCTGGAAACTTCAGTGCAAGGACTTAAGGTGGCCACAAGGGGGCACCTGAGGGACAAAAGTGGAAACATTTATTTCAGACTATCCTGTGACCTGACACCCAAATACACAGATATTTATATCAGTGTATAAAGGGTCAGTTTGGATATAGATTAAAAATGGAGAAAAACAAAAGCTTTTGCTTTTGCTTTATTCCAAGTGAACTAATCAGTATGAATCAATAAATCTATACAAAAAAGGACTAATAAAAAAAATGTAGGCTACTGAAGTACAACTATAGGTTATTGCGGCCTCGCTACTGTATGTTTTCTACCAATGAAAAGTGAATGTTTTACCTTCTATATACATTTAGATAGCCTACTTTAGTCAGTTTATATATATATATGTTTTGATGACAGCTCTGAGGGTCATGACTGTAGAGGTCAAGGAATGACAGACTGCCTGTACTTTTGTATTTCACCAGTCCTCTTCAGTTGCAACAATAGGCTTTATTTTGATTCACTCTTCAGGGTTTGATTTTTGAGCTGCTGGCACTTTCTCAAGCTGCACCCTGCAAAAATGTTCACTCCACGACAGCAGGTCAGAAATGTAAAAAAGATAAATCGAAGCTCTGAGAGCAGAAAGCCAAAAGGTATTTCTTAGTCAGACCAGAGTGTCTCTCGGCTGACATTATTGACTGTTGCAGACGGACATCAGAGAGCAATGAACTGAAACACGAACCTGTTTCAGACAGGAGAAATACTCCTCTTGTTTTTATCTCCTCTGAAAGCACCGATAGTTCACTCAGACTGAGAGGGCGGAGGACGTCAATGGTTGAGTCATCTTTCAAAGAGGGAAAGTTTTTACTGTGAGTCGTCGAGGTCTTTGGACTTCTGTGGGTACAGCTAGAGTGGGCGGCATCCATTGATTGAGGAGTGAGGATGAGCTGTTTTCAGTGTTTTTTTTCATATATCTGAAAACTGTGGGCACTGGACTTTCTGACTCCAGACATCCCTGTAGCCTATAAAAATGTACTCTGTTCTCTGCAAACTGCATGTACCAAAACAGTCACTTTTCATTTGTTATATTAAGTTCCTTTGTTCCGTGTAAAGCTTTTCCAGTAATTTTTGAAAGACAAGTATGAAAGCTGCTGTAGCATTGTGTGTTTTCTTCATCAATGTGGTTTATCTAAAATATCCAACATGAAAGGCTGCTTTTAATTACAACAAAGAAGACTATGCTCACACTAAGCCAGCGAAACTGGAGAAAAAAACAGCTCTTGGAGTCCGAGACAAATTTCCCTAAGAGGACAATAAAGTGTATCGTATCGTTTCATATCGTATCGTTTCATATCATATCGTATCATATTGTATCATATTGTATCGTATCATGTCATATCATATCATATTGTATCGTATCATACCGTATTGTATCATGTTGTATCACATCATACTGTATCGTATCATATTGTATCATATTGTATCGTATCATATTGTATCATATCATATTGTATCGTAATTTATCGTATCATATCGTATCAAATCGCATCATATCATATTGTATCATTTTGTATCGTATCATATCGTATCGTATCATATCGTATCGTATCATATTGTATCGTACCATATTGTATTGTATCATATCATATCGTATCATATCGTATTGTATCATATTGTATCATATTGTATTGTATCATATTGTATCGTATTGTATCGTATCATATCGTATCGTATCATATTGTATCATATTGTATCGTATCATATCGTATCATATTGTATCGTATCATATCATATCGTATTATATCATATCATATCATATTGTATCATATCGTATTGTATCATATTGTATCGTATCTTATCATACTGTATTGTACCATATCGTATCTAAGTGCAACTAATAAAGAAAGAATTGAAATAAAACTCTATGGTGCATATTAGCTGCTGTTTCTATGTTTACCTGCTGTTCTTCATGCTTAACACAACAGCTGTTTTGCAACCTTTTCTCCTTGCTTCCAACCAAATCCAATTTCCCCTATTCAGTTTGCACCAGTTTATGCTAAAGGAGCTGGAGGCCTGAGTTTCATCAAAAATTACATGAAAGCATGGCTGTTATACTCAGGCTTTCACCCATCTGCATGATTGCATGTATCTGCAAATGCTCTTGTGCTGAAGGCCAAAAAACTGTGATCCATTCATTTATTATCATACAGGTTAGTCAGCCCAACAGTTATTTGACCACAAAATCATTTTCAAATTCAACGATATAGACAAAATAAATAATTCAAACAACTTTAAACAACAAGGTTTTGCATTTACTATCAGACAGGGAGACTCTGAGGAACATGCTGTCAGCTGATGATAAATGATGTGGTGCGCTGGACCCCAGGGAAATATCATGACGGTAGCATCAACCTTGTCATCACAGCATCTTTTTTCCATTAAAACTGTGCGCAAGAAAAAAGGATCCAGAAGGTTCTGCACATCTTAGTGTCTTGCCAAGGTGTTTATTTCAAACCTGTAAGGTATTTATAATTTCGACGCTTCAGGTCACATGCCCTTTCAGTACAAACTGAATATTCTCAATTAGCAGCCTTGCTCTTATAAACATCTCCCCTTTGCCTCACAACGTAAGGTTTCTGAATTCAAGACCAGCACAGAGCCACACCTGCAAGCCTAAAAGAGATTCAGCCAGTCAGAGACCTGCTTTCAATAGCCAATCAGAAAGCACATTCTATCCTGCAAATCAGATGGCTGCTTATTGCTGCGTTCGAGTTACCTTGGAAGTCAGATGTCAAACCTGAGTTACCAGTGTTTTAGTTACCAAGTCGGAAAAAAGCAAAATCGGAGGCGGAAAACAAGATGGCTATATTTATGAAAGTTATTTTAGCGCTTGCCTTGTCCTTGCTTAATCCAGACAAGGCAAGCGTTGAAAAAGCTTTCATTATTTTTGACTTCTAAGGTAACTTAAAAGCAACATAAATTATGCCAACCAGGCAGTTTTTCTTACTGGCCTATCAGAGATGTACTTCAATCAGCAAATCAGAAGGCTCCTTTTATTCAGCCAATCAGAGACCTGCTTTCAATCAGCCAATCAGAAATCATGCTGCTCAGTAGAGGAGGCGTCTGAATTATTTGCATCAAATAATAAATGTGCCAATTGGTCGGCGGAAGTAGAACGGAAATTGTTCTACATATGCGTTGTTGGTCTATATGGGAGCGCGGTCACACTAACACGCGCCACCTAGCGACCTGGCATGCACATTACAGCGCTTTCAACCACATTGCGTTTTTGTGTAAACACAGCATAAAAACTGAAAACGAAACTGCACTTTTCCATTTTCTATGGAGACCGTTTCCGTCTAAAAGTGGCACTTAATCACAACTCCCTTGTTTGTGCAGCTGCCCCTGTCCGTAATTCTGTAGTGAAAAAGAGGTTGAGGAGGAGAGGCATTATCATTAATGTTATTTATTTCTCACAGTACAGTGTTGACTTTCTTCCACTAAAAACTCACACTCTTTTCATTTATTTATGGTGCAGTGAATCATCAAACATCATGTTTACCCTCAAATCAAAGTCTCTGATAATGAAGTGTCACTCACTATCAAGCTGAGTCACAGCAGCTCTGAGGGCGGAGCAGATGCTGGCACACCGTCTTTGCTGCAACGTCTCACTAACTCTTCACCCCGAGACAAATTATCCGTCCAGGTCGAGGATAAGCTGCTATAACGTTACAAGCTTTTCCTCTCAGGCCTCTTAGCTCCAGCCCTTTCATCTCACATGGCTCTTTATTGTGCTCCACCCTCAGTGTGTTCCCTCTCCTCTCATCCGTCCTCCACCATCTTCCTGATTCCCTCATCTCTGTTTTGTGGTTGTCAGCGAGATGAGAGGAACGGGCAGAGCAGGAAGTAAGCGCTCTCTGTGGGGGAACAGTCTCTCAAAGTGATAGAATAGCTGTGATCTATTTTCTGTTTGTTGGTGTTTCTGCCTGTCTACATTACACCAGTGGCATCTTTGTTTTTTATTGATGCTGTGTTTTCTGTTTATGAGGGTTGTGCATCTCTCCTTTGTAAACACTGGCAACAACATGTTTTTTTAGACCTCCGGTGAGAAACTTTTGGTTGAATCCAGCAAAACATAATTTCTCTTTACCAATTTTGCCTTCGCATTGAAAGGTTTTATTTCCTCCAACAATCTTACTGGGAGTGGGACATGACGAAAAAAGATGGTCCTGTGGAGGACCGTGACTCACTTTTTCTGACACCTACCACCTGGGAGTGATTACAGGCGTTGAAATTTGCACTATAGAAATAATCAATCACGTCACGGATGATGCCATTTGCTTAAAGCGGCATCAACATAAAAACTGAGCCCCTTTCAGATCATTCAAAAACAGTGTAGCTCGGGTTTTCACTCCAAAAGTGAGGTTTGTCTGTCACTGTTGTGCTTAATCCCTTGTCTACAAAGCTTACAGGCAAACAGGGTTTTGGAACTTTTTCCTTTTTTCCCTTAAACATGTAGTTTCTGATATGCTGTCTGTTCTTGCCGAGCCACTCTGTGCCAACGTTACTCTCCTAAAAGGCAAAAGTTCTGCAAAGTCTTGTACAACTGAAGAGTACGACAAACATTGCTACATTAAGAGCTCTTGACTCTGTATATGGAGGTCTGCACTGTGCTAGCCTGGCCCTGGTCTTGCATCGTCAATGTTAAAACCAGTAACTGAGACAGACCTTACGATACAATACGATACGATACACAATGATACACTATGATACGATACACTACGATATGGTAAGATACACAACGATACACTATGATACGATATGATACACAACCATACGATACAGTCCAATGCGATACGATATGATACAGTACAGTACAATACGATACGATACACTATGATACGATACAGTACAATACAATACGATACGATACAGTACAATACGATACAATACGATATGATAAGATGCAGTCCAATACGATACGATACGATACACTTTATTGTCCTCTTTGGGAAATTTGTCTTGGACACCAAGAGCTGCACAGATAAAGCCGCCAACTGATGACACAAAGTACTAGACCTAACAAATACACAGCCCACAGCCCACGCACATTGCACATACCCATGTTTCACATACCCAGATCTTGTGATGGGAGGTCGCTCAGGGGGCATCTGGCTGTGACGATAACGTATTCTTGCCTCACAGTTGTCATGGTAATAAGATTACTCAACAACAACAGTAGTGGGATATTTATGGAAATCCTGGAAAAAAAAAAATCCAAAATTAAATTAGAAAAAGCTAAACAAAAATGTGGCTGCATTTAACTGCCTTAACTTCACTAACAAACTCCTACGTTTTTGCTGTTTTGTGTTTGGGCTCCTTTATTTTCAGTGTTGTAAATTCATGCTTTTATTTTGAAATTCAAACCTATACATAACTTCCAGTACATCATCAGTTAAGACGCTGAAAGAAAACAGTTTGGAGACTTGTTAAAAGTAAAAATATGTGATTCATTAGGATCCCTGAAGAAGTACATGCTCTTACACTGTTTTGGGGTTTCACGATAAATCTTGGAACATCACTTTTTAAAGTGATCGACCACATTTTGAAGGGCTTACTTGCGGCCTGAGCCTTTAAGGAAGGAGCCACTAGTGTAAAGCACAATACAGCATTATCATATGCTTACTTTTGAACACATTACCAATAGTTTACATATTGAAAAAGACAGATATCGTCAGGACAGCTCTTGGTTTCATTATCAGTGCTGTCACCGCCTTGGGTTTGCATGAACGGAGCGTGGGTCTGCTGGATTTGGCTCTCCTTTATAGGTTGTGTTGTAATATTTAGTTTCTGCTTGTGGATATGATGGGCGGTGGAAGCCGGCTTGGAAGGGGGTGGCTCTTGGTCACCGCAGTGACTGTTAAACCTCCCTGGGGTATCGTGGGCCCTACTCAATGTGACACTAGTGAAGGGGAGTTGCCCACTTGTTAACCCCAGTGATGCATCGACTCTCACTGCCCATCTGTCCTCATCTATTTGAGACTGTGGGGGACGTGAGGAGCCATGTGGTAGGCTACCAAACTTATGAGTGTCGGATCTTGGTATGAGGGAGTGATAGGATTGTGTTTTTCACAGTAGTTTTATTTTGGGTTTTGCAGGAGGCTCTTGCCCAGCAGAAAGGCCCCCTCTCCTGCTTTTATTTTATCTTCCTTTCAGAAAACGATCAGACCTGTGTAGTGGATGCATGTTTCTTCTGTGGCTGCGAAGGCATCCTCTAGCAGCATGACAATGGGTTTGCAAGTAAAGGAAGTGAGATAAACAGGGGGAGGAAATTGAATTATTACAGGCAAGCAGGATGATTACAACTGTGCTCCCGAACCAGATCACACGTTCCTCCTCATCCCCGCAGCGATTGGGGTTTGAGATGGAGTCCCTCACTGCCACCAAATGGAAGCAGTGGCATTAAAGAGCGACAGCGGCTGGTAATGAGTCGTTAAAAAGGAAATTTGGAGCTTTACTGATCCCTCTCCCTACCAACTGTCTTCACAGTGGGGATTGGCTCTGCTCAATAATGTTTTGAGGATGGGTTTAATGGGATTTGAGGAAGTGCTTCTGGGTACAACCTCAACACACACACACACACACACTTCATATGACAAGCTAATCTTCAAAGCTTGTCTTTTATGTAGGAAACCATCATGACGGACTGAAAGCGGTGGAGTTTTATTGTACCCTCTGTGGTGCTTTTCGTGTGTGTGTGTGTGTGTGTGTGTGTGTGTGTGTGTGTGTGTGTGTGTGTTTCCTGCCTTTTGTTCTGGACATTTACACAAACAGTGAAGGATGGGAGATACTGTACACCCAAATTGAGAGGAGCTAGTGTGTTGCCATGACAACCAAAACAAAAAAAAAACAAAAAGCACACGATGCCATGCCGAGCCTCATCCACGATCACATATGTGAAGAGACAAAGACGCCGGCAGAAGCAAACAAGCCAACACACATGCTGTGTGTTTTATGTGCATGCATGCATGTGTGTGTGTGTGTGATATTAGGTTTATATTGCGCTCGTCCATCTGTGCTGTTTACAAACTCAATGCAATAAACAAGATATTAGGAGTGACAGGAGAAGGAGAACAGAAACGCAGAGATAAACACAGAAAGAAAAGATGACGATGGCGATAAGAGAAATTGGATTGGGGGTAAAGATAGCGCGCTGTTATCACCGAGCATGAACATCAAAGGCATCGCTGGCTGAGGAACTATACAACTTTTTAAAAAAAGTTTAATTTCCTAAGTAATCTCCCACCCTGAGGCTCGTGGGTAAAACAAAACTCTGTGAAGTAGATGAATTTAGCTAATCTCCGTCGCACAGCTTCAGGGGATCACAGAGGCACAGGGATAGAAAATTGCTCTGCTGCCTCGTTTTGTTCTTCGACTTTATGAAACAGAGACTTCTCTTCCTGATGGTTTATTGAGCACAGCTAATGGCGCGTCTTTCAGGAAACAAACCATGTTCCTGAGCGGGGATCTGTGTCCGAGAGGGTGACTGACAGCTGTCTCCTGCTCCTGATGTTTGTTCCATGAGGATGAGAGGAGACCGGCCTGATGTGGTGTGAAAACAGGGCGCTGATGGAGCAGACAGGAAGGGGTGATGGATGGAGTGTGCCTCAGAGACGAGATGCCCACGAAAGCAATCCATGTGGTTGTTGCACCACTTGCAGACAGGAGGCTCAGGAAGAAGACATGCTTAGTTCAGTATAAGCTGTTGTTGGAAAATTGAAGTCAGAGCCGAAGTGGAAAAAAACTGAAGCTGGCAGCAAAACCCCATCAACACTCACGCCGAAGGCCGGTTTACCAGCAGAAATAACCATGTTTACATCCTCAGCCTCAAATGCCTCGTACACACTCCGAGGAAAATAGCAAAAATCTTTCTAAATCATCCACATTTGACGTAATTAAAGTGAATGTTTTGCCTACCTTGGATCATTAGAGCCTTGTTTGGTTGGCAGGTGTTTGCCAGGAAGTTAAAGATCCACCTTAGCTCAGCGTTTTTTGCCTGATAGAAAGTTCATCCGTCTCTGAGACATGTTTAACACGGCCTGTGATTCTAAAGTTGCACCAAACAACCGAGCGTGCCTCATTCATGTAATCCGATCAAAAGCAGAAGACACTGTCACTTTTACAGCACTGTACTGTTTTTTTACAATGGGACAGTTGTGTCTTTTTTTACATCCCGTTTCCTTCTTCCAAGGTTTTGCTTGCAACTTATTTATGATATCCGACATCTGTCTTACAGGGATATTCCAGTGTAAAATGAATGGGGTCAAACACACTGTAACACCGAGAGATGAATGTTGCCGACCCCTTGCTTCTCTAGTTATACCAACTTTAGTAACAACCGCAGGATCACAATACAGAGAGCCACGCGCTCAACCAAAAAGCCACTCTATAGCCACAAATAATGCTCAGAACAGCACCTAACTTTATCAACAGTACATATAGGGTCCTAGCCACAGCACTGGTCACCAAACATCTTTTTAACTTTGCCTAATTTCTTTAACAAAGAGACTAAACACAACTCACCTACTGTCTTCCAGCAGCCACTTGTTTGTAGCGAGACCTTGGGTGAGTACATTGACTGCAGGGGGGTGACACAGCTCAAGGAAGAACATTTATAAACATTTTCTCATAGAAATGCAATCAGACTGAGACGCTAAGGCAGGAGAACTACAGTGTCTGCAGAGCAAAATGATTAATATGATGATTATTACTTCAAGGAAATGAAAAAGAAATGATTATAGTGTCTAAATCGGTGTTACGGTGTGTTTGACCCTAACTTAATTTTACACCAGAATATCCCTTTAAAGCCTGGCTTGCAAATATTTGAGCATGCACAAAACACCCAGGCCAGTTTCGGTTTGATTGAGCTGCATACATGGAATAGAAAACCCTGTCGTCTTGGTATAATAGTTCAACTTTGAGAAGTTGGATTTGGACTGATTTCATTCAGACTAGCATGTTTTACATATACTCTAAAAGTCCAGTTTCAGTCAGAGTTATGCATAGATAGTTCTTTGTAAACATACGTTCTACAACATGATGTAATTTTCTGTATGAGGGGGCTCACAAGTTTCAGACCTGACACTAACAAAATAAGCTGAGCTGACCGCTTCTCTACAGCAGCAGTCCAACCGCTGAGTGAGGACAAAACGACCTGGCAGCTCGCTCTGTTTTTATCTGTATTGCTCTGAAATGCTTCTTCTTGGATCAGCTTCAAACACAACATCATGGGGCAAAGCAATCGGGCAATTTTTGTCAACAACTATAATCAACCTGTGTGGTTTTTTTGGAAGCACTTTTGTGACCATCAGCCAAAACCCTGTTTTTACTCCACAGCCAGTTTCTGTTTTGGACGTTTCATCACAAAACTGATTATGTTTTAGCACTTTTACAAACAAAGGCTTCAGCATGAGAGAGAAATGACAAAATGGGGACACATTGCAGGTGAGTTTTCCCACAGTTGTTAGGATGATTATACAAGAACAACCTTTTGGGATTCAATGCTCCCATGTGGGTTTTTGTGTGAAACAATATTGTCGGGGCCTGCATCCAATTCATGATGTTTGTTAGAATTTAAGTTCATGTGGAAAAATATGATTAACACGGTCAGTTCATTTAAAAGGACACTGGAAAATATTGACAATATCCAAAGTATTTAGTCCAGATTGTAAAAGTTAAAGTTCAGCTCTGAAGCTCAGACTTCATTCAGCGCAAACCTTCAAATATATATGAAAAATCATTTCTATGCACTTTATCAGGGGTTTCCTCAGTCTTTTATACGTATTACTGTCTTAAATACTTGGTTCTTACTGGTTGAAACCCTATAACAATAAGACTAAGTATGTTTCCATGCAGTTGATGAGATCTCATGCCAGTCCATTACAGACTGCTGCGGAGTTTCACAGCTCAAGGAAGAACATTTATGATCATTTCTCAGTGGAACTGCAATCAGACTGAGACGCTAAGACAGAAGAACTACCGCGTCTGCAGTGAAAATGATTAATATGGTGATTATTACTTAGAGGAAATGATAAAGTAATGATCATAAATGTTCTTCCTTGAGCTGAGTCACCCGCTGTAGTCCATAATGGACTGGCCCGAGGTCACGCTACAAACAAACGGCTGCTGGAAGAGAGTAGGTGAGTTGTGTTTAGTCTCTTTGTTAAAGAAATTAGGCAAAGCTAAAAAGATGTTTGGTGGCTAGTACTTTGGCTAGGACCCTATATGTACTGTTGATGAAGTTAGGTGCTGTTCTGAGCATTATTTGTGGCTATAGAGTGGCTTTTTGGTTGAGGTTTGTTTATGGCTCCTCAGACGTTACTAAAGTTGATATAAGTTGATATGGACCCTAAAATTAATTTTATGCCGGAATATCCCTTTAAGCCTTCTTTCCCTTTTGATCAACATCTATGCAATCTAGATATCTGACTCTAAAGACTACGGTACTAGGCCTATATGTCCATCACTCCATCTAACTAACTGCTCCGTCATTGTGGTCAATCACTGCACCACTTTAAAGTCATCTGAACTCTTTCCTGGATGTCTTATGTCTCTTTTACTTGGGCGTGACAGTAGCCGTCTGTCTCTTGAGCTCTTAACAGCAGGAATTGACTTATAGTTTCAAAGCGGATCCTGCACATTCATATATTTGATTTTGGAAAAACTGTGTCATCAGTTTCACTGCCGTTTCAAAGATGGAGCCTCTGAGTTATCTTGTTGTAAAGCCACAAACAAACAGGATTATTGAACGCTGTTGTGGTTTCTGTTTAGAGGAAACAAATCTAATGTTGTGCAGTCTGGTGTTGCATGTGATTAATGAGCCATACACACCAGAGACAAGTGCAAACATGGCGTTCATTTTCATACATGAGAGGCTGTTTGGGTGACTGGGTTAGCAGGTGAATTCACTCACAGCTAAGGATGTCAAATTTGTCCGCATATCTTAGATATAACAGAGAGATTAACAAAGTCAGATCCAGAATTCATCAATGATTAATCATGCAGCTGGTAGACAAGGAGACAAAGTGTGTGTGTGTGAGAGAGAGAGAGAAAGGGAGAGGAGGAGACAGAGAAAGAGAGAGAGAGAGAGAGAGAGAGAGAGAGAGAGAGAGAGAGAGAGAGAGAGATTGTGGCTGCAGGTTTTTGCAGAGCTCAACACTATTTCTGACAGGATCGGTGTGTGTTTCTGCTCGAGTGTGTGTGTGTGTGTGTTTCCCATCTCGTTTATAGTGCCGCACCCTGTCTTCTGTGCGTAAAACCTCCCGCGTAGGTGCATCATCCACATCATCATCATCATCACCACCACCCTCTTCATCATCACACACCACGTTTTCTCCCAGCAGAGGGATAACGGCTTACCTCGCGGACAGGTTGGACTCAGAGATGGGAGTGGAGCGGAGGTTTTTCAGGCTATGACACGGACACACCGGGCGGGAAGGATGGCTCTCACCAGCCGGGAAATGTTGTGCTTGATCGGATCCGCTTGCCTCTGGCTGCCGCTGTTTGCAGAGGTAAGTACAAGTAATGAGAATTAGGTTGATTTTGTAATGTGGCCTGATTTTTTTTTAACCTCCTTTTTTTTGTCCCAAATGTCCCTGTATTGTCACGCTTTGATGACCTGAGCTGCGATTTTACAAAAGAACATCCAAATAGGCGCATGATTTGATAGATACTGTTATTGATAAGACCACACAAAGGGATCAGGTTACTGTTTGTGAGCTTCTGAAATGATTCATGTGTGTTTCTGTTAACAGCGATTAATTCAGGGTGCAGTATCTACAAAAACAGGGCGTTACAGGAGCGTCAAACACCTCTAATCTGTCCCTCAGCCAATTAATGGTGCAACCAAAGCGCATTGTCCAATTACGCGGGCTCTGTTTTCTCTCACACGCACGCACTCGCGCGCGCACATGCATGGTCTCAATCATTACCCACTCCCTTCACCCACCCCTCCGCGACAGGATATCATAAGAGAAACCCGCTGCTGGGGTCCTCTGCCCCCACGGTGATGTGGGATTGAGCCTCCACACGCGCAGTTTGAGCTTGTCACATCGATTCAGTCACTCAGACATGTTGAGACCTGAAAACTGGGGAAGCAGGTGTTGTTGTCCTGAGTGGGTCAAGACATCCTGAGTGTTGTCTGGGTGTCAGGTTTGGTGGAAACTTGCCTTGCCTCCCTGTAGGGCTGGGCGATATGTGAACAAGTTTATCACGATCAGTCGATATTGATATATATCACGATATAAAAAATACGATTTAACAGTGTTTATTGGTAGAATGTCTTTTGCAGTACAATAAGCTACTGCATCTATGAGGTCTTTGTGTCTCTCCGACGTTTTGTCGTAAGGCGTTGCGCTAGCGGACTGAATGGTTGGCTGTTTCGGCTGTACAGGCGCCATGGTCTCCTTGCTCCGCTCGGGGTTTGTAACCTTTTGCATTGTGCGTCTTCTACCGCGTGGAGCTGCTTCAGGTGGTGAAAACAATTTGAGGTATTTCCCGACTTTGTGTGAACATGTACTCGACATAATTTGCATTGCACATTACTCTGCACCAAAATACCTCCACACCACCAACGTTTTCATGCCAGTGTTGTCGGATTCACCTGTTAAAGTGCTTTGGTTGCGTGTAGCTGCAGTCTGCTACTACCCAGTTGTTTGCTACTTGGTTCTAATTCAGCACGATTGGTTCGGCGTGGAGCAGACCAGTAGCAACTCTCCTCTTCATTGGTTATTCGTATAGTCTACGAAAACATGACTATCGAAAAGCATATTGACCATGTTTCATACTGATATTGAGGAAAATTAATTTTCGATATAAATCGTTATCGTTTTATCACCCAGCCCTACCTCCCTGCTTTAGTAAAGTAACCATCAGTTTGTAACACTAAGTCATCCCATGAATAATTAGATTCATTCATTTTCATTTTTCTTCCTCCTCTCATGTTTTACCAGCGTGTACGTTCAGGGCTAATGTGCAGCACATGAGCCTTGTAGCCCGTGTAGAAGTCATTAGTGGGCTACAGTGATGTGCAGGTTTTAATTAGACTCACTCACTCTGGAGCAGCTGAGCATGTCACACAAATAGCACACCGCAGATTGAGTTTCATTTCACTTTCACCAGGAGGAATCTTGATGCAGGAGCAGGATGTATTATTATGTAGGCAGCACAACATCCAAGATATTTCCCTGTGGAAATCAGTTCATGACCAGCAGTCCTCTGTCTGTCACCTGAGAAGTCCTCATCAGCACTTGGTTTTCTGGGGTTGAGCTCTGTGTTTTAACAATAAGTTGGGATTGGATTTATTTCACAACATGGCAGGACTAATTAGTGTCTGCAAAAAGACAATCCTGTAATCTAGTGGCTCCATCACAGTCTTTTAAATTAGAGAATAAATTTTCTATCCAGTTTCTGTGAATCACAAAAGAGTTTTTTGTTGTGATCCCCAAAATGGAGTTGGTTCTCATTGTCTGGGCTGTGTCTCCGAGCCTCAATCCCAGTCCAGTCTCTTGTCCTCAGTGTTTAAAAATGAGTCGAGTTCATGTCCCTATTATTGCTGCTTTTTCTGGCATAAATACGACACCTGTTACATTATTTATTAATCACTGTATGAAGACTGCAGGGGCTGATCTAGATGCTGTAAACATGGGGGAATTGGCCCATACCGAGGGGGGTCCACAGATACACTCAAACAGTGATTTTTTTCTAATTATGGTAGGTGTGCACAGTATTTTTTAAGCCGTTTTGAACAGAAAAGTAGATTTAAAATATCAAAATTATATTCATTATTTGTAAAAAAATATATAAAATAATATAAAATAGATGCCATCTGAAAAAAAAGACAAAGTTCACATCTGAGAAATTAAATTGAAGCAATTCTTCAGGGTTGATTCAAGAGCTGGCGAACAATTTCATGGAGAAAGATAGATCTACTGTATATTACAACTTCAGTAAATGGGGCACAAGACTGAACCATAAGGCCAAACCAGTGCCCTATTAAAACTGATTTTATCTCTAAATTAGTCTAAAGTTCTTCTCTTCAATTTACAAGATCTAACTCAGACAGTGCTTGAGTTTGAGCCCGAGACAGAGGAGTTCATTCCCTGAGTACTGGACTCTTACTAGTACCAGTTTTGGCACGTCTTGGTTATTTTTAGAGAAAATTACAACTTTGTGAAAATGAGTGAGTAAAATTAACTTTTGTTGAAGGTTTTTGGAATGATTGAAGTTTATAAATTGATATTTATTTAAAGCTCCTATGAGGAACTTTTTATCTGTGTTGACTTTGGCGCCCTCTGTGGACAAAACAGTTACTCCTACATTGTTGCTGTTTCATGTCATTTTTCGGAAAGTAGTGTTAGATTATAAAAAAAACCTCCTGTGTCGTTTTCACAGTGTAATTAATCACTCACTGTGAATAGCTGCTGTGGAAAAAGTCGAAAACTTCTTCAGTGTACCTACCCCCACAGTTAAAGACATAAAGAATCACCCAGAGGAACTTGCCCGTCTTGTCATTGATGGTCTCATTGGATTTTTGTATATTATAAAAACACTTCACTGTGTTTTCAGCCTGTTTCATACCATTTAAAAATCTCCTCACAGGGGCTTTAAGGAGTAATTGTTTGGCCATTTTTAGCTGTTTTTTCACTCTGCCAGTTCGATTTTACTCAATTATACAGGTCACAATCACACTGTGCAAATATTGTTGTACTTACACAGACACAGAAAGTCTTGATACTGCAAGTATTTTGCAAAAATTGACAAAAATTTAACCTTTGATAAACTTGAATTTCTACTTGTAAAAAGTACATTTTGTTTGCTCAAGGTTAAACGTCTGACAAACAGTCTTTTAATGACTGACTGTAGTGAAGCAGAGGCTCTCTGCTCTATAAATCTTGTTTTATGGATGTAAGAAAACATGCTTGATTTTATGGGGATGTAAAAATAGGTCATCATGGACATTTATTGTGGATCTTATAACATCCTTACATCTGTTGGAATGACAAATCATCCTGCAGTCACACTGGGAATAGCAGTCCACCCACATGTAACACCTACAGAGCCTGCTGTTTACATTTGTCTAGACACAAATCCACCAACACTGTCCCTGAGAAAGTGCATTCATAAAGCCTCACTGTTTCTCCTCCGGACTTTATTAAAGCCAAATTAAACACAGGTGAGCTGGTGTGTGTTCAAATCACCTGTGTTTGCAGTAACGGGATTTGTGGCGAGTGCGCAGTGAAGGTGATCAAGCAAAAGAAGGTGATGCAGGGTGGATGTCAGCTGGAGGATGGCGGGGACACGGGCAGCACATGGACTGGCTTAAATAGCCCCAGAGGCCCCGGATCAGCTGATAGCCTTCAATGTCAGCCAAGTTCCCGCTGAGATCGGACAGGACAGGACAGAGCAGTGGGGAGGACGTCAAGCTGTGGACATAATGAGAAAATGTTTTCAATCAAGTGGCGTAGAGATGATACTGAGTTTGTGATGTTTTGAGCAGAACATCAAGTAACAATTCCCTGAATGATTTTCTAAACCAAATCTAGGGAATCATCGTAGTTTTTCATAATCATGTTTCGGTGCTCGCAGTACCTGAGTTAGTCGAGAGAAAGGTCAAAGTCCTCGTTATTGTTGAAATGTCAGGGCTAATCAACAGAACAGAAAAATTTGTACATTTTTTAGCCATGACGAGAACCTCTTCTGCTCTTTTTTCACTTCAAATTTAACAAACTGTGGCCTTCATGAACTGTGCAGTTGTGAAACATTCAGACCAGCAAACAAATGGAAAATTATCTGCGACCTTCAGGGTCCAGAGTCCCTTCGTGCCGTTATTTGTTTCGTGTTTCAAGCGCCCACAAACTCAATTTCAAAGCACCTTTCACTGACTCTTGCTGTTGCTAGGTTACCGAAATTGTCCCCATGCAGCAACCTCCAGTCTTGAGGAATGAAGTTTCTGGCTGGGACAGAGCAGAAGTGCTGAAAACTGCAGTTCCTTAAGTGTCCACTAGAGGCTGGCTCCAAAGGCCCCACAGGCCACATACACACCCATTCTAAAGAGTTCCTCTTTACAGCAAAAATACACACTTTTAAAACCTGGTACAAAAAAATTTTTAGTCTGAATAGTTCATTCCTCTATTCTGACACAGATTTGATATATAAGCCAACACTTAATGTTACAAGATTTGCACAATTAGCTGACGACAGCTTCAGGTAAGCTTACTGTACGGAAGAACCTCTCTACCTTATATTAGGTCCACTGAAAGTTAGGTTGACCCCCAATTTTCACTGCATCCGTAACGGCAGCGATTTTCACCGTCAGCCAATTCCTACCGGATCCATTTGTAAGGCGAATTTCATGGCGGGTTACGGACAGCAGGAATTGCGAGAACTCACAAGAACCCACAGATTCACGTGCAATCGCGCGATAACAAGTTGCCTCTAGCCACATAGGCTCACCATATAAGCAGTAGATTTTGTCCTTCCAGAGGAGGAAATCTACTTCTAGACTTATAAAATCAGCATCCTCTCATCCATGGTGTCATCGGGGTGAAATGCTATCTATAAAACTTTCGGTTGTTCGTCTCCGCCCGTTTGCATGGTGTGAAATACGATCCGCCTGAAACACTGTTTTATTTTGAAAAGAAGATTTTGTGTTTGTGCCGACTTCCTTTCCAGCACGGGTTAATCTGTGCTGAATTTATCTGGTATGCTCCGGCGTCCGGCAATCTGCAGTGGTACAGAATGAAGCCGGTGGAAATTGACACATTAACTCGGATGGTTACGATCAGCTTCGATCTGCGGATACGGCCTTTTTGTAGCCGTTTTGAATTCAGTGGAAATTGGGGGTAAAACGGTTCAGGGGAAAGCAACACTGGCGGTGTTCTAAAATCAAAACCATTTTTTAATCTGACATCGACAAACTACAGCTGACACGGGGGTGATTTTGCACTTATGACACTGAGTGCAAAAATGTCAAACTGCTTTGTTTAGAAACTAGTGGACACAGACTCTTACTGATTGAAAACAACCTCTGAAAAACTGACAAATTTTCCAGTTTCCTCTCTTTAAACTCAGCAGTTGATTGCTTTCATAACCTTGGCAAACAGTTTATTTTTGTCAAAAAATTGGATCAACAAGCTTTGAGAATAATCAAGTTTAGACACTGCTCTAACCGACGCTTTTGGTTTCCATTTCAATGATTATACAGTTTTATAACAGTTGATGTTCAATATTTAGACTTTACAAGGTGAGAAACAGAAATGCACTCCATGAAGTAACATATGACGACCGAGAAAAGAAGAAAGAGCAGGTTTATATCGATCAATCATTCAGCCAATAGCGCCAATTTAAAACAAACGTTATCTGTATTTTTGTCAAAGGATAGTAAAAATGCTGTCATTACATTTTAGATGAAGCTCCTCTGAAGGTTTTCGTCACTGTTGGTCTTTTCTGGACTGGTGCACGGTGTTCATTCATGGACTCAGTGTCTTTGTGAGGGAGGAAGGTCAGACATCCAGTTTCCTGATGTGCATTTTCTCCCTGCAGTTCTGGGGAGAATAAAGTGCTGAACAGAGTTATTTATACACCGTGACTTCAGGTCTCCTAGGATCCATAATTCAGGACCCGGTGGAAAGTTTTTTTTTTTCCCTCTAATTACTGAAGTCATTTTGATGCGATAATTCCAGAACTGTGACACTGCATGTACATGAGATCTGAGTGCATGTTCAATGTTTTTATCCCGCAGGTAGCGTCGCCCTATTTAACCTCTGCTTATTCTGTGAAGTACTCCAGTCATGAAACATTAAATAAATGACAGACATGCTCTCTCTTTAGTTGCTTTCAGTGTCCTTCACTGAAACTCAAAGTGATTTTGAAGCTTTTTTTCTGGATTTATGACAGAATAAATGATTTTTGCTGTCCTGTTTTCTTGTGTAACACGTGGTGAAGAGGTTGTGAAGCCTAATTGGATGATAGAAACTTTATCAGACACTGTGTAACCGCAAGTCAGGGTCACACTTTTCACTATTTAGTGCTAAAAGCTTCAGGTGTAAAGTCCACTGTGGGGTCGGTCCATGCAGCAGTAATCTCATTCATTCAGCGTGTGTGTGTGTTTGCGTGTGTCTGCGTGGCCATGCACCGGGCGCAGCTGTGAGAGAGTCATAACTGATTACCTGGAAATCGAGCCGTGTGATTGATGTGAATGGAGATATCAACACCCATGTTCACGAGCACAGGTCACCTGCTCTCGCTGTAATACGATTAGGCTGAGAAGAGGCTTGTGGGTAATGTTTGCGAAGCGTGTGTGCTGTACTCCGCTGTGTAGAGGTGCGACCTGATTTCTACAGAAACGCACTCATGTCAGAGACTTTGATGCCGTCTTGTTCGATCTAGATGTGCGTGTGTTTAACGCCACACACTCCACTGTCACACCTGCCTGACAGCTGTCCCCCGGATAAAACGTGTTTAATCTTTGTAAACTGCTCCTCAGTTTATGATCCTACCTCCTCTTCATGTCTTAGTTCTGCGGTTTTTTCGCTTTGACCTGACGGTGTTTTATATTCAGAGCGTACACATCCACGGAGGCCGAGGCAGAATCCCGTTATAGGAAATGTTAAAACTCAAACGGCTCTGTTTGTACAAGAATGAGTCAGACTCATCCTTTAAGTGGCTGTTGAAATTCATCGCTTATAAGCAGAGAACCATCAAATTTATGGGATTAGTCTGAGCGCCGCAGTTATAGTACGCCTCAGAGGAGGACGCCATACCCTGAAGATGACAACGCTTTTCCAGCACTTCTGTGGATGCACTGTTTTTACTCTGTTTATTGCAGCAGCATGAAAAAAAGCATATTTCTCTGATCTTCAAAGACAAAAAAACACTCTGATGTTGATACGATTCAACCATGAGAACCAACTCTCCGAGGCCTGACATGAAAAACCCTCCGCTTTAGAGCTGGCAGATTTGTTGAAGCTCGTACGGGTCAGTTTGGCAGGACATAAGAAGAGTTCTGTTAGGAGGTTAAGAGGGGAAAGCCTCGCTGTGACTTAGAGATATTTAAAATTAGAACAGATGGACAAAAAAAGTGAGAGACCTCTCTTACAGATAATGACAATAGGGCTAGGCGATAATACAATAGCGATATATATCAAACAATTAATTTCCCTCAAACATGGTCGATATGCTTTTCGGTAGTCAGCATTCTGCCATGTTTTTGTAGACTATACGAATAGCCAATGAAAGGGGAGTTGCTCCGGGTCTGCTTCATGCTGAACCAATCATGTGCTGAATAAGAACCAAGTAGCAAACAACTGCATAGTAGCAGGCTGCAGCTACACGCAACCACAGCACTTAAACACGTGAAGCCGACAACACTTTAGGTGAGAACAAAAGAAAATGAGCGCTATCCTGGAAGAAATGCAGGTGAAGACTCAACAGATGACGACATCATTGACAACACTGGCACGACAATGTCAGTGGTGTGGAGGTATTTTTGTTTTCTGAGGTCGGACATGAAGCAGAGTAAAGTGCACTGCAAATTATGTCGAGTACATGTTCTCGCAAAGTCTGGGAATACAACAAATCTTTTCACCAAAAAGTTACAAACCCCGAGTGGAGCAAGGAGCCCATTCAGTCGCTTTCTCTAGCACAACGCCTTACGACAAAACGCCAAAGAGACACAAAGACCTCACAGATGCAGTAGCTTATTGTTTTGCAAAAGACATGCTACTAATAAGCACTGTTAAATTTCATTTTTTTATATCATGATATTTATCGATATCAACTGATATGAAAAAAATATACCGTGATAAACTTTTTCCCATATCGCCCTAACCAACCACAGAAGACACCACGCAATATAAACCAATCAGAAGCAACGTAAGGCGGGTCTTGGTGTCTCTAACTATCTTTCACACACAACAGCGCCAACATTTAAAACCCACTCAACGTACTGCAATATGGACAAATGAATGTATTTTGTCAAAATTATTGTTACAATTTTCATTTATAATTTCTGGTTAATTAGGACGAGCATTAGGGAGAGCAGCTGGCATGGGGGTGAGGTCATCAGTCTTAAGTTATAAATCGACGTTAAAAAAGGAAACAAAAAATTCGCCGAACACATCATAACGCTAACGTCTCACTCTTGTCATTTTCTGAAACTTGGCAGCCCTCTTATTCTATAACTTTATACATTTTACTATCACTGTTATAATTTAAATGACTTAGTAGTGACTTGGTAATTCTCTCTACACGGATTGCAGGACAGGATCTTGGTCCGGTTTTTCCTATCAGAAATCTTTGTGTAGTATCTCCTCAGACTGCTCTCACAACTGTCACTGTTTGCCACAGTGTCAACAGGCAGAGGTGAAATGTGTCAGACTACGTGACACGTGTGATCTAGTCGTCCTTGGCGTCACTTTTCGACCAGCAGTACGTTTGAATTTCTGTTCTCTATGGTAACCTTCTGCATCTCTTCCTGTCTGCAGGTGGTGGTTGAGGACAGCTACTTAAACGAGGTGCAGAACTCAGGTAAGCCGGAGCTGATATTCTGAACACAACCCTCTCCTCTGTGGCTATAAATCCACTTTCCCTCCATCATGTCTCTCATCCTCCTCCTACATCATCTCATCCCTTCTGCTCTCTTTGTTTCTCCCTCCAGTTAAACCCACATTCTGACTCAGACAGTCATAAAACCCCTCCATGCTGACGCCTCCTCTCTGTTTTTTTTTCCTACATTCAGTCTTACCTCTCCTCTCCCCCTACGGCCTGCACCCCTCTGCATTTCATTTTTCCTCCCTGCAAGAAAAGGAGGTGGCGTTGATGGGGGTTGGGGCGAGGAACTCCTCCTACTTGGGATCATTTCCAGTGCTGATATTCCTCTGTTTTTGCACACATTGACAAATGAGTGAAAATAATAACCTATGATTGCAAACACACCTCTTATTTTTCTATAAAATCACCCGCCATATCAGTTTGACTCCACCTCAGCGCTCTTTTAACACGCCACAAATATTCTTAGTATTCAGCAAATGGTGCACAAGATGCTGGTCTGCTGCGGCAATCTCGTCCAGAGCTCCTTTGTTGCAAAAATAAATGAATTAAAAGCAGGTGAAATAGAGAAAAGCAGATTTCCTTTTGCTCAGTTTTGATCAAATTGTGTATTTTATGCAGAAGATGTCGTCGCCAAACGCCCACCCCCCATACAGCCAGCCTCCGAGTGTGAACCGTGTCAAATACTCATTGTGGCTGGGAAATGGATTATGGGAGCAGGGAGACTGAGTGTTCCCATGGCGATGGGCAGAGTAGCGTTGTCGTGGCAATGAGGAGGGTGTTAGCTCCGAGTGTTGTGTGTGTGTGTGTGTGTGCGTGGAGATTGATGAAAGCCTTTAAATGAGACTTAGAGGGAGAGGCTGACAAGAGGAAGTGAGATTTCAAATTAAAGGGGATTCAAAGATGGAGAACAGACGTAGAGAGAGGTAATATAAACAAATGTTCAGTCAAGGACGTTCTGCGTCCTCTGATGATGGAAATGTGGGATGAAACCAAGACATGACAATGAAACTGTAGTTACGTAATGCTTTTTTTCTCTCTTTTACTTAATCAAAATTTCATCACCCCAGCTATGAAACTTTTATCACCATTACAGAGCAAATACAGCTTTCAGAAATATTTTTAATTATTCATTTAGGTCATGATCTTCAACACAAATCAAAGAACAGCAAACATGCCATTTTAAAGCTCGTAAAAACTCGCCGATTTGAAAATTCTTAACAACATAACAAGCAGATAATGTCCTGAGACTGTTTGAATCATTTGCCATGTAAGCCAGTCTTCAGAGCAGCTCCTTTACTCGATGATTAAACTCTCATATCTGCTTCAAAGATGCTCCTCTCAACAATGTTTCAAGAATAAAATATTACAAAACGATTGAAAGAAAGAAAGAACAGTTTAAGTTTTAACACAGGTGTATTAAGTCACAAATTTATATGCCTTGGTTACTATTATGTCATTAACATGTAAGACAGAATTACACAATGTAAATTTCCATTTGTTACTGATTTAATGTTGAAATAAAAAAAAATGAAAATCCTCAAAATTAACTACAACGGAGCTCAAATTCTCAATCAAATATTCTCGTTTTATTGAAATAAATGGGACTTAGGGACTTAGCTCGTCACTGCGACTGATTAAAAGTTAAGGTTTAATTAAGTTAAAGCTCCTCTGAGGAAATTTCAGTTTATGACAGTTTTGGCACCCCCCTGTGGAAAAAGCGGTCTTTGTTTTTTTTTGTCCTCAACATACTTAAATGTTAAAGATCAAATGTATTAGTGAAAAGTGAAGTAAAGTGAAGACAATGACTTTTTCCACTGACACCTACCCTCTCTTATCAGTTTCAGGCTGCAAAAATTATAGTAAAAAAAATGTCAATCCTGTCACCGATACTTTTGTTTGCTTGAGTTTATCATAGAAAAACAAATATATATATTTCAGCCTGTCTTATAAGCATTAAAAAATCATCATAGAATCCTAAAACGTCGTCTTGTGGCATACTCTGGCCTGCAAATAACGCAAGTGTTGATGAAAATTTTGAAGCATCATTTTTGATATCTATTTTTAGTGTTGGATTTTTTCAACTGAACGCCCATCCTGCACAAACATCATCTTAAGTGAAATGACGCTTACATACGCTCTGTACGCTCGACAGGAAGGATGATCATGGGGTCCAGGTTTGAGTCAAACTCATCGTTACATGGATTGAAGTATGGGTACAGCTTTTCTGTGAAGGAACACCCAGTGAAGCTGTAAATTTCTGTCAATGTCTGCACGTCGTAGAAATAAATGCTACTGGTTTCGTACCGCACAAACACGCCAACCTGCTCCACTTTTCCACGATGCACAGTCAAGTCTGGACAACAGAAGGTTTCAAACCGATCCTCTATGAACCAGACGGCCCAGAGTCCACAGTCAGGCTTCCTAGGAATAGCCTTCTTCCTCTGGATGGACTCTGTGGCCAAGCCCAGACACCACTCACTCTTCCTGCCTACAAACACCTCAAAGTAAAACTTGTATGTAGAGAGGGCTGTGTCACCCAGGACTGCCAAGTGTTTCCTGAACCTGTTTGGGCTCTGATGTCTACGGAATACTGAACCCCTGTCAAATTTCACCTGTTTTCTGTCGTCGGATATGGTGAGCTGGCGGTTAGCTGTGGTGGGATCCAACGAGATGTCCACTACATACTGTCGCATAAATTTCAGATAGGTGTCACTCGGCTCGTCTGTGCTGCTGGAGAGCTCTTCGATTTCTGCTTTGAGTTCCTTCAGCAGCTTCTGCATCTGTGGCACAGATTTGCTCAAACATTTTCGTATGCGATAAATCTCCACAAGTCCGTTCAAACTTTGTGAGTGTGTCCTGTGTGCTTGGGGGGCTATCTTTGGCATATTTATGAGGAGGTACAGATTGTCTTCGGTCTGTTTTAGCTCTCTAATCTTCATCTCAGTGCTCTGCAGCTCTTCTATTGTCTGCCCCATGCTGTCAAAGAAACCATCAGCTTGTTCCTCGATCACCTGTACGAGATCCGTCTGGCTCTGCTGAATCTGAGAGACCAGCTGGGCCAGCTCCTGCACACTCCCAGCTATCACGTTTTTAGTTTCTGTCTTATTTTTTCCCACCAGCTCTTTCATTTCTTTGACCTTCTGCAGCCCTTCCTGCTTCATCTGCTGCACATCAGCCTCCCAGCCCTGAAGAGTAGTCTTCGCCTCATTGTAGGCTTGCTGCACAGAAATGACATTGTGGTCTAAGTGTTTCAAGCTGCAGCAATCGTCACACAGCAAAACAACGTCATCCCTGCAAAATCTTGTCAGGAGTCGGGCGTGCTCCTTACAGATCCGGTCCTCCAGGCTTGACATCGGTTCAAGCAGCGTGTGTCTCTTCAGTCCAGCAGCTCTGTGATGAGGCTCCAGGTGAACGTCGCAGTAAGAAGCCAGACACTCCAGGCAGGATTTGACTGCAGTTTGCTTCGTGTCAGTGCAAACATCACACAGCACAACGTGGCCACAGCTGGCTGACTCTTGGACCGGCTTCTGGCTCTGAGTGCCTGTCACTTTAAGAGACATGAACTGTGATGTGAGCTCAGAAATAAAAGTGTTAACCTTGAGATCCGGTCTTCTGTCAAAACCCTCCTTGCACACCGGACAGCGGAAGATCGTGTGGAGGCCCCAGTAACTGGAGATGCAGGACATGCAGAAGTTGTGACCGCATGGAGTGGAGACCGGCTGAGTGAACACATCAAGGCAGATTGGACAAAGGAGATGCTCCTCAGTCAGGAGAGCGCTGCAGGAGGCCATTTCTGCAGAAAAACAAACAGATGAATATTCAGCAAACATGTTCACATGGAGACAACGACAAGTTTATTCTCTAGATTTGAAACAGCAGGTTTGGCATATTCTAGACACGAAGGGCTCTATTTTCGTGCCGTTCCCGGCGGAGGGTGGCGGACCCTGCGCAGTGGTATTTTCGTCTGGCAGAGCCCGGCGTACAGCCAGTTTGGTATTTTCATAGACTGAGGCGCACCGAGGTCCGCCAAGCTGGGCGTGGTGGCGTGGCAGGGGGAGGTGTCGACAGAATCAGCTGGAGCAGTGACATTTTTTTGCTCGCCGCCGATTGAAACCTGGTCAGCTTTCAGCGCAGGCGGAGCGCAGCTAGTCTAGAGGTATTTTGGTAGACCAGCGGCGTATCGGCAACGTCACCAATGCCTCACCGGCAGGTTTCCACAGTGTCAGGTACATTTCAGTGCAATAAATAATCAACAACAACTAATAATCTGAGTCAGCACATACATTTAGATCTATATAGATATATTCTGATCTATATCTGATCTGATGCGCGCATTTGGCACGCGTATGGACACACAACCTGACCGAATCAACACAGCTGAAACCGCATTAAATTAAAGTCTAAAATTAGTTATTTGCACTTTTAATAAGACAGAAAAAAAAGAAGAAAAACTCAGAGTCAAAGTCTGGGATTTGTACTTTAACTTGTCCAAATGATTGTCATCCTCACATGTCGATACCAAAGTTACTGCCATTTTGAGTCATCAATATTTTTATTGTTCAGGGCCTGATTACCTTCACCTGCCTGAAGGTCTAAAGTCTGGTGGTGCTACTCTGCTAAAGTTAGCCACTCTTAGCAAACCAATTTGACAAACCAAACATGTAGACTATCTACATCCAAGTTTAGTCAGGTTAAATCCACGGTGCTTAAAGCTGTTTTTTTTAGTGTTTTCTCACCTGTGGACGAGTCTGAATTTACATTTATAAATAGACAGAAGAGATATAAATGTCTTCGAACTGAACTCCGGAGGAATTTTTGACTGCACTGACATCTAGGTCAAAATTTTCTGCTGGTAAAAGTCTGAAAAAACTTCTGTGGAGACTTTTTTTTCCGACTGTCGCTCCAGGTCGCACATTTTTATGTCGCTCCATTGAGGAAAAAGGCCTTTCTCTGATAAAACCCACCAAACACCCGACGTCACTTAGACGTATTTTTTTAGGCTTAGCTACGTCGGACCGTCATGGCCGTAATTTTGCCCAAAAAAGACGTTGAAAACTGGGTTTTATTTAGACGGCCCGAGTCTAGACGTTATTTAGACGTGAAAACGTCTGTTCAGCGTCTTTTCAACCACGTTTGGCTGAGTGGGAACGTGGAGAAGCAGACACACACATTTTGGTTCATCAGCAGCTACTTACGTGTGTTTGTTGCAGATCTTTTGGGGAGTTTTACTCGGAGAGGAAATCCGGTTTCTCAGTGAAGAAGTTTACTTTCATGTGAGGCGTGTCTTAAAGGCACAGGCACACCTCTGTCCCCGTGCTTGACTGTGCTCTGTATTATTCATTGTTTGAGGATACATTTCTGTTTCAGCTCAGTACATTTCTGCCTGATTGATTTCCTGCTTCACTGCCTCTCCCCTTTGCCTTCCTCCTCTTATCTTCCTCCAAATTGGACCCTGTGTGTGTGTGCACCTGTGTGTGTTTATGTGTGAGGGGGGGCGTGAGTGTTGGTTGCACTGTGCAGATAATGTAACGGGGTGCCAAGCTGTGTGTGGAGGAGAGATAAGACGCTTGTTGGTTGTTGAGGCTCCTCTGCCATTAATCAGAGTTTAGTCGCTGCTCTCCCTCAAAAACTGCTACAGCTCCGGGGTGTGCAGAGACGAAGAGATCTCGAAGAAAACCAAGCAACACTTTAGGGGAATACAAATGAGAATTTGCATAAACTGTTGGTTTTTTTGCTCTTGGTTTGGTGTTTTTTAAAGTCACTTGATATGCAGGAAAAAGCAGAAAATTGAGGATAAATCAGGGGAGAGGGTCAAGAGATAAGAGATAAGAACGACAAAAAGAAATATAAATTTACAAGACTTATTTCTCTGTGTAAACACTATCTCGATCAATCTTTATTTACATGTGCACCAAATGTAATCTTAAGATGCTGTTTAGCAAGTGCAGATCCAGACTGTACTCTGTGTCTGAATTATTTAGAAAGACCCAACATGCAGATAAGATTCAGTCCCATTTTACAGAATCAGACTCTGTCTTATCTCATCTTAATCCACCACGAGCAAAGCGGTTCACAGCATTTAGCAAGTTACAGCAGCAAGAAACATCCTCGTCCTTGTTTTACAGACAGAAACTTAAAGCAGAAGAGTAAGGAAACAAAGAGGATGTTAAACTCAATAAAGCTCAAATTATTAACTCGCAATCCGCTGAATAAATGATCTCATGTGTGATGTAGTCAGGAAAAGCATCAGGCCACGAACTCTGGGATCACAGAGGATTTCTTTCTTCAAGGTCGCGATAAAAAACAAACTTTTAAAGGTGTGCAGTCTGTCTGTGTGCATCTGTAGGTTAGTAAGTATAAAAGGAGTCCTATAATACTTATTTCATATTTCATTATTTCAGTCTAACATACAGATGAAGTAGCTTAGCATGATTTTCAGCCCCAAAATCTCCTCACTGATCCCACACTAGCATCTGTTCAAACCCTTATACCTGCGTTATTCAGCCTCTGCCTAAGAAGATTTGTTTTGGCGGCTTTTTCACAGCCTGATGGTGTTACTTTTTACACAGCTCTGAAATCATTTCACTACGGAAACCCTAAACAGACATGTTTTTTTTTTTTACCCCCGTTTTCTCTAGATCACGAGAAAACTATCCCATGATCTCGAGAAAACAAGGCTTCATTTTCTTGAGATCACTCATTAATTTTGCGGTGGACTAGAAACATTGAGCTGATCACCGTACGCGGTGCGGTGTCTGCGGTGTCCGCCTGTCGCTACCTGATCCTGGAAACCCGATTTGTACTGCGCATGTGCGAAATGTACGTCACTTCCTCTACTGGCCATCTCTGCGACAGCTCAGCGCGTCTTTGCCCCCAGTGGTTTGCAACAGCTTTGACACTTGTTCGACAGCTTCAGCATCAGCGAGCTCACTTCAGTCAGAATGGATGCTTCAGTTTATCACCAGCTTTTCAAGAGAATGGCGCCCAGTTTCACGATTAAAGGTTCCTATTTCAAGCTTAATTGTAAAATTGCAACGAAGTTATAAAAGGCTTGAATGAATATGAATATTTTATCGTTGAAGTTGAAACGCTGTATAAAAACGCTATTTTTAATTGTCCATAATGTGTAGGTTTCTTTTAATTAATTTATATTTATAACACAAATGAAATAAATCCCCCCTTGATACTTTGAAAAGTCAGAGAACCATGATTTTGACCAGGTTGTGGCGCTCTCTGTGACCCGGGAAGAGTGCAAAATGGGTGGCCACACACCCCCAGAGCATCCCCCCTTGATACTTTGAAAAGTCAGAATAGGCGAATACCAAGTCCACCGCAAAATTAATTCATGATCTCCAGAAAACGAAGCCTTATTTTCTCGAGATCACGAGAAAACTATCTCATGATCTCAAGAAAACGAGGGTAAAAAAAAAAAAAAACATGTCCGCTTAGGGCTTCCGTAGCTCTGTTAGCACATGTTGGCTGTTGTTGGATCAGCTGCTGTCATTATGTGACTTCAGTTGTTGTTTTACATACAGCTTTACCATGATGCTTTGCAGCTTTTGCAGTTTCTCTCTCACGCTCTGCTGTATAATTCCTCTTCATTGATGTGTGCTGTAAGGTTGTATTAGTCCACAGTACTCGCTCCATATTTTGTGGCCTAATTTAGCTCCACTTTGATGTGAGCAGCTTCCCTCTCAGTCAGTCTAAGCTTCACTCACACATTTGCTCTTCTCAGAGAAGATTACAGGAAGTGTCCGACCCTTTATGTGTAGAAAAGGCGGTTTAAGGTTATGTGAATTTCACCCATTTAACATCCGTGGGGAAAATGCATTAGTCTGAATCCAGCTGTGGCTGTGGACAGAGTATGAGAATCTTCCATGTAAGCTTTATGTGCAGATGAAATACAGACATGGGGATGATGTGGCCTGAATAAGAGTCACTTCCACTCCTCTCTCCCCTAAATTCCCCCAAACTTTCCTCATTTCTCTCCCTTTTCTTCACATTGTCCTCTACGACTCAAATCCTCCTGCTTTTGTCCTCATCATCTCTTTCTCCAATCTTCTCCAACACGTCCTCACTCTCTCCTCTCCCTCCCCTCTTTTTCTTTATGCAGTGCCTCTGTCCTGCTCTGAGGGATTCACTGAGTTGGGATACTATAACGGCACCGTGTCTCAGACGGACTCTGGCGCCCCCTGTCTGAAATGGACCGAGTTTCCAGATTATGTGATGCAGTACCCGGGCCGGGGACTGGGCGACCACAGCTTCTGCAGGAACCCGGACCGAGAATCAAACCCATGGTGCTTCTTCAGACAAAACTCTGGAGCCATCGGTTGGGCTTACTGCGACTGTCACCAGGGTATGACTTTGAATTTTCTCAATATTACTCAAAATAAACAAAATGTTAAGATTAGTTTTAATGCAAAGGGTGACAACATGAAAATATAAGACAGATTTATCACAAAAGGCTTTTTTGAAGAGCGGTAAAAGTTTAGAAAAATAAAGGAGTCCCCTGTAAAATGAAACTTAGGGTAGAAGAACAGAGAATGGAGCTAACCGTATCATTATTACTCTTTTATTCTGCATGTTGATGAGTCCCTAGTGCAACATCTCCCCTCTTTCACTTTCACTCTTCTGGCTTCTGATCTTTTTTTCATTTAAGACCCTTTAATTGACAAAAATCAGTCTCAACTTAAAGCTAACTTAAAGGGATATTCCGGTGCAAAATTAATTTAGGGTCAAACACCGAGTTAGACACCCCCTCAACAGATGAATGTTGCCGACCACTAGCTTTTCTAGTTATACCAATTTTAGTAACGACTGCACGATAGCAATACACAGCGGTCTGAGGAGCCAAACCTCGACCAAAACGCCACTGTATAACCACAAATAATGCTCAGAAAAGCAGCTAACTTCATCATTATGGCTTTTGTCACGCCTCAATAAAAAATGACATGAGACATATAGGAAAGGAGTACAGCGGGGTGACGCAGCTCAAGGAAGAACATTTATGATCATTTCTTTATCATTTCCTTGAAGTAATAATCATAATATTTATCATTTTGCACTGCAGACACAGTAGTTCTTCTGCCTAAGCCTCTCTGTCTGATTGCATTTCCATGAAGAAATGATCATAAATGTTCTTCCTTGAGCTGCGTCACCCCGCTGTAGTCCTTAATGGACTGGCCTGAGGTCTCGCTACAAACAAGCGGCTGCTGGAAGAGAGTAGGTGAGTTGTGTTTAGTCTCTTTGCTAAAAAAATCAGACAAAGCTAAAAAGATGTTTGGTGGCTAGTGTTTTGGCTAGGACCCAATATGTCCTGTTGAAGTTAGGTGCTGTTCTGAGCATTATGTGTGGATTTTTGGTTGAGGTTTGTTTATGGCTCCTCAGACCGCTGTGTATTGCTACCATGCCGTCATTACTAAAGTTGGTATAATTAGAGAAGCAAGAGGTCGGCAACATTCATCTGCAGAGGGGGTGTCTAACTCGGTGTTACGGTGTGTTTGACCCTGAATTAATTTTACGCTGGAATATCCCTTTAAAGTGAGGAACTTTGATTTTGTCCCCTCCTGTGAAAAGTGGCGCCTCTTATCTCTTGTCCTGCACATTTAAAGTTTATGTTTTTAGATTAAAACTTAACTTTTTTTCCTTTTTAAAAAAATGTAAAAAAATGAATAAAAATGCTGTCTCCTTGAGTTTGACGTCAGGCACCCAGCCGGACATTTAGCCCTAAACTGTCTCATTGGTGTCCTTCAGGTGCGGCTCGTCTGGTTGGCAGTTCCTCTCCTGGCAGCGGGCGTGTTGAGGTCTACCTGAACGGTCAGTGGGGAGCGGTGTGTGACTCCCACTGGTCGGACAGAGACGCCAGTGTGATCTGCAGACAGCTGGGTCTGGGGTGAGTAAAGAAACCCAGACAGGACTCCTCCTTCTCCTTCCTCTGGTGTCATGTTTCACAGCTCGCTCTGACCGCACCTTTCCTGCTCAAACAGTGACATCGGCACAGCCCTGCAGCACTCACAGTTTGGCTCAGGCTCAGGCCTCTTCCACTACGAGCGGCTGGGTTGCCGTGGTGATGAGAACAGTCTGAGTAAGTGCCGGAGCAGGACGTTCGTCACAGGTGACTGTAGCCATGGAAACGAAGCAGCAGTGGTGTGTGCGGCACCAGAAGGTCAGTGTGACTTCTACAGTGTCATTAATATTTCCACCTTTCCACCCGGGACTCCAAACCTTTTCTGTGATTATAGATTCATAAAGCTGAGACAGAGACGGAAGCTGATAGGACTCAGGTGTATTTCTGCATCTTCTCTCAGGTAGCGGTCCTCCTCTGCGGTTGGTAGGCGGGGAGGAAGACTTTGAAGGTCGTGTGGAGGTGTTTCACGCAGGACGGTGGGGCTCCATCTGTGACGACCAATGGGATGACAGAGATGCCGAGGTGGTGTGCAGACAGCTGGGGTTTGGGTAAGTCGGAGCTTTCACACCTTCACTTCAGGTTAACTCATGTGTGGTGTCATTAGGAAGCTTTTACCCACAGTGTTCACAGTGAAATCACACTCAAAAAGGTGTGGAGGATACTCAGCATCGAAGCTGTTATTCACCGTGACACCTTTGGGGCTTCACATCAGCAAATATAGTGACACCTGGAGGCTGTTAAACTTGCTATCATTCTATTATGAGACGCCAAGCCAAAGCAAATAGACCTGTGTGATCTAAAAGACAAACATCTTTGTCCTTTTTTGGACATACTGCACCTTTAATGGCTACTTTTTTTACAGTGATTAAAATTCACCATATAAAAAAAACCTAATATTTATTAAAGCTCCTGTGGGGAGTTTTTTAAAATTCATACCGATGCTTTTATATGATAAACAAAAGCAAACAGGACCATCAGAGACGAGACTGACGATTCAAGATTCTAGTTTTTAAGCCTGACATCAATGTGAGGAGGGAGGCATCCCTGTTTGTACTTTAACCGCATAAAATATTCGCAATAAATAATACGTTTGATTATTAAAATCACCAAGATTAGATTTAGATATGTAGATGATGGAATAAGCAAAGACTGCTTTGTCCACAGGGGGCGCCAAAACAGACACAAACTGAAAGTTCCTCACAGGAGCTTTAAAGGGACATTCTGGCGTAAAATTAACTTAGGGTCAAACACACTGTAACACCGAGTTAGACACTCCCTCAACAGACGAATGTTGCCGACCGCTTGCTTCTTTAGTTATACCAACTTTAGTAACGACCGCACAATAGCAATACACAGCGGTCTACATCTCCACGTGCATACCTCAACCAAAACGCCACTTTATAGCCACAAATACTGCTCAGAACAGCACCTAACTTCATCAACAGGACATATAGGGTCCTAGCCACAGGACTAGCCACCAAACATCTTTTTAACTTTGCCTAATTTCTTAAGCAAAGAGACTAAACACACTCACCATCTCTCTTCTAGCAGCTGCTTGTATGTAGTGAGACCTCAGGCCAGTCCACTACGGACAACAGTGGGGTGACGCAGCTCAAGGAAGAACATTTATGACTTTTATGAACAATATGTTGATATACAGACAGATCACATACAGATACACAAAAACAAACCCACAAAAAACTTCATTTCCGAGGTTTACTGCAGTGATAGTCTCTCATGTGTTTTCAACTGTGTTCGGCTCCAGTGACACCCATGTGAAAAACTCACTAACGAGCTCATTTTAGCTGTTTTTTTTTTTTTGTTCTAAACAACTTGATCGACTATGATCAGCCTCCTTCATTACCGCTGCTGTAAATATCACTCAAAATGACTGAAAACAGATGGACAGTAGATGTTGATTTGTGTCTCTCTCACTCATTTGTCTGATTTTATTTGGATCTGTGCGTACGCTCTCATTAAGAACTTGTTGTAGATGGTTGCTGATTAAAGCTTTTCTATAAAATCCAGTCAGGACAGATGTTCTCTTGTTTTTCTGATTAGGTGTAGTGAAGTTATTCATCCAGCTGCTGTAAAGTTGCTGTTTTGAAGTTTTCTTTGGTCCACTCTCACTTCTGTTCACCGGTTGGTGTTGCTGACAGGATTGAAAGATTATATTGTCGAGTACGAAGTGCAGAGGGTTGATGAATCAGCTTCTGTACCACTCTGAATAAAATGAATGTGACGTCTTGCAGTAGTAATATTTCAGCTGCCACTATTCCAGTGTTATTCCCCACAAACTCCTGAGTGAACAACCATTAGTGATCTGTGGGAGCTCATTGTCAAAACTCTGGATCAGAGCACAAAGGCGTCATCTGGATCAAAGTTCTCCCACCCGGGAAACACCGCTCAGATTTAACTCAGTATCGTCTGCTGGAGTTTCTTCCTCGTGTCTCCTGCTGCGGAGGTGTAGCAAATTTGAGCGTCAAGCAGCGATGAAGCGGTGTAAGTGTGAAGACGAAGAACCGCTTCCCTGTTCGACATGAGGTTACATTTCATCTCCTCAAACGCTGTGGGACGTCTCACCATCCGTGTTTGTGATTTTGAATAATAGATGTTCTGACGCAGAGGCACAGATTCTCACACAGCTGCTCACAGGCGCTCATGTGCTGTGATTATTGAGGGCAGAATCACAATGATTCGCTTTTACCACCTGCGAAGTGCTTCTTCTGCAGGAAGACAAACATGGACACATTTTACACGAGTGTTTTGTTTTTGTTTTTTTATTTTTTGTGAGCCTCTACTGGAGAAAATCGAGGGAGTGGCTCACCTCATTTACCTTTGACTATTTTCTAAATTTTTTAAAATAATTATAATTGCATGGAGGATGACAGAAGCTTTTATATTTTGCACTCTATTGCAGCTTAAAAATAAAGTTAAACTGTATGCAGCTGCAGAAACGCACATTCCCACACGGACAAAAAAAGCTCCTTGAAACATTTCAGCATCAATAAATTATCAGCCCATGAATGTTTCAACGTCTGTGTGGGAACTTTTCATTATTTATCTGTACAATTGGGTTTATTTTAGAAATTTGCTTTATTTTAAGAGTTTTTTCCTCCCTTTTTTTGTATGTGAACAGCTATGGAGCCGTTAAGCAGAATGGGAATATTTGTCATGGTTAGAGGTTGTCAACACTTTGGTATTTGAGGTTAAGCTGTTATAATGAGTCTCTGAATTCACTCTCGGTTGAGGTAGCAGAAAGCAGTATAATCATTTAATGGGAAAAGCCACCTTCCTCTCTATTGGCTGGCTTGTATCAATCTGCTAAGCCCCTCCCACTAATTGATGCACCAAACATGCACTGCAACCATCGTATTCAGCCAGTTACATTGGACTCATTGAATAGGAAAATTCACTGCAGATCATACAAAAGAAGTGACCATAAAACTCCCGAACCCACTAAAATCCACTAAAAGTTTAGTTTCTTGAACACCAACTGTAAGTGTATTTGTGTGTGTGTTTTTTTTGCAGGGGTGTGGCGAAGGCCTGGTCGTGGGCTCACTTTGGTCAGGGCACAGGTCCGATCCTCCTGGACGCCGTGAAGTGCTCTGGAAACGAGCTGTTCCTGGATCAGTGTCCCCATGGCGACTGGGAGCAGCACAACTGCGACCACATGGAGGATGCCGGCGTCTCCTGCAGCCCCTATACGGGTACACAAACACACACACACACACACACACACAGGCTGATGTACACACTGATAGGCTCTCAGCGGGTATTTATGGGCTCTGAACATCAATAAATCATTACAGCATGAAGCAGCAACATCCTCCCTGTGACATTTATGAGAGCTGAGGAATAACATCACTGCTGGCATGAAGCAGCAGCGAGCGTTCATCAAACTAAGATCAGATTAATAATTAATACTAACGTTTTACATTAATAGTAATGTTAATGGGAAGTTCATTATGGTTGAGTCTTTAATCACAGTCATGGTGGTAAAAGACTTAATAACAGCTCCTACATGAAACTCTTTCAGACGGCGTGGTGCGGCTGGTTGGAGGTGACAGTCCCTGGGAGGGTCGGGTTGAGGTTTTCCATAATGGCGACTGGGGGACGGTGTGTGATGACCACTGGAACCAGCAGCATGCAGAGGTGGTCTGCAGACAGCTGGGCTACAGGTGAGGCTAGTTGTTAAAGTGTACTGGGACTCTTTGGACTGATGTCCCCACTCCAACCGCGTGAAAAAACAACTCACCTTTCTCCACCTTTAGGGGTCACGCTGAGGTCGTTTCAGACGGGACGTTCGGTGAGGGCGTCGGTCTGATCCTGCTGGATGACGTCCACTGTGAGGGATCGGAGACGTCTCTGCTGGACTGCAGACACGGGATCTGGGGGAGGACGGACTGCTCCCACAGCGAGGACGTCGGTGTTCGCTGCCGGGGACGAACAAGCCAAGAAACCAACGAGGTGCCCGCTATCGCACCTGCAACAGGTAAGAGCTGAGAGGAGCTGTGGAGTACAGAGAGAGGCTGACGAGAAGGTGTCTAAGCTGCAGTTTGGAGCTGATCAGAAACTTGGAGATCAAACCATCAACCTTTAACGCTTCCTCTGCCTTGATTCTTTATTCACCACCTAAGTTACGTCATTTTGTTGAGATGCACGACTTCAGAACATTCAGAGGATTTGGTTTGACGTGTTTTAGGAGACCGTCCCTCTCTCAATCCATCCAGTCATTAATCACTTACCCCTCAATTTATTCATACAACCAATAATTTGTTCATTCTTACGTCATTTTAATTATCCATTCATCCATTCATTTATTCTTCTATCATCTGTCATTCATCTATCCATCAGCCTATTTATCGTACGATCACAAATCCATTTATCCTTTAGAGCAATTTTCCATCATCTATTTGTTTATCCATTTACATATCTATCACTCCATTCATCAATCCATTTACTTATCCACCCATTTGATAATTCATGTTTCCATCATCCATTCATTCATCATTGATTCACTTGTTTATCCATTAATCTATCAAAATTCATCCCTACATCCACTGAACCACATTCCTCTATTCATTCTTTTCTTCATCCATCTATCTACCCATCTATCTATCTACCTACCTACCTACCTACCTTCCTACCTACCTATCTACCCATCCAGCTACCTACCTACCTATCTACCTACCTATCCTTTTATCTACCTACCTACCTATCCTACCTACCTACCTACCTACCTACCTACCTACCTACCTACCTATCTATCCATCCATCCATCCATCCACCTACCTACCTACCTATCTATCCATCCATCCATCCATCCATCCACCTACCTTCCTACCCATCTACCCATCTACCCTTCTATCTAAAAAATCTATCTATCTATCTATCTATCTACCCATCTATCTACCTATCTACCTACCTACCTATCTATCTACCTACCTACCCATCCATCTACCTACCTACCTATCTATCTATCTATCCATCCATTCAACCATCCACCTACCTACCTACCTACCTTCCTACCTACCTATCTACCCATCCATCTACCTACATACCTACCTACCTACCTACCTACCTACCTACCTATCCTATCTACCTACCTACCTACCTACCTACCTACCTACCTACCTACCTACCTATCTATTTATCTACCTATCCATCTACCAACCTACCTACCTACCTACCTACCTACCTACCTACCTACCTACCTATCCTTTTATCTACCTACCTACCTACCTACCTACCTACCTACCTACCTACCTATCTATCTATCTACCCATCCACCTACCTCCCTCCCTCCTTCTCCCTCTCCCTCTCTCCCTCTCTCTCTGCTGAAAACACTCTGGCCTCATTACAATGAGAAAGGCGTCTGAATAAAGAGACGGCGGGCTGCAGGTGACATTTTACACTGTCATCCTCGGTGTCACACACACTGTAGGCTGGAGCTTTCAGATGCACAGAAATGAATTTCAATGAGAGTTGTGTGTCATTTTCTTGTCAGGTCCCCTGGTGCGTCTCGTTGGTGGCAGCAGTAGAAAGGAGGGCCGTGTCGAGGTGTATCTCCATGGCGACTGGGGGAGTATTTGCGACTCTGGCTGGAACGACCTGAACGCAGTGGTGGTGTGCAGACAGCTCGGACACAGGTCAGTATTTAAAGCAAAGTAAAGTAAAGTTAACTCAGAAAAGAAGTGATATAAAAATAGATAATTTTCCTCCTTCAGTGGCGGAGCGGTGGCAGCATCAGGGTTCGGTCAGGGGAAAGGACCCATCCACCTGGACCAGGTGAGGTGCACGGGAAAGGAGGAGTTCCTGGGGGAGTGTCCCTCTCTGGGTCAGAGCATCCAGGGCTGCAGACGGAGGGAGGACGCGGGTGTGAGGTGTGACGTCTCACCGAGGAAGACAGCTGTGCAGACCAAGCCTCAGGAGCAGAGCTGTGGGCTGAGGAAGCTGGTGGAGGAGGAGAGCAAGAGGGGGAGCCAAGGAGAGGAGAACATGCTCAGGTAAGACTGTCACGTCCAGAGATCTGTGGGGTTTTTTTGTCTCTAAATCAAACAGTGAAGCTTTAACAGTGTGATTGTGTTGATATACCAACTTCTGCTGCCTGCAGATGTAACAACAATAAACTCTGAGACTCTGAAAATGAAAATGATAAGTAGCTGATATTCCTCGACCTTCCATAAGGAAAGATTACAGACATATATCGTCAGCATGAGCAGTAACACAGCTGTCAGTGCAGCCTGGGAGATTAAAAAACAACTCCTCAAACAACATAAAACAGAAGAAGAAAGATGTTCCCTCTCTTTTCCAGGACTACATGGCCGTGGCAGGTGTCTGTGTGGCTTCACTCCCACGGAGAAAATGGCGGCGGTCCCCTCTGCAGCGGCACCCTGATCAGCCCCTGCTGGGCTCTGACATCTGCGACCTGTGTCAGCAGGTAAATCAGACGCTCCAACATCCTTCCCTCCATACGCTGAGTCACCATCTTCAGCGGAAACCTCTGAGCATCAATCATCCTCTCTCCTGCAGGTTTGGCAGCGACCCGTCCCGGTACGTGTTGCGTATCGGAGCGTCGGATCAGACTGTGACCCCGGAGCAGCTGGTGGTTCACAGGAAGTTCAAAGGTCAAAGCGGAGGCCATGATCTGGCGTTATTGAAGCTACCCAGCGCCAAGGGTCACTGCTTGACTTTTGACCCCAACACCAACGCGGCGTGCCTTCCTGCTGCAGACTCAGCATCAGGGGGAAATCCTCCATCTTCCTGCGTTGTCATGGTTACCGCTGATTTGACAGAACCAGGTACGTGCCTCTTAATCTTAAACCCAGCTGATTTTTGAACAACATGGCCATCACAACCTGTGAAATATCACCATGCGTCTGTTTCTTCTTCAGTATTTATGACATCAGACACATTTTACTCTCACTTTAAGAAGGGATGTTAAAGGGATATTCCAGCGTGTAATTAGTTTAGGGTCAAACACACTGTAACACCGAGTAAGACACCCCCTCTAGAGATGAATGTTGCTGACCGCTTGCTTCTCTAGTTATACCAACTTTAGTAATGACCGCACTATAGCAATACAGAGTGGTCTGAGGAGCCATAAACAAACCTCAACCAAAACGCCACTCTATAGCCACAAATAATGCTCAGAACAGCACCTAACTTCATCAACAGTACATATAGGGTCCCAGCCAAAGTACTAACCACCAAACATCTTTTTAGCTTTGCCTGATTTCTTTAGCAAAGAGACTAAACACAACTCACCTTCTTTCTTCCAGCAGCCACTTGTTTGTACAGAGACTTCCGGGTGAGTCAATGGACTGGAGCGGGGTGCCGCAGCTCAAGGAAGAACATTTATGATCATTTCTTTATCATTTCCTTGAAGTAATAATCACCATATTAATCATTTTGCACTGCAGACATGGTAGGTCTTCCGCCTCAGTGTCTGATTGCATTTCCATAAAGAAATGATCATAAATGTTCTTCCTTGAGCTGCGGCACCCCGCTGCAATCTGTAATGGGGCTACAAACAAGCAGCTGCTAGAAGAGAGTAGGTGAGTTGTGTTTAGTCTCTTTGCTAAAGAAATGAGTCAAAGTAAAAAAGATGTTTTGTCGCTATTTCTATGGCTGGGACCCTATATGTACTGTTGATGAAGTTAGGTGCTGTTCTGAGTATTATTTGTGGCTACAGAGTGGTGTTTTGGTTGAGCACGTGGCTCTCTGTATTACTATCTGCGGTTGTTGCTAAAGTTGGTATAACTAGAGATGCAAGCAGTTGACAACATTCATCTCTTGATGGGGTGTCTAACTCGATGTTACGGTGTGTTTGACTCTAAATTAATTTTACGCCGGAATATCCCTTTAAACCCAGCTGATTTGTGAACAACTTGGTCATCACAACCTGCAAAATATCACCATGCATCTGTCTCCTCTTAAGTATTTATAACATCAAACCCATTCTTTACTCTTGCTTTAAGAAAGGACGTCAACGTCTGCCTCTTACTGACATTATTTCTACCTTAAGTTGTCATCTGCTGCCACCATGTGGTCATTATTATTATGGTCCAATAATTTAGTTTATGGCCAAATACCCTCAACATTCCCCTCTGCCTTATTTGCACTCTGTGTCACAGTAAGTGCTTATCAACAAAAGTGATCAATGTTTCATCATGAATATCATTAATTTATTGGACTATATCCTCAAAGAGTAAATCACGCCTGCTGTTCATGAGGTTCCAGCTGAATACCTTATGAGGCTTTATAACATTCATATGAGCGCTCAGAAGAATTTATAACAGCATAAAGCGACGTTTATGAAGACTCACATCCCCTCTGTTGTCTCCCACAGACTCTGTCCTCGCCTCCTGGGTCCCCCTCATGTCGTCATGGCAATGTAAGAAGCGCTACGGCGACAGTTTCTCCAGCCACGGCACTCTGTGCGCCGGCAGTCCTCCTGACACCAGCTTCCTCCATGGCGACAGTTGTCAGGGGAACTCCGGGGGCGGGCTTGTGTGTCAGGAGGAGTCGGGTCGCTGGGTCCTCACTGGTGTGGTCGCCGGGGGTTACGGCTGCTCTGCCCCCTCCTCTCCCGCTCTCTACACCCGAGTGAGTCGCTTCAGGGGCTGGATCGATGAGGTCACCAACGCACACGAGGAACCGCGCACTCGTGCCCAAGAGGAAATAACACACCTGGACAATGACGTGATGCACACACACAGCAAGCTTAAACACGCCCATGATCAGCAGGAAACGAATGAAATCAATGATATCAAACACACACACACCCATCACTCACACACTAACCACCGTGGTAACACACACACCCACACAAACACACAAATTATGGTCTGATTGAGGGCCGCGCCATTGGCTAACCATCTGTGCCATGTGACCGCCTGACATGGAGGAGGACGAGTTGAAGAAGTAAACTTTGAAGATGCTCAAACTTTCAATCTGCGCTCGTTTGAAAATCTGAACTCAGTGTTGTGAATCCAAAGTGTGTGTGTGTGTGCGTGTGTGTGGTTTGTCGGTGTGGGCAGATGTACCGGCGCTGCCAGAGTGTGTGGGTGATCTGCGGTGCTTTACATGTGAGTTTGAGCCTGAAACCATGAGCCAGAACCACAAAGTGATGGATCCAAAAGGTTTAGTTCGAACCTGGCATGCTGATCTGAGCCTTCCACTAAAAAAAAAAACAGAAAAACTCGGCATGGCATGAATTTAAAAGACAACAAATATCTGAGGGGTATTTCTGAGACGGTCACACATCAATCTATGCGAAAAAAACACATATTAATGTGCGTCTTCTGTGCAAGATGTAAAGTAACAAGACTCCACAAAGTAACCACCGGATCATCTGAAATAAGGGGATTATTGTGCGTCATTCTCATCCCTTTAATGTTAATAATCTAGATTAAGGCCATCCTCGTCCAGAGTTCAGTTTTTAAAACCCCTCTCGTGGATGTTGTCGCTTATTTCAAACAGGGCTTCAGGCTGTTGTCTTTACCTTTTACTGTTCAAAGTGCTGTTCAGACCCATGACTAAGCTATTTAAACTCAACGCCGTACCTGTGATTTCACAAGTTTCAGCGCTTTATTCTCAACAAACGATGAACACTTCACACCGCTGCTGACTCATTTGGAGTTTATCTGCAAGTACACGTAACAAAGAAACCCAAATAATAGAATCAGAGCGGTGTGAATGGGAAAGACGATAAATTACAGCGAATAATATAAGAGAATATTAAAGCTCCTGTGAGGAGATTTGAGCTGGTGATGAAACAGACTAAAATTGATATTAATGTGCTTGTATAATCTAAAAAAGCAAAACAAGACCATTATCGAGCAGGGTGACTACCTCTAAATAATTATTTTCAGTGTTGAAAAAAAAGTCGGTGGGGGGTAGGCGTCACACTACAAAATTAGCTGTTACACAGAGTCTCAATAAGTGATACAAGGGCCTGTTGAAAGGAGCAGGACTAGATTCCTCACAGGAGCTTTAAATCAATGCAGTAAATTTTTGTTTGGTGAGGAACTTTAAGTTTGAGTCAATGTTGGCGCCCCCTGTTGAGAAAGCAGTCTTAGTTTATTTTAATTGTCGAAACGGGCCTCTCTCTTCACCATCTCGACTGACACCTACCCCCTTGCGCTGATTTCAGACATCAAAATTTGGGATATAACAATCATCAGTCTCGTTATTTGTTGTTTTGTCTGCTTTTAAATATAATATAAAGGCATTAGTGTGTATTTCAGTCATTTTTATAAACACCAAAAAACTCCTTACAGGAGCTTTAATTTATAGACTGACATTCAAAGCCATTGAGACGATTTAAGACACAGAAACAGACTTTTTTTTTTAACTCATCCTGCAGGAAGTACTCACAGTGGGTGATTCATTGTTCAAAGAAAGCAAGAAGTTTTTGGAACGGTATTTTTAAATGTAAAAGACTAAATCAGCAAAGACAGTATCATAGAAGGAACGCCAAAACTGACCCAAACATGCTTCATTACAGGAGCTTTTAAATTGGTTAAAGTGAACTAAAGTAAATTTTTCAGATTGAAACCAACATTTGTTGAATCTGACCCATTAAATATTTGTAATTATGACCTTTGTGGAGCCTTTAGAGTTACTTCATCTTCTTAAATATACTGTTATAAGTGTAGGGAAAATAATCCTCTGATTTCCTAGAAGCTGTCCATTAATTTTCTTACCGTACCAGACTTGCAGAATCCATCAAAATAACCCTTAAATGTAGCAGTGCGTTTATTTTAAATCAATCAAACTGCATTATCTTACATCAAATAACGGAAATGTGATTTCTGCTGACACTACATTGAAGAGTCTGCTGATTGATTTCTTATCAAAAAGGGAGCGGGGAAAAAAAAGAGTGTCTGCCTGCACATAACACACAAAAACCTTTTACACGCTAAAGTTTGATTACACAAGCAGTTTATGTTAAGTGCGCATTATTTGTTGGATTTGTGTTTAAGGAGCTGAAACTTGCAGAAACAGCGGTATGGTCCTTTAAATTGTACAGGATTCTCCTTTAAAAGCCATTGGAAGGCGACGGTGAGGTGGTCATATAACTTTTTGTACTGATTGCAGCAGGTGGCTCTAGACTCTTAGATAAATAAATGGATAGACGGATAGATAGAGAGTACTTCAGACTTTAGCTCGTGTGTGTACTGCATTCATTCTTGACTGAATTAGATAGACAAACTCCTAAATGTTGTCTGTTCTGTTGTACTCTGAGCAGATGTGTGATCCAACCACAAGAGGGCGACGTTGCTCTATTTTCACAGGGCGACAAATCCCTGATGGTTCTTTTTTATACTGTTGCTAAATAAGTGTTGGGACTTGACTTGTGCTTTGTCGTATTGTGAACCATTGTGTCGTGAAGCATCCTGTAACCTGCAACTGCTGAATCTCCAACACCTGGAGCTCGTCCTTATAATCCTGTACATAATCTCAATCCTGTCGCTGCTCCTTTTCCTCTCAGATTTGGTGTTTGAACATGCAGACCCTGTAGGTTGATGTAAATATAATTAATGTGTCTAAAGCTGGACTTTGAGGGAGCGGTGTTTGCAGTGTTAAAAGCCTGCTTTACCTGTGTTAAACCCACCTGCTGTTCCTCAGTGTAATGTGCTGAATCATGGTTGAGTATTAAAACATTTACCTGGTGAGAACAAGTCTGCAGTGTTGGCGTGACCTCTCTTTTCATATTTAAAAACACTTTTTTGATTAATTTCCATTCATCAAACCTGGAGTCACTAAACGTGGGAGCGAGCTACATTATTCCAGCTCATCTACAAACAATATTTGGACTCCAAAATGAGCTATAATTCTGATTCAATGTGCTCAGAAAAACATGGATTTTATTAATAATGTTGAAAAGAAATAAACCTGAAAGAAAAGATTGCTTACAAAATGCTAATTGCCTCCGAATGAAGAATAAATCTGCTTAGCGTCTGCTCTCAGTCACCCATGAGCCGTGTTAATCTTTTCTTTTGTTTCAGTGACTTTCCCTCTGAAAACTGAGGGATCAGTGGAAACCAATACTGCTCTGTGGGTTTTAGTTGAAAAATTGATTTCTAATGAGCGCTAATGACTCGGCTTTTGGGACGTGGTTGGATCTTAAAGTTCTGAGTGAAGTGGGCTCCTGTTGTTGGGAAAACTTGGGCAGTATGATGGGATGTTCGCTGTAATGTTGAATGGAAGATTATGATTTTTAGAGTCTTGACAAAGATGCACATAATGTTGTTTATAACCTACTTAGACATAAACAAATGAACACCAAATTATGATTTTAAAGATGTAAATCATGGACAGAGCATCGGGATTACTATCTACAGGTTTTGCAGCAGCATATGTTTACAGATTTTCTCAGTCGCTTCAGTACATTTCTCACATCAGAATGAAAGTTCTCACTATTAGTTCAACCTCAACAACATCGAGTCATATGTACACATCGTCGTAGCAGTTTCTCATTCCTCCGAACAAATTGCGAATGCTCTTGGGCATGTATCAGTTACTTTTATACAATTCTCTTCTGTTTTATAACATTATCATTTGTGTGGACATTATCATAGTGGACGTCGTATCCTCTTGGCCAAAGAGGAAAAGAACCATCCGGACTGTTAAGTTCAAAAGCCAGCATCTGTGATGGTATGGGGGTGAATTAGTGCCCAAGGCATGGGTAACTTACACATCTGTGAAGGCAACATTGACGCCCATGGACGCCCTTCCTGCTTATTTCAGCAAGGCAATGCCAAGCCACATTCTGCACGTGTTACAACAGCATGGCTTCGTAGTAAAAGAGTGTAGGTACTCGACTGGCCTGCCTGCAGTCCAGACCTGTCTCCCATTAAAAATGTGTGGTGCACTATGAAGCATAAAATACGACAACGGAGACCCCGGACTGTTGAACAACTGAAGCTGTACATCAAGCAAGAATGGGAAAGAATTCCACCTTCAAAGCTTCAACAAGTCGTCTCCTCAGTTCCCAAATGTTTATTGAGTGTTGTTAATGTTGGATTTGCAAAATTATTGTATTCTGTTTTTATTTACGTTTATCACAATTTCCAAACTTCAATGGAATTGGGTTTTGTAGATCAGTCACCAAGATCTGACTTTTTTTTGCATTGGAAAACACAGAGAGAGTTCAGGGTCATAATGAAAACATGACAAAGCCATTTGACTGTCTTGTTCATAAACATTGGTGTCAAGACTTATTATTTTGATGACTCAGACATTTCATTGACATGAATACTTACTTTTGAGGGATCAACTATTAATTTTGAGTCAGTGACGCTCTTTTGCGGGTTATCCACTAAGTTTTGCAGTTTGTACTAACTGTTCTGAGAAATGCACCAAAGCGACTGAGGAAAAACCGTAAAAGTAAAAACCTTACCTTATACAGCAACAAGAGGTCAAACCACATTCTGCACATATTTCAAGATATTATTCCTCCGCAGGAATATTCATGTTGACATCTCTGTTTTCTTTCTTGTCAGATCTTTTTAGTTGACACACCTTTGAACACAAGTGTTACAACTTTTACCATTATTGCTATTTTTACCACCGCTCCCTGTTTGACCCGCTCTCTAGCAACCAATAACTCAGAGACGTACTCACCAGCTCTTCTGTAGCTGTCCGGATAGTTTAGGCCCAGTAGCTCCTCATGCTGTTCTGCAAATAGCTGTCATCATCAGTACGTTATGTTGAGCTCAATGAGGCGATTTAACTGGACTACTGCTATTGTTCCAGTTTACAAGCACCAGGTAAGAATCAAGTTATCGACAGAAGCAAAAACAATAGCAGGAAACACGAGAAAAGACTTTGTTTTTGAAGCTAAATTAGACAAGAGAGGCGCCAAGTGCGATCATCAGTTCTAGGAAATCTTTGTTAAAGCCATAAGGAGAACTGCTGCTTTAAGACCTCAACAAGGTCAAGAGTAATTTAGATTCAGGAGGCTGGTTCTGGGTCAGCTTTGCTCCTAATTTTATTGACATGAAGAGCCGAGGAGGTCAGAGAGAACTAACAAGACACATTCCCTCCAGAGTTTTTCCCTCTCTGTGTCTTTGAGAAAGTAAGAGCGAGTGTCTGAGTTAAGCAACTGCTGAGCTCTCCTCATTAATCACACAGAAAGCAGAGGAACCAGGGGGAGCTGTCCTACATCCCAGGGACACACACACACACAGGCAGACACACAATCCTTAAAATAACTGGAACCAACATAAATAACACCAAAAAATCTTTTTAAATAAGGCTGCAGACTCTTCACAGAGAAGGATAGGGACAGGGCGGTTTATGAGCTTGGTTCTTCCTGTGTGTGTGTGTGTGTGTGTGTGTGTTAACGGCCTGGTGGCTATGCAGCGTTATGCAGGGCTTAATCTGACTTTATGTGATGACAGACGAGTATGGAGGGCAAATATCATGCCAGCTGGTGTTCAAAGCATCCAGCCAAGCACAGACACATGGTCCAGTTTGAGAGTGGATGTCAGACCGTTTCCCTCTAACAGCCAGTTTATTAATGCTACATGTCACTTCAGATAATCTGGCTTTCTTTCCCAAAATTGGACACCAGATGATATTCAGCATGACTAATCAATGTTGCAGTGTTACATAATCTGAATCGTGAGCCGCACGTCTCCATTAGCTCCAAATTTGGTGATTTTTAGGGCAGAGAATGCAAAAGGAACGTTCAAGAAATCCAGGCCGACAAAGTCAAAAATGTGCAGAGACCGGGCCAAAATAAGGTCTGCTGGGTTGTGATGTGATTTTGAGAAGCATTTTTCAGCCGGGTAAGTATGCGGCTCCACCGTGAGAGACAATCAGAGGAGAAATCAGGGAGTTAGAAAGCAGACGGAGGAGAACAAAACTGTTCAAGGCAAGGTGATTGAGCGAAAACTTTTCCAGGGAATAGAGAAAGACTTTCTGGAGGACAGGAAAAGACTGTTAATCCGGACAGCCCGACTGATACATCCCTCAGGCAGATCCAGGCCACTCATGCATGTTTCTGTGCCTGGTGCAGTGGGGCAGGGTCTGCCCTTGGAGAGAGGAGAAACTGTGGAGGTCGTTGGGTGTGTAGTACTGTCCATGGTGCTGATATAAATACACGGGTGGGGGGGCAGATGTAGACGAGTTTTTCAACTCCAATAAAGTTGGGAAACTGAATAAAATGTGGACAAAAACAGAATTGTTCCCAAATTATTCAAACCCTTCAGTTTATAGAAAATAAAGACAACATTCAAAACACCAGTATTCTTGAAGCCTCCTTCACTGTTGCCATACAAGAAAGTTTTTCTCTTTATGAAATGAGAAAATTGCCCTTTTAACCCTGGAACACTATCGCTAAAATAACCAACACCATCACTATCGCTGCAGGACTTTTACCTGAAATAATATACCCAAGAAAAAGTCATCAAAATATATCAAAATAGGACGATACATGACAAACTAAAGTAGTTTTCTTTTATTTTACTGTGCAATATCCAAAGGGAGGGGAAAAAGTGTCATGAGGGGGCCGTATAAAAATTCAGCAAAGTAACTGAAATTAAGCATTCATGAACAAACAAATTCTAAAATAAAGAAAAACACAGAAACTGTAAACTTAGTTTCTTTTCCACCCATTCCTGGGGAATGTGAGTCTTTCCTGGTGAAGACTCATGGTCCTGAGTCTTTACCAGGGAAGACTTGATGTACAGCTTCAGTTGTTCATAGTCCAGGGTCTCCGTTGTCGTATTTTACACTTCATAGTGCGCCACACATTTTCAATGGTGCAGGAGAGAATAAAAATATGGTATATTCTGAGTGAGTAAAAATGACTAGCTGACTAAAATATTTCTTATCACCATATGAGTTCCCTTGAAAAATCACTACTTTGTGATAGTTATTCATAACCACTGCGCTAAATAAAGTTAGAATGCAAATTCCAGGACCACTCTTACTGACTTTATTCGCCTACATGCAGCTATCAAATCCACCCAAACCTACTTTACTCTCTATCACTATTGGTAACCTCACTCAAACATGTGCCTGTAGGAAAAAGCAGGTTTTGTATCAGGGAAACAAATATGCCTTCAAAGATGTCAAGGGCAATGCTGAAGCTACCCAGGGACCCATAATACTCAGACAAACGCAACATAATGAAAATCACGTAAACATGTTTGGTCGGGTGAAAATCACCCGGCGATAGTGTTCTAGGGTTAAGAAGATCCTCTGTCTGGTGATATCACAATTTGAGCGAATCTCAAACTGATCTTGCCGAATTCTCATGCGACTTGTAATCTTCTAGTCCGAAGTGAGGATTACTTCAACCTTATGATCTGAAACTACGCTCATGATTCATACTGACGTCCAACATCTTCACATTTGTTTTCGACACATGAAAGAAGCAGAATATCATCTCTTCAGCATCTTCAGGCAAAGGCAGAGGACACCTTGGACAAGTCGCCAGTTCATCGCAGGGCTGACATCCACACTCACACGTACAGGTAATTTGAAAGTGGCCAATTAACCTAACCCCACTTAGGCATGTTTTTGGGATGTGGGAGGAAACCGGAGTACCCAGAGTAAACCCACACAGACACAGGGAGAACATGCAAACTCCACACAGAAATGCCCTGACCCAGGACCTTCTTGCTGTGAGGCTACAGTGCTCAGAGAAGGATCACCTGGAACGAAGCAAGCATCCATGACTGACTGGATGAAGATCTGTTTACCATTTTCCATGAATTTGTCCGAGTGATCCACGTTTCAGTTTGAAGAGTTGAAATACTCAAAGTGATGGTGTCAAATCTATCGTGAAATCAACAAGCCGAGTGAGACAGACCAGTGCTGAAATAGTATTTTTATTAAATACTTTCAAGATCCAAGTTTGAAGAATAACAAAGCTATGATGAAGACCAACTAACACTCAGACAAACACTTGATAGTCGTCAATTCATGGTTGTATTTCATTGTACATCATGATCATGCAAAAAAACTCCAGCATCCATGTGAAGGCTGGGGGAGAAAGCGCAGCCCAATAGTATATCATTACAACGCAGGGAAAACGCTAACATCGAGGGCCTCATACCAAGCTACGGCTCCTGAATCCTTTTTTTAAAAATTTTGCATTTTTTTTTAAATATTTTTCATGTCACCTATTCAACATTCTGGATGGAGAAATTCTTATTTCAAAAGATGCAAATATCATATATTAACACTAGCTCCATCCGTATTCAGGTAGGTACATGGTAGAAATGCGTAACTGAAACATGCATATAACTAGGTCTCCCGCTCTGGTTCAACAGTGGAGGTCAGAGTAACCTGCACGCCCACTCCAGCTCTCTCTTTCACTCTCTCTCTCTCTCGCTCTCTTTCTTGCGTTATCACTCCTCTCAACTGAGCAGGCACGGTTTAAAACCACCAAGGGTAGATTACATGATAAATAATTTAGTCTGGACCACTCTGTGATCGCTCAATCTGTGAATTTGTGTTGTCTTTGCTTCCTCCCTCTTTTTCCCTTTTTGTTAGATTTTTTTTTTTTTTTTCTTTTTAACATATCTCTGTGTGCGAGGGAGAGTGCAGAACTCCAGCTTGGCAGATCGGCAAAATTACCAAACGACAAGTCAACAGCAACAGCGACGACAACGAAAAAACTCAAACCAGTAACACGGGAACGGAGGAACAACAGAGAGAGGTACAAATAAACATCTCAAGAGCAGGGGACACGCTGGTACGAGGAAGAGGAGGAGAAGGAGGAAGAGGAGGAGGAGGAGGAGAAGTAGAGGAGGGGTTTGAGATACGACTGTTGCAGATGGATGGAGACAATTAAGCAGCACAGCAAGGGTGGCACCGTGGTCACACAGCAGTGGTGCAGATATGTTACAAAGCTAAAACACACCACCAGGCGTGTGTGTGTGTGTGTGTGCATATGATATGAAGAGACGGCTCACAGCATCGTGGGATCAGGATTTAAGGACACTACGATGAGGGTATCAAGAGTCTTGATGGGCGGAGGAGTGAAACTTTTCAACCTGGTAGTCTTTTATTTCCCATCTCTGAAAGAAAATAAATAAAAAACAGTCTTACGGCCATGGGACAAGAGCCGGCAGCCCGCAGGAGGAGTGTGAGAGTGTGTGTGTGTGTGTGTGTAATCACGTTTGAAGGATTAAGAGCTACCGATATTTTCAGGAAGTACTTTTAAGAGCAAGAGGAAAGGCAAATCGAAATCGGTGAGGAAGGAAGATGATGCTCCTGACTAGGTGGGGTTCACAGAGGTCATGGGGAGGCTCCCATGTCGAAATGCACAGGATGAGTGTCTCTTAGATACATGTACATATATTACACTTTTCTACATATATCTATACATACACTGTATTTACACAGTGATTATAAACAAACCAGGCCCTTGCAGAAAGCAGAGAAAAAGGAAGGGAGGGGATAAAAGAGGGAATGGTTCCAGAGAGAGCAAGAAGGCGGGGGAGGGGATGGGGGGTGAATGAGGGAGAGACGGCGGGCAAACATGCAAAACGCAGACGCCTTTCCCCGGCTCGCTCTCTCCCTCCACTGCATACAGACACGACGGAACGTGTTACCACGCGCAGGTTAGCTTAAACTTGCACAATAAAATCCCTCTTTTTTAAAAAAAAACTCACTGCTTTAAAACAAAAGAGCCTCGAGAATCGCATCAGTCAGACAAAAAACAAAACAACAAAAAAAAAAACAAACAAAATAAAAAGAGGCTCCGGTTATTTATTATTCACAGGAACGTAAAGGGAACAGGACGCTAAAAACACAACAAAACACATAACCTCATATCAGACGCCCTCGAACCCTCCCTCCCGCCCTCCCCTAAAATCCCACAACAACACGATTTTTTTTTTTCCGTTTGGTCGGAAAAACAAGCAAACAAACAAAAACACATAAACACATAAAAAGCCTAAAGTTCTACACTTTGGTGCTTCATGTTTTTGATATCAAGTTTCTCTCGTCATCAAGTTCTCTGACCGAGCAGACTTGACTTTTTTTTCTCCCGCTAGAATTCAGTTGGGGGGAAAAGTCTCCCTACTTCTTTAACATCAACTTCGTCCGGGTTTACGAGCAACAACACTTTCTACCCGGTTATTCCCTAGAATGCCAAAAAAATGTGTCCGAAATCTCAGCTGCTAACCTCACTCTCCCTTCTGTTCCTCCCTTATTAGATAGTGAATATAAATGCTTGGTTGGGTTTTGGTGGTTTCTGGTACATCTAGTCATAATTTACACAGCATATTCATAACTCATACTCATAAACTGTCACAAGTTCAACTGTAAATCCTCTCCGCACGCAGGACGTCTCATCTCGCGCGGGCAGAAAAAAGATGGCTGCCAGGGGAGGGATAGAGGGCAAAGACGCGCCCTCCGATCAGGCGCCAGATGCATGCATCATCCCATGGGGGCGGTGTCTTGTGTTCAGCCGGCCCCCAGCAGGTCAAAGGGGGGACAGGATTGGTTGGTAACGTGGAGAGGGATGCGATCTCGCCCGGCCGGGCTCCTGGCACTAGCCAATCCACGCAGAGGACGGGCCTCCGAAACACGCTCGCTGAAAAAAACTGCCCCCCAAAACACACACTCCAGTAGACTGGAGGCTCAGGACCACTGAGGGGAGAAGAGGAACACATTAGAGAAAGGGTTTAGAGTTTACCTCCTGTTCGTCTGAGCTCAGGTTCGCAGTTCTTCATCTTTAAGTTGAAGCTAATTTGGATGTTCGAGCCGTTAAGAGGCCGCAGGGGTCAGGAAAGACAACAGGCAGAGGATCGGACAGGGTTAGAAAAACACTTTTCTGGGGCATTTCTTCCTTTTTTAATTAGTGAAAAGATGACAATGGGGGACGGCAGAGGTCCCCAGCTGGACTTTATTTGGGCGCTTTGGGACTACATGGCAGATCCTTGAAATCCAAGGACACCAGGATGCCCTTAAAGAGGTTTTCAACCACTTACAAACTTATTTAGAGGCAAAATGAGGAGGAGCCGTGAAATTAACGTCAGTCACGGTTTTAAGCTTCAGAGAAAGTTTACACTTGAGGTTAATTAACGAAAAAAACAGACCAGGGATGGAGAGATTTTCACTGGACTGATCGTCTTAGGGGTCATAGTTCTGGGCCGGCTGGACTTTGTCATAAACTGGAAGATTTACTTGTTACTTATCACAGTGAGTGACAGAATTAACCGCTAAAGGAGGGGGGGATTACATGATTTAAACGGTCCAGGTTTTAATAACTTCAGTAATGAATCTAAAGTAGAAATGCTTCAGGGTTTGACATGTGATCAGTTTGTGTGTTTGGCTCCCTTATATAGTAATAACCATGTTAAAGAGATATTCCAGTGTAAAATTAATTTGGGGTCAAACATGCCGAAACACCGAAAAATTGATCATTTCTTCATGGAAATGCAATCAGACCGAGACGCTAAGGCAGAAGGACTACAGCGTCTGCAGTGCAAAATGATCAATATGGTGATTATTACTTCAAGGAAATGATAAAGAAATGATCATAAATGTTCTTCCTTGAGCTGCATAACCCCGCAGCAGTCTGTAATGGACTGGCCTGAGGTCTCGCTACAAACAAGCGGCTGCTGGGAGAGAGTAGGTGAGTTGTTTGGTGGCGTTTTGGTTGAGGTTTCTTTATGGCTCTTCAGACAGCTGTGTATTGCTATCATGTGGTCGTTACTTCAGTTGGTATAACTAGAAGCAAGCGGTCGGCAACATTCACCTCTCGAGGGGGTGTCTAACTCGGTGTTACAGCGTGTTTGACCCTAAATTAATTTTATGCTGGAATATCCCTTTAACTATCTGAGGACGATCTCTGCAAAAGTCCACACATGCAGAGTTTTTTTTATCGTCTTTGATGCATCAGTACCTGTTCACTGGAGTGGTGCAGCAGGCGCTCCTGAGCAATGGAAGTGAACATTGAGCCACTTGCCATCGCGGCGATGCCACACCCTGGTCTCCTCTGATTGGCTGGAGCGAGGGCGGCCCGTGGTGTCCACGAACTGTGTGAGCCGGATGTAAGCGATGCAGGCGGCGTCCTCTCCGATCAGGTGCACGTGGGGGTTGAGCAGGGTGGTGTGCACGGGCTTGCTGTTCTTGCTCAGCACTGGAGAAGGTAAACAGAGTCGGGTCATGAATCTGTCATCCGTACCTGGCGGATTCCTTGATGGATTTATGGCGTTTTCAGAGCGGCGTTTGTGATTTTTTATGCTTGTCAAGTTTCCCCTGGTTCAGTGAGAGGTGATCACACACACACAAACATTTCATCTCTGCCTGTTAACACTGTGGCAAAAACATTCAGCCAAATCAGTGAACTGCTGTGATGGGTTTCTGTGGGTGTTGACTCTTCTGATTTATTGCCTCTTTAAAGGCTAATGGCAGAAAATAACTGTCATTAACTCACAACATTATGAAAAGGTGTTAATCTACAGCGTCAAATAACAACACTCTGTTCATATCTGTTATTGTGCCGATGCTCTGAGGAAACCGGAGCAGGAGTACACATCACAGTCGTCATACATTTTTAATCAGCGTAATTTATGATGGAGGATATGTTGCTGATACTAAACAGACAGTAAACACTCAGCTGCTCTTCATCAGCCCATCTTTCAAATAGACGCACCGTGACAGCCGCTGTTTCATGGGGAAGTGATATAATGCCGATATCATGTTGTTGCTTTTTCCAATATGATGGTACAAACAAATGAGTAAAAATACAACAGAACTTGAACTTTTGTTGTATAGAAAGTATTAAAAGTTTTGTTTTCATAGGTTTTAATGAATAAAAATGGTCCTTTTTACTGTAAATGTGCTTCAACACGTGTTGTTTCTCAGTCTCATGAACCCCTAATCACAGATATTCAAACACCTAGAATCAAAAAAATCTTCTAAAATCCAAACTTTTTTTTTTTTTTTTTAAGGTTTTTAATGAAAGGCATGGTAGATGATTGGAGAGATTGGTAATTATTATGAACCTCGTTTCTATGGCGATCATGTGCGATCTCCACAAAGTGAAGAGAAAAAAAAAAGGAAAAAATCCGTTCAGGTGCAGAGCTGCAAAAACATTGACCAATGGGAGTCATCCGTCCCAGACAGCTCCTATTGGTCAATCTCCTGCTCCGCCTCTCCATCCAATCACCTCGCTGTATTCGACACACCCCTCTCCCCTAGTTTGGACCTGTCCCCTCCCACTCTCCCGGCCCATCTCGGAGGTCAGAGTGGCTAAAAGTAGCATAGCAGCTACTACGCTACTTTTGGCTTACTATGTTAGCTACAGGAGCTGTGGTGGACAGAAGGACGCACAAAAAAAAAAAACACTTCTGTTTGCCCCACCGCTAAAAGTGCTAAGAAAACGCAAGCTGACAGAAGAAAGGTTAGAGACAAAGAAGAAATGTGACCAAGTGAGGAATCTAACTCGAATAAACATCGGGTCATCCTTGGAGCGGTGGAGAAAGCTACAACAGGATTTGGGCCTGAAAAACGAACGCCAAGACATTAGTATTTTTGTTGATTTTGTAATTTTTATCGCCTTCTATCATGTTACATAATTAACCCTTATTAGTCTCTGCAATGTCAACACAGTAGCTGTCCAGGCAGCTGCAGACGGTGCTAGAAAGCAGAGCTGGCGTTTACTGCCGCTAGTCACTAGCAAGCCGATATGGTGAATTCTATCTGAAGCTAGCGTAGGATCATCTGCCGGCCAGCTTCTTGCTCTGCCACTTCTCAGATCGTCAACCATGCCTTTAAGTGGAAACGGTTCCAACAAGACGATAAAAAAAGCAGATTTCCATTGTTTGTGTTCGATAAGTAAATATTTTTGAGTTTGGTGCTCATGCTGGTGAAGAGAAGCCTTTTAGAGGAGTTATGATGGTTTTGTGAACATGTGAAAGTCTTTTTTTTTGTATTCTTAAAGCAATTCTTAAATTTTACAGATCAGCCAGTTAGCAGCTCTTTACCACATTAACACATTTCAGAAGCTGCTGGTGACCTAAGAAGGAAAAGGGAAACAGACCGCACATTTTGGTGATCCTTATCCTGTCGGAGACCGAGCTTCCCCTGGGGCGGGCTGAAAAATATTCATGCCTGTGTGTGTGTGTGTGAGAGAAACAGGAAACTCACAGTTTTCAAAGTAGAACTTGTGGAAGTCCATGCCCTCCACCAGATTCCCCAGGGCCTCGGGTTCAAAAGAGGTGAGTCCAGGATCGCAAATCCTCCTGAGACGGAGAGAGAACCGATAAAGAGGAGGCGGCGAGTGAGAGCGGGAGAGAGTGGGTGAAGCAGTGGAGACATCAGAGAAAAAGAGACGGAGTCTTGGGAAAACATAAAGACGACTTCAACGAACGCCCGCTGCCGTGTTGTATAGATTCTACCTCTGTGATTCACCCACTGCTTTTCATCGCACTCATGCCGCCGTACTCACGTGTAGGCATCGAAGTCTCCATTGTTGATAGCTTCAATCAGCTGCTCTGTTATCTTGATGATCTCCTGTTTACGAGCTGCACAGAGAGGAGGAGAGACGCACACACACACAAACGAAACACACAAACACAAACACACAGAAACAGACAAGTACTTAATGGTGATTGTGGTTCAGCCAGAGAGAGAGTGAGTCAACAATTAACTATGTTGTGGGTTTTACTTGATGACATTTGCTCTCGTCACTTGGGCTGCTGCCTTCCTTCAGGCTCTCTCTTTTCTGTTTCTGCAGCTCAACACTCTCTCTTTAACCTCTCCCTCACTGCGGCTCGACCTCATCGCCGTCTGTCCCTCGGCTTCTCACCTTCTGTGCGACACAAACTGACTAAAACACCACTGAGACACAAACCGCCACCAAAACTGAAAGCCTGCTTGTAAACACGAAAGGCTGAAAAAGGACTGTGACTAGTGTGGAAGAGAGAGTCGGAGGCTTTTTCAAGTTAATGTCAAATATGTAAGGCCTCACATATTGTCATGTCTGCAGAGAATATCCAACTTTACCATCTCAAAGGAGTGTTACATTCTCCACGAACAATTTAACGCTTGTGATAGCGCTTGGATAGTTTCAACGCATCTCTTAAAAGACATCTGAAAAGGCTGAGGCTTGTTATCGAATCCCACGAGGAAGTCCAAATTCAACAATCGATCCGACAACAATGAAGCCGAGGCCCGCCTCTGCGTTTCATTTCTCAGCTGTTGTTCAAAAACAGATCATTCTGGGTCCATGGTGTCTCTAAAGCTCTGTAGAGAGTGTGCTGAAAAATCACCGACAAATATGCTTTCCATTTTTCATATCAGCGATGATTTGTGAGGTTTAACACTGGGTTGTGTTTGTGCGACACTGTTTTAAAGATGCAGTAATGGTGCCTTTGTGAGACTGCATTCAAGATTATTTTGTGTCAATATTTGCGCATAATCAAATCCCAAAGTGATCAAAGCATGCCAGCTTTGTTACACGATCCAAACCGTCACTGAAACTTGAAACAAGCTGAGAGAGAAAAGAAGCAAAACTCGTCATTAAAACAGGAAACTGTTCGCACTTTTACTCACAGGCTACATAACTCGTGATTGTAAGCAGCATATTTACGATCAATTCCTTGAATACCACACCTTCAGTAAAGAAGGATCTACGCTGAGCCACAGACCAGGAGGGTAAACCAGAGAGTCATGAAAATCAAACTGGGAGATTGCTGGTTTTGGTCTTTTTACTGGATTTACTGACCACAAGGAAAAACACCAGTCTGCCTCATTCAAACAAATTATTACTTTTCAGTACTTGTTTTGTTTTTTGCCTGTTTTCATCAATAGTTTCCAGACTTCAGGGGCAGTATCCCGCAAACAAACAGAAAAAACCTTGAAGATCCAGTCCGACCAGTGTTTGGAAACATGGAAACTCCAGTGTAAGCATTATAACAGGTATTATAACTTTCTAACACCTTAAAGCTACAGTAAGGAATTTTTGGTCGGATATGAAACACTCTAAAATTTATCAAGATGCCTCATTATGAGCGACAGAAACTGATTTGGTTTCTTCTAGATTCAAATTTAACATCTGAAATTGTTACTGGGGGGTAGGAGAGGGGAGGTGTGACAGCCCACTGCGAAAACAGCGCCAAAACTTAAAGTGGGTATCATTGTTTGACTGTTATAAGAAAGGAGCCTGTTTTTGATTTTTTAAAGATCTTCCAAGTTATCAGACCCTACTTTGTCTACAGGGGGTGCCAGAACCAACATAAATCAACCTCTAACTCATCGGTCCATCAGTTCAGAGCTAATTACTGCTTTGCCTCAAATTTTTAGGGACAAAAAAATCTATCATTTTTAGCTCAGCTCGTGGGGAAGAAGCGTTTATTTCAAGGGTAAAGATGACAGCTTGAGCTTTTCGGATTTTGTGAACTAAAACAGGATTTAAAGTAGCTATAAAGAACCCCTCAAGTTAGTCAGAAACAATCAAAAATTTTGCTCATATGTATGACAGCCTTGTAATTAAACTTTGTAATTTGGCCCCTGAACATGTATGAAAGTTGCTGCTTTGGCCCTATTTAGGGATATTAGTATCCATTGTAGAAAAAGCTGTATGTCAGTGTGGAAACGTTTAAAAAAAAAGTTGTCTATCAGCTCTTACGGTGGTTTGATTTGCTCATGAAGAGGCATTAGTTTTAATATCAGTGTTTCATAACCAGCTAAAACTCCTCACTGGGGCTTTAACTCAACTTGTAGAAAAAACTAACTAAACACACAAGCCAACATGCTGGGAAAGGACTACAGCTCTATCACGTCAGAGATGATGGGTTTTAGTACAAAACAGCTACAGTGAGCGAGACGAACAAGAAGGTGAGGTTTGTTAGTCATGGCGGTGCTCTTACTCTGCTTAGTGTTGTTTATAGCTGCGACAGTGTTGCTCCCTAGCGGAGCGGCAGGCATGGAGGACTGCGAGAGCTCAGAGTCAGGGCAGGAGCTGTTGCCTGTGCTGTTCCATGCCATGCGCTTTAGGTCATGCGGTGGAACTGAAACACACAATGGATGGTCAACAAAAGGCGGACACGTGGACGGATGACAGAGACGAACATGTGGTCATCCAAACTAACAACATGCACACAAAACTCATGCGCCAAAACAAAAGGAGACGTGTGTTAGTGTTTGGTTAGAATTAATGAGAAATAAACAGTTAGTGTGGGGTTATGACAGGCATGCTGATGGGTAAACACAAGGACAAGATGGCAGCTGGAAGCGAGATCTGTAAAAGCTCTGATGCTGTGTGATGTGCAGTCATTTATCTGCCCGCTCCGCTCACGTCTACTCGACTCTAAACGCTTGTGTGCATTAACAAAGTTTCATCTGATGAGCTGCAGCGATTAGCAAAGAGAGGGATCGAAGCCGTTGTTATGAGCTCATGTTATGCCTGAAGGAAAACTTAGCATGGAGGGAGGAGAGGAGGAAAGAGGAGGAAGGAGGAGAAGAGATCAGACTGTCCTGTAGCGCAGGTGTGTCTGACGAGGGCAGGAGGCCAGGACAAGAGGTGAAGAGGTGAGTGGAGAGATTAGAGCGAAGAGGGAGGGAGAGGTTTGTGAGAGGAGAGAAAGGTGAATCAGGAGAGAGAAATCGGGGGGAAGATTATGAAGAGAAAGCAACAGAGAGGATAAAATGGGGGAGAAAATGTGAGCACAAAGAGGAACCTGATGCTCTGCGGAGTGAAAGGTTCCAGTAAAAGTCAGACGGGCAGCAGGAGCCTGTCAGACAAGGAAGCTGGTTTAGGACACCCAGCTGCAAGGTGAGCAAGGCTTCCTCCAGCTGGAGCTGTCACATTAGGAGGACAAGGGGAAAGATGCAGTGATCACCAAGAAACACACACACACACTCTCATACACACACACATTTTAGGGTTCCCACAGTGGCCCTGATGAAAAAAAAAAACACTTGACTTTTTCTTTTCCACTTTTCATAATTAGGTCCCAGTTCCTCAGCGACCCGAACAATGAGTCTGCTGTTTGAAAAAGTTTCTCCTGAACAAAGTGAACTTCAGTCTGGACGAGGGTGAGGCTGGCTCTGCTGAAGGGAGCTCACACTGAACTGTTTTAATGGACGCACAGCAGGAAATGACCGTCTGCAATCAGAGTGTTAAACAATTCATGCTGGTAATGCATCCTGATTAAAGGAATATTCCACTTATTAACAGCTAGACAGTCCTATCGGTGTAAACAGAGGATTTATTGATTCAGTCTGATCCAAATCCAGAGTATCGATGAAAAACTAAAGAAAAAGTTTCACTATTTACTGTTTTTTTGTTATATTTTTCTTTATGAAAATGCTTAATTTACTAAAGGAGATGGTTAAAGGCTTAAACGAGGCAAAAAAAGTTGATGGTACATCTCTGGAGTTTAATAAATCATGATTAAAAAACAACATTCAATTTAACAAAGCTCTTTACACCAGCCTGAGGGCTTTTTTTTCCTGTGCTGAGAGAAAATAGGAGAACGCAACTCTTTTGTCAAACAGCGTCTGACATCGGAAACATTTACTCAAAAGACTGATCACCTGAGACTCGCTGTGTGCTTTAGGATCATTGGATTAATTTGCATCTGGGCGGCATGAAAGCGCGGCGAATGCAAGCGAGCAGATATAAAAAGATCAATTAAAACTTTAGACGGGTTAGTCACGACGAAATGTTTTCGGTTTGTGTCGTCTCCTCTGACAGATTGTTGAGAAGGTAAAGACGAGACTTAATGCTATATCTTTTAAAAAGCGTACGATACAATTAGTCAGCACTATTTTTTTACTTTCTAATTTTTAATCAGTTCTTTTTCTAGAAACTGACAGCTGATTCCCTGATTCATTTCTGGTTCTTTGCGCCATATCAGGAATTGCCCTTAACTTATAACCTGGCTGTGTTTACACTTGACTCTGATTGGTCAAACCCCCATAATATTTCACCTCAGCCTGTTGGCACTGTGGTGAAAACATTCACCTCAGATAGCATTCTTAAAAGATATTTTAATGTTGTGTTTTGTCTTGCAGCAACAATGTCAACAATCTGAACTTTTGCCTGGTGGTAGTTTGGGTTTCAATGTGTGTCAGCTGCAAAGTTCAAGGCAGAAGGAGAGCTGAACGAGGGGCTGAAATGTCAACAAATATCCCTGCAGAAGTCCTGTTCACCTTGGCTAATGTTGCCTTCTATGGCAATGTTTAGTTAGTTTACAAAAATACAAGCAGGCTAATGTATGACTTTGACTTGGCTGTGATTTGACATATTTTTCCCCTTAAGTATGCCAATAAGAATCTGTTGCTATGGAGGCAAAAACAACCTCTGAATCTAAGAGACTAGTTTTTGATTTTTGTGTAATAAATAAAACCATCTGTAAATCACCAACTTGTGTCGCCTTGAGTCTTCAGTTGGCCTTCAGGTAATAAGCAGGGTAATTCATAGTGAGCGGGTGATTTCGCAAACGCAGCGCCCACAGGTTGAGTAAGAATTCAGTGTGCACTGTAAGATACGGATTTATTAATAACACGTTTTTATTGCTGGATCGGTAGTTGTTGCTGGCATTAACAACCGAGTTGAGGAATCAGTTTAAAAAGAAGCCAAACCGGAAAACTCTGACGTTAACAAGCTTCAAGATTCGCCAGATTATAAACACAAAATTTATTTGGAGGCAAAAACTCGGAGTGAATGTTCGCCAAAATCAATCTGTGACTGCCTGTAGGGTCAGGCTGTAATCAAATGCAGATGGATGATCATACAGTTAGAGTTTGATTAACTTCTTTTAATAAGTTTGGACTTTGTTAGGTCAACTAATCCTGGTTGATAGGAGACTGTCAGGCTAAAACAATGCGGCTGATCTGGATTATTTTGGTCAAATGCGTCTATCTCTTACAAGTTCATGGCTTTCCTTCTTGGACTGGGAGTTGGTTGTTTTTTATGGCTAGCTTAAAACAGCTTAAAATGGTTTCTACTGAGTCAATATCAACTAAAATTGACTAAATACATGAAAGCTTTCAGTCAGGAACCTGCGAACTTTCTATCAGCTTATTATCGATCTTGTGTCCTCAAACAAATCTAAGTTATCTTTTTTTGTAAATCAAAAAATCAATACAAAAACATTTCTAACTCTAAGATGTCCCCGTTTGTTTCTTGATTTTCCTGGATTAAGTCGATGATAAAAAATCAATAAATAAACAATGATAATCTGCGTTTTCTAAACCAGTGGGAACCCTCAAAAAAGCTTGGTGGATCAGAGTGAGGGAGCTCAGAGATGTGAGACATCATTGCCAGTGACTACAAAAAGCCAGGGTGGGAGAAGTGTGGGGGGGGAGGTAGGTGGGTGGGTGGGTGGTTGGGTAGGGGGGTGGGTGTTAGGTCCTTGCCAGTGGCGACCGCACAGCTTGTGGTTGCCATGGATTAAACTTACTGGCAGGTGAGCTTTGAGGTGAGGGCAGAAGTGGGGGCATCTCCTCTGTGGCGCTGCTCTGCGCCGAATTGTCCGCTAGAAACACACACACACGATAAGTACGTACATACACACACACCACAGGCACACGGTCAATAGTGGGAGAGACACGTTTTGTATCTCAGAACACCTGCCAGTCTGTACAGTCAAATAAACACTTAACTTGACGGGAGACAGAGAGAGAGAGAGTGGGTAAGAACAAGAAAAAGGGAATAAAACACTTGAGTACCTTTCGTACCTTTCATTTCCTCCTCGTCGTTGGTGGCGTTGCTCTCTGTTGATCCCTGGAGAGCAGAAAGACGGACAGAGAGAAACTGAAATAAACTCAGCCGGGTTGTCGTCCGTAAGGAGCGAAAGTGGAGCAGCAGGGAGACACTCAGGCTTTCAGATAGACTCGACTCACCTTGACTCCATCAGGAGGGTTGTGGACCACTGTACTCTGAGACTCCTGTGATTCAGAACAGAACAGTTAGTCCATTTCACTGTAGTCCTGATCTAGTGCCTCCCAACTGGCTTTAAACTGGACCCCATACTTCACTTCAGTCGTGAAATCTTAACCTGATACAACACCTTCTCCCTGGTAGTTGTTTTGTCCTCTTTACTGTCAAGAGCATCTTTGAAGAGAGCTTAAAACGTCCTTTTTATGGACATTATATTGAGTGAGATTTCCCGGGATTATTATGCAGCGATAAAAATAGATCTATGTTGAACAAAATGCAGCAGTTTATACGGAGCTGACAAAAGCAGAGGCGGAAAAACACCAAAATGCCTAAGAACATGTGCCACTACATGACCCTGAAAAGAGAGGGACGCAACTGTGGAAGTGTTGCAGTAAGAGAGGTAGTGAGTCTGTATAGTCGAGGAAAACGTCATGTTTTTCATTCTACGAAGCTTCTAGTCATTTGTGAATAAATATGTCAAGATATGCAAATCCTTTCTCCGGGGTCTTTCCATAGTTTGGGGTCCTGCAGCACCAGTTGAAAAGCACTGCAGCGGATTACTCAACGTCATATGTAACACATGCGAGTAAAGCGACTTGAATCCACAGCATGCCAGCACAATGAGGAAGGTTTGGTAGTTTGGTTAGGATGTGAATGGGGGGGGGGGGGACGTTCATGAGATTGTTGAACAGGTTAGGCTGAGAATGATGGTAAAATAGTGGGATAGATGGTTGCAAAGCTGACTGGTGTTAAAAGTTGAGGAAGAGCTGGTTAATGATGGGAGAAATCAAATGACACAGAGGCAAAAACATGACACGCCTGGATTCTACTTTTCTAAAAGCAGCCGAGACCAGATGAACACGGACTCTGGAGTTCTCTGTGCTGACACTTGAAGATCTTTAAGACAGGTTCATGCTCTTCAGAAACTAAAAAAAAAGGTGCTCATGTGCTGATATTCAGTAAAACCAAAATTGAGAATTCCTGTTTTGAATGTTTTTCTGTTTGACTTTCAGGAACACATGAGCACCTTGAGGGGGATCAAACGTCCAGAGGATGGGTGCTGACGGGTGAATGTTACACCCCCTTGATGGCAGATCAACTATGACAAGCAGCGACTAAATGATGAAGGATGATGCACAACCGGCGACTAATGCAACTACTGGGATGAAGGGAGGTGTTAGGAAGTTTGAACCGTCACTGCGGCGGCCTACTGTACCATCTGGGCGTTGGTTGCCATGTTGGTGTCTTTCAGGGCATTGATGGCGCTCACTATACTGTTCTTACTGTTGTTGGTGGAAGGCTGAGAACGCAGACACTCAGAGTGAACACATACGTTACACACACGCCAACATACACACACACACACAGATGCATTAGAACTGCACGCCTTTCAGGGAATGGGGCTAATGTTGGCCGGAGCTCCCAGGCTGTTGAGAGCTTACAGGGTAAATGAGAGGGTGAGTGCCACAGAATGGCCTCTAGATCATCCTTTTTACTGCCTCACTAACTCTCTATGCCTCCGCCACTTAACTGCACAGAGAGACCCCTGGGGCGGGGGGGAGAAAGAGAAGGAGGCAGGAGGAAGAGGGAGAAGAGGAGAGATGCTTAAGAGCAACAGAGAATGGAGGAGACTGCTCGGAAAAAAAAAAAGGGCAGCAAACCTTTAATAGAGATCGAGTAAATGTGGAAGATTACATAGAAAAACAGCGAACTGATAGTTATCACTGAGAGGACAGGGTTTCTCGAACTTGTATGGATGTAACGATACATTAACATCAGGTTAAGATACAGTTCTCCATGCTGTGTCTTTAGGGCGCTTTTCAGATTAAAAGACTGAAAAGACATGTCGCAATCGGCCGATGGTCAAATTAAACGATAGCTTCCGTCAACGAGGTGCACACTGAAACCACTAGGCCAACCGGCGCCCTTAAAGAGAGTATTTCAAAATAGACATGAGTCATTAAACAGGGAAATGCAGTCTGTATCCTAATAAGAGTTAAGGCTAGCAAAGAGCACCCTGTTATTCATGTTACTGCACCAAAACACTACAAATGGACACAGGCCCTTATTTGAGGTGCTTTTATCTTGGCGTTTTTACAGCTCGATGCCCTGGGTTACTTTATTTCCTCACAACTCACAGGCGAAGAGTCGAGAGGGAGAGGTATTGTTCAGTGGGTCGTTGATAGTGGGTGGGAATATTATGGATGTAGTTTTAAAAAAAAAACGCCAGACTGGTGAGTGAATTTACTTTTGCAGGAAGTGGAGGTATTACATACATGAAGGAAACACTGTGTTGCATCTTCAGCTGCAGAAATTTCTGTTTCTCTCTTATCAGTTCGAGGCACAAGTGACATGATGACATCGTGACGAGGGAAATTAACGGCTCATTCCTCATCTCACAGATTTGGACGTTTCATTCGAGTAACAATCCTCCGTTACATCCCTATACAAACTTTCTGTGCGTGGGATCGAACAACAAGCTGCAGGAGGTCCAGATGAATCCCCTCCTGTAGCAAAACTATCATTTACTTTGTGGGAAATATATTACAGGATAAAATATAAGAAGGAGGAAGTGAGCTTTGAAAGAGTCAGTAAGAGGAACAGAAAGTAACACAACAGGGTCATTAAAAAGGAGAGACAGGACGTGATGTAGCAGGACAAAAGAGGACAGAGAAATGACATGACAGCCTTACCTTAGCAGAATCTGACTTCTTGTTGAGTAAACTTTTGCATGCTGTAAAAAGAAGGGAGGATAGAGGGGGAGAGAAAAGGAGTAGAAAGGAAAAGTTTAACTGTTGACGACAGCATCCGTGCCAATCCATACTTTGTATTCAGCTTTTATAGGAACCCGCAACTTGTGCAAAAACCCGGAGCTGCAATTTTTCATATCTATGAACCCCTCCCCCCCCCCCCAACACTCCCGTACCTGAGTCTTCATGACAAAGTGAGTCTGGGTGTTGCCAGAGAAAAACATGCATTTAATGGATTTCTGGGGCAAGTTGCTACACTCTGCAAAACCCATTCAACATCATAATCCATTCATTGCCATCTGGGGATAAAAGAGTAACCTGAGAGCAAAGTAAACTTCCTCAATCCATTTCCTGTCTGGAAGACCCCAGCAGATCTAAAAAGAGAGGGATGGTCAGACTCAAACTGCCGCCAGGACTGACGGACATGAGCTGGGTTAATGTAAATCATTGATTTCCTTTACGGCCCCTAGTCCCTTTTCCTCTCGCTCTAAAGCTCTCAACTTTCTCTTGCTTCCTTTTTCGCCCATTTTTTCTCTGATACATCCCCCCAAAATCTTATCTTTGGTGTCTTACCTTCCAAAATGAAATGGGAGAGGGGAAAAGGGGGAGAGACAAGGGTTGGAAAAGAGGGCTCAGCATTTCAATACATGAGAGGATGGAGATACGGGGAACAGCATTTACAGCGGCAAACAATATCATGTGACAACTCATGCTTCTTAGTATCGGCTGTTGCGTCGATATGCAGCTTCAATCTCGTCCCGATCATGCAGCATCCAAAGAAAAAATATAAACAAAAAAGAAAATTTTCAATCCAGAACCAGTGAAATGAGAGCTGATTTGTCAGAGCCATCATCATTCGGCTACGTCTTCTACCAAACAGCCATCAGGGTGCCAATCGTGACAGCATGGGGGCACCATGTTCAAATGCTCTCTGAACACGTCCTCTCCTCCTGAGAATCATCCCGAACTCCACCAAACAGGGTGAGTCGAGTCAAGATGACCCACAGCAGGAGCTCCTCACCACCGCAGCCACATACTGGCTCCATGATGAGCAGGGAAGGACGGATTAGAAAGCATCTGAAGTCGCACCGCTCGAAAGCCTTTTTTGATTTTAATTCTACACAGGATATAAAACCACACAGGACACCCACATGCGAAAGGAAGCATGGCAAACACCTTTCTAGAAACATAGAGAAATGCTTCAAATGCTTCAGTCACATTTTGCTATAATGTCGTTGGAAAAGAAAAACATCATGAGCAAACTGCCAAGCCTTGTCTCAGCCAAAATCTGCAGAGATGTGCAAGGAAGCTGTAACAGTAAAAAAGTGTTTGCAGTGATGTGGGACATCATCAGAAAACAACAACTAGAAAAAAAGGCTGCACTCTTTAAAAAAAACAAAAAAGATTAAAAGGAGAGCTGAGAAGGTCTGTCTGGAGTGATGATGCCGCGTGCGCTTCAAAAATAAACTTACAAACAGGCAACTTGGTCCGGGATCAGAGGCAGCCCGCATTCAGAGGGCTCTTGCTGACAATCAAACCACCACAAACATCCCAAAACTCAGTGCAGCAATCACACATTCCTGAGGTAACACCCACCTCCCCTGAAACACTTAACTTTAAGCCCTGACTTAACACAAGTCCTAGTAACCTACGGATAACTTTTTGTACACTGTAGGGCAAACAGGATTCTCTCGTATGTCAAAGTGTTAGAAAATCCAGTCTGCTCTACACTGTCTGCTTCTAAGATACTGAATCCATGGAGCCACCATCGGAATCGCCGACCTTTACCACCCACCCATCCCCACCCAGCAGGACGGGGAGCAGAGCTTGACTTTAGTACTTTCCAAACAAAGGAATCCATCCCTCTTATTCTTTGTAAAATACACTCCAGTATTTGACAAGTGTGGTGGCAGGTTTACGACTACGCTGCCTTGTGGCATTCCTGTTTCGAGAGGACCTTTTTGGAAAGCACTAAAACAGACCCCATATGGGGAGATGAGACGTGGGATGCCTTTAACCTCGAGGGATTCATCAGGGAAGCAGCGATGGCTTCAACAGTTGGCTCTGTGAGAAGCACTCCCATCCGTCTCAGCCTCCCCCCTGCTCCTCCACATCCGCCTTTTCCCACCCCACCCCTCCAGACCCAGGTCAGACGATGGCAGCACGCCAACCCAGCTCTTGCCGGCCCCCTGCAGTGTCAGTTCCAGCCCCCAGGATACATGCCCCTCCTCATCCCCTGCCCCATCCCACTCTGTGCCCGTCCTCGCGGCCTTAGCCGGGGGAGAGCACAGGTGAGCGTGGGGTCAGCTGGAGTTCAGGATGGAGCTCGCTGGAGGTGACTACAAAACTGATTTTGAGGATGAAATGGGGGGTTACTCGACTAAGGCTCAGTAGTGGTGAGGTGTGAATGTGAGAAGCACTTTGGAGCGCAGGTTGGACTGAATCGATTACCGTTAAGTGATGCTGATATTTATGACTGTGTGCATTATGTCTTTGCATTACTGCAGACAACACACAAAACCTGAGGGCCTAATGTGTGTGAGTATGCATGCATATGTGTGTGTGGGTGTGTGTGTGTGTGTGTGTGGATGTTGATGAGGGAATGTTGGTAAAGGCTGCATGCAGGAGTGTGAGGGTGGTGATGGGGTCTCGCCCCTGCGCTATGAACCAAAAGAAGTAACTGTGTGTGGAGAGGAGGTGGATGGGCGTGTCTCTGGGACGTACCTTCCTGAGCCAGTGTGGCCGTGGAGGAGGCGGCAGCAGCAGAGTTGGTATGCTGCCGGCCCACTATTGGACAGAAATGCTACAGTTGGGTGGGGCTGTGCAAATTAGGCAGGTCTATGTCAGGCTTTTTCACTCATGGGCCCAGTGAGCTACAGGGAGTGCTGGCTGCAGCCCAGACGCATCACAAGGTTTGATGGAAATGGGCTGACGCTAAAGACGTGCACCCCTGTGGTTTCCTAGGCCCAGGGTTGAAATCATTAACCATTGACTGACCACTTAACTTAAGAGGCTGAGAACAAGGCTTCAACGAAAACAAGTCACTCTCAGAAGACTGAGAAGAAAAACACTTTATAACACCACACTTTTCCCCCCCAACATTAAAATCTCTTATGACTTTAGGCTTCCTTCTTTTGAACATGCAAACGCTCCGTGGGCAGCAGAAAAGAGGGACACACACACTCTCTCGCTCACACACACACACACAAACACAGACACACAGGGAGAGATACATTAGCATGGACAAGGACGTAACAAGCGCCCACATATAATCTGGTACATGACAGAATAACACATATCAGCTTTTTTAGCAAACATCACAGATGTAATTCACTCAAAATAATCCAATATTATCAATACATTATCTCTACTATAACACCAATAGAGCTGCATGTTCTGAATCAGTTTGATAAGTAAGAAACTCCTGTACACACTCAAAAACATATTGTTATTTTCAGGATGTGTGGGTGAGTGTGTGTTCATGTGTGTGTGGTGAGGGGGTTAAAAGAATTGCAGAGGACTCTATCCACTCTCCTTCCTCATCTCCCTTTTGCATTTGCTGCGTAGGAGGCTGAGGGCGAAGGGCACACCCACCTGAGAAGTTTCTGGACACCAACATGGTGGTAAGAATGGCTCCCTGGAGGAGGAAGAGAAAAGTCAGGGAGGTATAATAAGTACAAGGCGATTGGTTTTATTTACAAGGATTCAAGTCTCTCTTCCCCGACTTACTGCTTTGTATTCATCTCTGAGGGGACGACAACGTTATTATCTCACTGTCTTTTTCAGGATGTAAACCCAGTCAAGGCTGAGTGTTTGTTTGTTCTCTGTCCAACAGCGGCTAATTATTAAAATACTGTATCTATCGTGATACAACTGAGATGCACAATTAACGGTCTTCACATCTTCAAGTCCCAGAACATTTTCTTCTATGCAAATTTATTTAAATGACTTGGGGAAAAGAAGAACAACTTGATCCATTAGTTTGCATGTTCTCATGTTAATGCAAACTGCGGCTGAATGAGGCGGCGATGGTTTTAAACGTTTCAATACAGCTGCTGATACCAGTGTGAGAGAAACCACATGAGTCTGAAACGTGTAAATTGACGATTTAAATGGTATGGAGCGAAATAAACTGGAATTGTGTCTTCTAAATGTCATGTGGTTTTGTGTGATACAACTAATAGAAGAACAGTGAGACCTGTATCTAGATATAAATGTTTGAAATAACAGAAGACAACCCTGATTATGAGGCGACTCCCCTTTTCATGACTCAATATTTTCAACAAGAAAATGATTAAATTTTGAAATACCGCTAATAACGCTACTTAAAGAACATATGTAGTTCTTGTATTTTAAAATAAAGTTAACTGTTTAATAGAAAACTTTATGACCCTGTGTGTAAATAAATCATTTAATAAGGGTTTTTGAATTCCGTAACAGTTAAAGGTGCAGTCTGCAGAATTTGGCAGGATTTAGCCGCACAAATATGGAAGAAATTGAGTTTTATATTTGATTAAATTAGTTTGAAATCACCTGAAAACAGAGAATAGTTTTGTTTTTGTTAACTTAAATTAAGTCTAGACAGGGATAGGTTCTCTTCCATGGAGAACACCATCTTGATTTACCACATTTCTACAGCAGCACAGAGCAGACAAACTCGTAACATGAGCACTTTAGTATTGTACAAATACTATAGTGTTTTTACAGAGAATTATTTGTACTGATAGACGATTTTGATGGTAAAAATTTGGCAAATAAAGAATCAGACCTAAAGTGAACCGGCAGTCCTTAAAGGCCACTGTTGCTACAGAAAGTGTTTCAGTCAAGAATCCTGTTGCTAGATACTGTTGTGTATTCCCAATTTTACAAACTGCACCTTTAAAATAGTCTCCAGTCTATCCAATGGAGGACAGGTCTGGTACTTGAGATTTAAAAAAGGTCTTTATATGCTAACTTTTCTTTTGAAACTGACACTGTTGGAATGTTTCAACATTTCAATTTCATAACTCTGCTGAATTGAGGTCGTGATACACACATACTGTTTTGTCATTAAGTGACTTAATCCCTAATATGAGACAATCCCTTCATTCAAATACATTCAAAGGAACACATTTGGTGCATTATGCTTGTAACTGAGGGGAGTTCAGAAACCAGAAAGTTGGCCGATCAAAAGTCAAGATGGATACCTTGAGTTTTCGGCGAGCGTTGAACTTGCGGAGACACTCGACAGTTTCCTGTCTGTGCATCATGGAGGCCACTGTAGAGCGGTGCTGCAGGACGGAGAAACACATACGATCAGACTCAGTACTGAGAATTCATGAACACAATGTGATAACGAAGATCTCTGTCTGCACACCTGTTTGAATCAGCCTGTGTGATTCTATTATCTTTGAGCGGTTAGAGTGAGAGGGTGAATACTTACGCAGACCCAGGGGTGTTTGAGGGCCTGTTCGGCAGTGATTCTCTTGGCGGGATTGATAGTCAACATCTGGTTGATCAGGTTCTTTGCCTCCGGAGTCACTGTGTCCCACTCGGGAGAAGGGAACTGGGTGAAAATGAAGACAACGATGAGGGTGAAAGTTGCGAGGACAGAATGCAGATCTGAACCATGCTTAGTCAGGGACTTGTTAAGAGTTTGCATCATCGTGTTCTAGCTAATCCACACCATCTGGACTCCAGGTCCCGAGTTAATCAGTCAAAATTAGACTGCGGCGAGAACAAAACTGTTAAATGTTGTTTATGCAGATTGATACAGAGGCATGAACACATGCTTCTGTTTTGGGTTTTAAAACCTTTTTTTTTTTTCTTCTGTTGACTAAATTCCAAACAAACAGCCTGCTTGTTTGAGCCTTCGCCAGTCTCTCTCTCTTTCCAAGCTGCATTGTGACTTTATTATCCAGAGACCAAGAGAGGAGGATACCCCTTCTCTGATTCTCTCTCCTCACACACAGACAGACAGAGACACACACACACCCCTCTCTGCAATGCGTCAGGGAGGCCCTGATAGGATCAATAGCTTTGGACCAGCTCTCAATTGGACACTATTAAACATTCAAAAAGTGCTTAGCAAACCCCTGCACTGCACCCTTCACAAATAAACACTTTAGCCACACACAGACGCACACATGCGCACACACAATGCAGACTCACGTCGTATGCTCCAGCTTTGATCTGCTGATAGAGTTTGTGCTGATCTTCATCCCAGAATGGAGGATACCCCACTAACAAGATATAGAGAATAACGCCTGACAGAGAAGAAAGAGGGGGAGAAAGATTGAGAGAAAGATCACGTCTGGATGGAAAATTATTCTCATTCTGATCGTAAAGACAGTTTTAGTCATACAGGCAGTTTTATATCAAGTCATGTTGCACAATAGGAAAGTTTCATTGCATTATACAGTGCACAACCTGCAATTTTATGATTCAAGAAAAATGTGCATAACAATGAAGCGCTGCAGTGCTGCAGAGACGCACTGTGCTACTGATCTTATTCACTGTTGTCAGGTACAGATGACACATCGTCTTTTTTAAAGTTTCAGGGTGTTAAAAATAAGAGTGGTGTTGTTAAAATGATTATTCCCACTCATTTAGATTCACGTCTGATTGAAATGTCTTTGGAAATCAAAACAGGGTTTTATGTCTGCTACAGCATCCTGCAGCTTTCAACATAAATAACCTGTTTCTGATGAAATAGATGTTAGGTATGTTAGGGCTGGAACGATTTCACCTCACCATTACTGCAACCAAGGAAATTAGTCAGTAAAATCAATGAAAGGTTAACCGAGGGTGGGGTGGTAAAATACTCGTCAGACTCTACTTAAAAATGTCCCTGACTCACTTAGATGTCATCCTTTTCAGCAGAAACTTCCTGTCTTTAGGAGGGCTGCTACAGCTAGCTACCTCGCTGCTAACCAATTGCTGCTTCTTCTTCATCATCTCCACTATAAAGGTCCTTAAACACAGGACTGTTTTTTTCGTGCGATTATTTTGGATGTCAATATTTTTTACGAACCTGCATCCTGTCAATACAAGCGTTCACATCAGCAACGTTTTCCCGTCCTGTGATATTGCGGCATTTATTTTTTCGTATCACAGTCGAATTTTCTAAAGTTTTGCATATTTTGCACAATTTGCAATCGTGTTGCTGTCACAGCACCATTAGGTCTCGGTTGTTACCTTAAGTTTATGGATTATAGTTTAATGTGTTTATCTGGTACTGGCCCTGACTCAGTACATGCTATCATGACAGACAGTCATCTCAACACTAGTGTCCAATCAGAACTGAAAAACAGTCAGTCTGCTGTTGGGTCAGTATTCTCGCTTCCGCCCGGGCCGTGTCTTTTTTTCCCCCTGGAAAGCCGCAAAATCGCATCGTGCTTTATGTGTATAGTCAGGCGCGTCAAAATTCGCCTCCGAATATTTCGTAATTTCGCGTTGTTGGTAACCATCTTAAAATATAAATATAAATATTTTATTTTTCAAACTGTTATACTGTTATACATCAAAAAAGGCTATCACAAGGAATTGTAAGGTGTAAGGAGAATCCACCCAATCAGAAAAACTGGTTAGACAAGGTATAAGAACTATATGAAATGGAGAAACTAGGACACACTCTACGACTCCAACAAGAAACAAACACCAGAAAGTGGGAAAAATTGAACAAATATAAATCTATTCACATTATTTAAAAAAAATGACAACTTTGATGGAGGCTACATGGACAATTTTTTTCTCTTCTCTGTGAAAGACACCATGTTTTGCGTTTGTTTTTATTTATATTTTTCTTTGTATGACTGTATATCTTGTTTCTGTTAAAAAATGCAAATAAAATCTAAGTTCACAAAAAATGTTACACTGATACATTGTGACAGCCCTGAAATAAATCAAGAATATAGAAAATGTGAAAAAAAGGAAGTGCTGAAACTCACCACAAGCCCAAATGTCCACAGGTTTTCCGTAGGGGTCCTTCCTCAGGACTTCAGGGGAGAGATACCCGGGAGTGCCCGCAAAGCCTGGCCGACAGAGACACCAGAAGACGCAATTAACTGATGTCTCTTATTAAACTTGTGATGGAGGCTATTTCTGTGCAGTAATGTGAATGGTTCGGACGATGGTGACCTGTTGGACTCCGGATTATGACAGTGTAGAGTCACAAGCAAATACCCTTTAATCATCTCATCCCTGCCGGAGAGTCGGCCAAATGCTGGCAGCTCGGCCGTTTGCCAAGACACAATGGCCTAAGCATGAACTGGAAGAGTGTCTGTGAGCCTCTTAAGCGACGCTTGGACAACGAGCATTTGGCCTCCGAGTGTGCAGGCTGACGTGTATGCATATGTATGTACACAGACCTACCGTCTGAATGAGGGCCTTTTCAGCAGTGATCCTTATGTTTGACACAGAAACTATGGAGTGCTAAACACTCGAGCAGAATAACAGCTCAGTTAACGGTCCGGCACATTTGATTTGTGGGAGTCACTGTTTATGTTTTCTTACCGAACCAAGCCTGCTGGTCTCCCTGCACTTCAATAGCAAGGCCAAAGTCTGCCAGCTTCACTGCAGCTCCCTTCATCTTACTGGCCAACAACAGGTTCTCAGGCTGAGGAAGACACACACACACACACACATGGTTAAGCAGAATGTAGGACAAGAGATCAAGACAGTGAGAGACAGATAGTGACAGGCACTCTTCAGTAAAGCTCTTTCTGAGAAATATTCACATTTGATGTATTCGACACAGCTCATGTGGGGGTGGGGGGGGAAAGGTGTGAGAAAGCGATGGAAACACGGAGGATGTAGAGAAAGAGACAGAGAGAGAGGATGGGTGGTTGAGAATCTCCACAGTGCCTTATATGGGCATGGGTCGGTAGCCATAGAAACCACTCGGGAGTCATTTAGGCAGCGCTGCAGACTGCATGCTAAATGGAAAGTGTACTTAGCGAGAGGCGGCGTGTGTGGCGGCGTTCTAAATGGCCGTTGTTTGGGCAGTGGGACATAAATGGCCGCAGTAAAAGCCCACTCAGGATAAAAGGCCAACAAATCAGACAGGCGGTGCTCGAGGTAATAGCATTATTCTCTGACACACACACATAGAAAAGCCGCTCGCATGAGTCTGACACACCCCTTTGAGGCTGTTTTCCCCTCATGCTTTGCGGTTTGTGTTTGAAAACATACAATTCAATTCATATCATCAGCCGAGTTTCCTTCCTGGGCCGTGATCATCACTTTTAAGTAGGTTAAGCACAGAACTGAAGGAGGCAGAAAAGCTGTCTTCCTCCACTCTTTCGATCTCAGCCTATCAGCTATTAAGGATGATACAAGCCCCTCCTTTAGTGCTCTATGGGTGGTGTGATGTCACTCCGGTTGTCGTGGCAACCCATGAGGTTTATCTATGCCTCCTCTCTTATAATAGACCCCCTCCTGCACAAAAGCACAAAGTGTGTTCATGTGCCGCTCGAGTCCTTGTCTTTTCCTTGCCATAGGTGAGAGACCGACCCCTGCACGTGATCGTGACTCACCATCTCTGCGCTCCACATAAACGCACGTGCACGCTCGCACGCGCGCAAACAGACACGCCGCCGATGATGTGCTGACACATCTGAGAACAGGCGGATGAATTTAGGAAGAAGAAGAAGAAGAAAAAAAAAGGAACAAAGGGTGGGAGAGAGGGATGCGGGGGGGAAATGATAAGTGATAAAAGCAGAAAAGAGAAAAAGACAAAAGAGAGATAGAGAGGGAGAGAAACTGAGAGCCATCTGTGTGTTGCCATGGCCACAAGCAGAGGTGTGTGTGAGTGTGTAGTTGTCACGGCAACGGGCAGCCACTCACCTTGAGGTCTCTGTGCACAATATCATGCTGGTGGATATGATTGACACTCTCCAAGATCTGACTAATGCAATGACTACGGAGAGAGAAAAGGGGACAAAACAGAGAGAGAGACGTGTCAGTCGCTGCCCTCCTCCATCACAAAATCAAATACATCACATGGACTGGTTAGAGTGTTTTCTTTGAGACCAGTGGAATATAATCTGGTTTAAACCTGAATGCCAACCTAAAACTATGAGATATGATTACATTAGTACAGATAGCAGGAATACATTTGAATCATTAGCTATAGTTTCTGATGTCTACCTTCTGTTCTCTGTGTTTTACCTGATTGTTGTGTTTGCAGCATTTCTTTCATGATTCCAAAACAAATCTGAAAACTGCTTTTTTCCACCTTTAATTGACGCCAATTTATCTGAGGGGAGCTGATGGCAAGCTCGAGCTTCATCTGATTTCATCAACATGGTGTGAAAGCATGACCACTCTACCCAAAACAAACACAATAAATTGTTTTGGGTAAAAAAATCACTTTCCCTGCATTCTCAGGATGAATTCAGACTCTGCAATTTTCTTTGCAGTAAATGCTTCCATTTGATATATTTTACAATAAAAAAAGGCAATTTTAACATTTCCCAAAGCTCCTGTGAGAAGCTTTCAGCTGTTAACAGAGAATCCTCTTTCTAACTTAAAAAAAAACAAAAAAACAAGCAGAAGGTTGATGACCGACATACGAGAAACAGCCATAGACTTTTCCATACACCGAGTGACACTTCACCTTTAAAGAAACTATGTTTTAGTCAGAAAACACTTCTTACACATGTTAAGAATAGTATAAGCAAAAAAAAATAACATCAGATGTAGAGATGGAACGATTAATTGGTCAGACTGATTTCTGGCATCCTGAAATAATCGACTGACATCTGCTGACATCAGCTGATGTCTGAGTCCAATTACAAAACTGAACAGGTCATAACTGCAGACACTGCAGGCACTCTTTGTCAATGTAGCTACTGTCAAGAAACATCAACATCCCATTATCCCCTTATTATAGCAGATTAAATCAGAGAGGATCAAGTCTAAGTCACTGTGAAGTGTTAAATTTATATCACTCATAATGATCATAGGCGTGTTGTCGCTCCTTGGAAGCATGCTGAAACGCTTACTTTTGAAAGTTTACAGGACTTGATTTCTAAACGGGATTACAGCCAACCAACTCACATGGCTCTCATCAAAGGTAAAACGGTAACATCTGAATCTACTGAGATTGAATATGCAGAAAAACACAACAGAGCCTCCAAACAGAGTCACAGTTTGGATTTGACTGGTTTGTGTGACTTTTTATTTTTGGATTCAGAGACCTTTAATGTTAAGATCCTTCACTGATGTGGATCTGCACATCTGTATAATAGGGCCCGACGGATATGGATTTTATGGGGACGATGCCGATACCAATTGTGTAGCAAGGCTAATAGCAGATGGCTAACTCTAACTTAAGCTTGCATTTTACATGGTCCTTCACCGTTAACTTGGCGTGACCGAGACCAGCACAGCAGGGAACATCGTGAAGTGGGTTGAACTGAAACTTGTTGACTTATTGTGTATTTCACAAACTGGTTTATTTACTGTTGAGGCGGACCACTCTCCTCTGTGCGTCCCTACTGCTTTTTGCTTAAGATCTGTCACTCGGATGAAGATTGTCATGGGGTCGCTGCGCCATCTACAGGATAAGTTGGGGGATCTTTTCAAATGGCGGAACATTTTCAAAGTGAAATCGAATCTTATTCTCCACATTTTATTTCTGAAAAGATCGACAAAAATTGGCAAGTTTTGGCTGATTACCGATAAATCTCAAACGGGCTAAAATTGGCGGATTTAATTGGTTCACCGATAACTCGGCCAGGCCCTACTACCCCTGTACCACACAGTACCACATAATAATGTACCTCAGTGGGACACAGGTCTATTAGTGAAGAAATATGGCTGCACAAAAACAGTATTATGACCATAGTTTTGTCATTTTTAGGCAGAAGTGCTGACCAGTCTCATCTTGGAGAGTTTCCACACTGTGATGATCACTTCTGTATCTCTGTATATTGAACAACTTTGAGCCAATGCAGGACAACATTTCACTGACAGTGACAGTTTTATGGCTTTGTGTAAAAATATACCTTTGATTAACAGACATTTCAACCACCAGGCTGAGCGGCATAACAGACATTAACTTAACAACCACTATTATTTTTCAAAAGCATAATCAAAGTCCCGGAGTTTTAAACAATCAATACTGAGCAACTGATGTGGGAGGCCTCACACCACACAGTCAATAAATCTCTATCCTGGTAGCAATTTTAATAATGGGGGCGTCAATTCAGCTGCTACTAATACAGTTATTTTTCAATTCTGGCTGCCGAGCGTGTTTTCACACTCGCTCGCTGGTGAGTGTGTTGGCTCATGATGGGTCTTATAAAATGTTCCTACGAGCCAGTACACGACCACCTTATTACTGTCCTGCACACTGTGGTGTCAGGCTCCACCATCCCACTATTTGAGGCTCGTGTTCATGTCACGTCTCCAGAAAGGTTAACAGGTCAAAGGGCACAGCTAGAGAGAGCGAGCGAGAGAGAGAGAAAGAGAGAGAGGCGGGGGCTCGCCGCACGTGGCTTCCTTTCTGTTTGTGTGTTTTCAACCCCCCTCCGTGTGTGCGTGAACAGACAAAGACCCCTAATCCAATTGTACAACAGACTTCATAAGCTGCGCACCACACAGCCACAGGAAAAAAAGGAGGGGAACTCCCAGAAGGAAGATGCGGCGAGGAAGGAGAGAAAGCTTAAATGTCACAATGTCGACAAAATGTCAGAATGTGGTGTAAAATGCCCAATGCTGCGCCACGGGAGCCAGGAGGATGACGTCTTCGAATTGCATGTTCTGTGCAATCAGCTGGCTAAACCCCACGGATAACCAATGTGAAAGAATAAATCCCACAAATGAGCAGAAAACTGTGATTTTTGTCAGAATTCATAAAGCGGTGTGTGATCAGTTTGCTGGGCTATGTAGATGTAGGATGGAGTGACGCATCTAGTCAAATAGAGATGAGAGACCAGTATCACAACACACTTGTTGATGAGGGGGGGGGTGCGTTTGCTGCCAAGAACACAGGCAAACCGATTATATCCACCACTGTGCGCCTGTGGGTTCACGCTCATAAAATGAGAGTGAGCATTCATATATTTAATGGGATTACACTGTATGTTTGCAGCAGCAGAGCGTGTGTTCATATGTTCATATGGAGCCGCTTACCTGGCATCAGCCTCACTGTAGTACTCCCTGGCTACAATGTCTTCAAACAGCTCTCCTCCTGTCACCCTGGGAGAGGGGAGGAATGAAAAAAGGAGGAGGGAGGGAAGGAGAAAGAGACAGGAGAGGCAGGAGATGTTAGCATACACAAACAAAAAATGTGGTCACACGCATGAATAAAATGTCACAGTGAGTGTGCACGTGTGAGCGTGGAATATACTCACAGGTCAAAGACTAGGTAATGAAAGCCTTCCTCTGAAATGCTGTCATGGAGTCTCACTGCGGGAGAGAGGAAGGGCAGTGAGATGGAGATATGAAAACAGGAGACGGGTTAAAAGAAGGAGAGAAGTGCTGCAGTGTTTGAAGGGAGAAATGAACCAAGGCCAAGCTGAGGAAAATGTCAGCCGTGGCTGTGACGTTTTGGGTAGCGCTTCTCGTTGTTAGGCGAGTACCTGCCATTTACTTAAACCCCAAACATGGTGAGATTTTTTTTCATGTATGTCAACAAGTATGAAAAACGTGAAAAAGAACACAAAACTCAGCTTTAAGAAGAGAGGGACCATATTGTCTGTGACTCAACTCTTCCAAAAGTGGACTGAAACTGAAAGTTCGCTTAAACATTTACTAGAATTACTACTTAATCACATGATTTATTACTGAAGATAAAATACCACCTGGATGTCAAGAGCAGCCATGTGTTATTAGCTAGAATGCTGGCTTTAATGCTCTACCACCTGGATGTTACGAAGCACAGATGACAGCTAGTGTCTTAGAGTTTCAGAGTATTTAAATACAGGCTTTTTACAGGCTAACAGAGCAGGTATCAAGATCAAACTGTGCAGTTATGAGTAAACCGTTTCAGGTTTGCAGAGTGTGTTTTTGTGTTTCGGTTCGCTAACTGGCTGGTCGCGGTCAACCACTGACCACTGAAGCTTATCATATTCCTCACAGTCTATGCAGATGGTGAAACAAGTCAGCCGTCAAAATGGCAACCGCAGACTGGCGTCTTCTGAGCAACATCTGTCTTAATGAATCGAAACCACCTCACACATACGAACGAGTCACATCTGGTGATATAATCCAACAGTTTCCATTTTGAGGCTGCTGATGTTTGTGTTTTGTGACCTGGTGCTGTTTGTTCACACATGTTTACCTTCAACCACATAGCCAGCTACACTAGTTTAGCTTGTTGTGAGGTGTGAAAACTCTGCAGGCAAAGCAGTCTTTCCTATGAGGCTTGAACAAATACAGTTGAACGTGTGAGCTCCTGCGATGTGTTTTGATCAGTTTTACAAAAGGAGTAAAAGTTTGGTATTGTCAATTTGCAAAACAGCCATTAAAGGGATATTCTGGCGTAAAATTAATTTAGGGTCAAACACAGCGTAACATCGAGTTAGACACCCCCTTGAGAGATGAATGTTGCCAACCGCTTGCTTCTCTAGTTATACCAACTTTAGTAACGACCGCACGGTAGCAATACACAGCGGTCTGAGGAGCCATTAACAAACCTCAACCAAAACGCCACTCTATAGCCACAAATAATGCTCAGAACAGCACCTAACTTCATCAACAGTACATATAGGGTCCTAGCCACAGCACTAGCCACCAAACATCTTTTTAACTTTGCCTAGTTTCTTTAGCAAAGAGACTAAACACAATTCACCGACTCCCTTCCAGCTGCAATTTGTTTGTAGCGGGACCTCGGGCCAGTCCATTACGGGCTACAGCGGGGTGACGCAGCTCAAGGAAGAACATTTATGATCATTTCTTCGTGAAAATGCAATCAGACCGAGACGCTAAGGCAGATGAACTACCACGTCTGCAGTGCAAAATGATTCATATGATGATTATTACTTCAAGGAAATTATCATAAATGTTCTTCCTTGAGCTGCGTCACCCCGCTGCAGTCTGTAATGGATTGGCCAGGGGTCTCGCTACAAACAAGCAGCTGCTGGAAGAGAGTGGGTGAGTTGTGTTTCGTCTCTTTGCTAGACGTTTGGTGGCTAGTGCTATGTACTGTTGATGAAGTTAGGTGCTGTTCTGAGTATTATTTGTGGCTATAGAGTGGCGTTTCGGTTGAGGTTTGTTGATGGCTCCGCGGAAGTTGGTATAACTAGAGAAGCAAGTGGTCGGCAACATTCAACTCTCACGGAGGTGTCTAACTTGGTGTAACGATGTGTGACCCTAAATTCATTTTACACCGAAATATCCCTTTAAAATATTAACCTTAAAGCCATATATTGCTCACCCCTACTTGTAGTCATAGTTTTGTTGCTGAACCTATTTTTTATTAAAACTGCTCAAACAAAAAAAATTCAGCATCAGGTTTAAAAACTCCCACTTGCGAAGTCAAATTACCAAACAACTGATGTCGGCATGATTCATCAGTCTTGGAAATGTTATGTTTGCAAAAGACTAATTCTCCTAACAGTAACACACCTGATTACTGACAGAGATAAGAAGCCTTGTGTGAGGAGTAGAAGAATTCAGGTGGAAAGTACAGTAATGAGCTCATAATCGCATAATACTGTGGTTAAGCAGTGACTATCTGAGCCCTCCTGTCATCACAACAACACAACAGCAGAATAACAGAGCAGCAAACAAGCAGCAGAGGCCAGCTGTAAGCAGAGAGGCCTGAGATACAGCTTAGGTTTAGTGTCAGGGAGCCACACTTAGCCTTATGTAAAGTGAATATCAGTTGTATAATAAGATGAAGTAGGATGGCCCTGCAGCAAGAAACAAGAGCGACTGCTCTTTCCTCCTCCTCCCATCTTCTCGCTCTCCCTCCATCTGTCTCCTACTCCTCCTGCTCTCGTCTCTCCATCTGTCTCTCTTTTTTGTGCCCTCTTTTGTCCAAAGTTTGAACGCAGTTCATGCCAAAATATGTCAAAAAGAGGAGGAAGGACACGAGGGAGAGAAAAATCTATACAGAGACGGGGAAGGGAAAGTAGGCAAGGGGCGAATGAGCGCCTGAGGGACAGAAAACTAGGACACGAGGAATGAGAAATAAGGAGGAGGGCAGAGGGAAAGGTGTCATTGATTTTGCCCTAATGCCCCTCTCCACCCTTCTTCTCAGGACATCACTATTACAGGGCAGTGTGTCCCATTCTTTAATCATCTCTGCGATGTGGTCCACATTTCCACCATTAAAAGGCTGTTACAGTCTGTGCTATCAGAATGGTCAAGAGAGTGATAAAACCGCACAGAGAACAGAGAGGACATTTTTTTTGGTGTAATTAAGTCTGTTTAATCTGAGCTGGCAGAGAAGAGATCTGCAGCGACACTGTTAGCAAGAGGAAGAAAACCTTCTGCGAGCCCTCGGTCTGGATATCACTGATGTGAGTGAAGTTTCTGTCATCATGACGACCGACTTGGTCGAGACTCGAGACAATTTAAATCACAATTAGCAGTCAGCAGCTATTAGCGTCCGGATCCTACAGTAAAGTAGTAATAAAAATGCTGTCAACACGATGAAGCCGGCAGACACTATCACTATAACTCACTGTTGGAGCCCTCGAACTTTATGGATATTTAATTGTGGTTTAGTGCTTACTGTCATTTCCATTATGAAAGAGGCTGGTGCCAAACAGCATTCAGTAAGGGCAGTCATAACTTTGTATTTTCATGTCAAGCTTTTGATTGAATAATCTCATATTTACAAACAGTTGAATAAGGCTGGTGAGTGTTTCAAGATATTTAAAGAAAGGGAACCAGCCTCTGATCACTTTAGAAAGGCCGTCAATGCTGTCTTAGATCACTCAACCAAATTCATTGACCGTAAAATTTCAGATTGATCACGACTGCTCTAGATCAGTCTGATAATTTAAGATGTCCCAGACTAAAAGATACAAAAGATTAGAGGATGAAATCTGGTAGAGCTGTAAGTCAACACTCTGTGATGCTGAATCCTGTCAATCAGAACGAGTGAATCAGCTCCTTAATGTACAGCAACTCTTTTCCAATCACTTCCCATCTGCCAATCCCGACAGGCGCGCCCTGCAATCTGACTTAAACCTGCAACTCTATTTATTCCCCGTGTGCCTTTAAAGCTTTGCTCTCTGCACCAACATCCATAAATGACAGGAGCTGTGCGGTGAGACCAGCTTAACTGACGTTTCGAATGAGTGATGGTTACACAGCATCTCAACTGTTTTAAACTCAAACTAAGATCCTTAACATGAGTGCATGAGCAAAAAGAAGAGAAACAATATTGACATGTGTAACGACGGGCTCGAGAACTCACCAATGTTAGGGTGCTTCAACAGACGGCAGATACGAGCCTCCCTCTCCAGTTTCTGATGGTCTGAGGAGAGAAAAGTCAGCATTTACACAGAGTTCGTTAAAAGACAAAGTGCAGTAGAGCAATTTTAAGACAACATGTTTTTTGCACAAGTGCTTTTTATTTACTGGATACAAAATAAATAATGTAAACAATGACAAATCCTTCATTTTAACAATTCTGACACTGCTATAGGTGGATGCAGTTTTTTCTAACCTCTCAAAAGCACTAATTCATGTCTTTGTTTGTATTATTTATGCCACTCTGTTTAATGGTAGGAAGGGAAAGAGATACAGAGAAGAAGTGGGCGGTAGATGACATCAGGGTTATTGTGGACCTATACAACCAAACCCTTAAAACACAAAACAGACAAATTTCATGAAGTAAATTCCACTCGACTTTTACACGCTCTGCTTTGCTTTCTGCAATCACTGGCGTAAGTGAAGGTTTATGGTAAAACTAATAAAACTTTGTGACCACACAAAGCTAGCTATGGGTCATTAGCGCTGACAATGCAGAGACCTTTTTCCCCCATCATGCCATTGCTCAGTTTACATTTACAACCAGTTTAATGCAGCCAGTGCTGTCAGCGCATTCACTTACTGTATATGTAGCAAATAAGCACTTAATCATGTTCTTTGAGTCAGAGGGGAGGCAATCTTTGACTCTCATTTTTTCTATTTTTATTCTAAGTACTCAATGAATTATCAAATTTTACATTACACAATATGATACAATACAATGTGATAATATATAATGCACTAGGGCCCGACCGATTTATCGACCAAAATTCGCTGATTTTCACCTATATTTACAGAAATAAAATGCGGAGAATAAGATCCGGTTTCACTTTGAAAATGTTCCACCATTTGAAAAGTTCCCCGACTTATCCTGTAGATGGCGCAGCGACATCATGACAATCTTCACCCGCTAATGACCTCACAGCACAGCAGAGTGAAGGATCTGAAGCAGGCAGCTCAGGGACGCATGGAGGAGAGTGGTCCACCTCAGCGGTAAATAAACCAATTTGTGAAGTACACAATAAGTCAACAAGTTTTAGTTCAACCTTCTTCACGATGTTCCCTGCTGTGCCGGTCTCGGTCACGCCGAGTTAACGGTGAAGCACCATGTAATATGCAAGCTAAAGTTAGAGTTAGCCACCTGCTATTAGCCTTGCTACACTGTTAGCCGTGCCAGTAACGGTAGAATAAACAACAGTACACATTACGTGATCGAGTTACTTCTCTTACTGAGGCAGCTGCATGTCTCCAGATGAGATCGGACCGGAAATGTGTAATCTGAGTTACGACGCGGAGAAAACGCTTTTATGGTCCGAGTTTGATCAGTCGGTCTTTTTGTTGGCGTTGAGACAAGTAGCCTACAGTATATCTACACTATATAGTATACTGCAGATATCTACTGTAGATATCTGCAGTATAAAAAAAATTTATAACTTAATTTAAAATTTCAAAAAATCGGCCGATTAATCGGTGATCAGATCCCCCCACTAATAATCGGTATCGGCATCTGCCCCAAAGAATCCATATCGGTCAGGCTCTATAACCCACAATTTGATATGATACAGGATACAATCCTTTACCATATGATACGATGCAATAACGTTTAGCACAGTACAATGCTAAATTATAAATATGTGGCACCAGCCATGGGACAGCTCACAGGTTGAGATGATGTACTACGAAATCAATATTCCGTCCCACCCTTAATATAAACAGTCCCTTAAAGAGGCTGAGGCAACGTCTAGTCGTAAAACCTTGCGTGTGAATACTTGCTGACTGTTATTAAACTTCCACTGACTCACCCGTGTTTCCTTTGTAATGATTGTTTATTGAAGCATCAGTCACTGAGACAGCTTGATCACACCGCTAAATTAAGTATGTCAATGCAAATATTGATAAAGCGAGAGCTTATTTGTGCCACATCGATTTGTTTTGTGTATTTAAAGGCAAATGTTTCGGGCCGTGACTCTGACCTCAGAGTAAACCACTTTGTTTAAGGTAAGTGGCTGCATTTGCCTTTGAGAGGTAACAGGTGCATTTCAGTAAAATACCGTTGACCTCATGGCGTGTATAGTTTGATTTAAGAGTATTAAACTGTTTGTGGATACAAAGCAGGCTGTGTGGAGTTGCGCTTGCCAGAGTATGTGTGTCTATGTGTTTGTGTAAAGGGTTAGTGTGAAGCACAGTTAGACAAAACATTGGAGTGTTTGCTCTTCAGGCTTGGATGGGACGCTCGTAACACACACACACGCACACACACTCATGTCCAAACAAACATCCTTGTTGGGGATTTGACTGAATCCTGTAGCAGTATGTACGCCTGTTTGTACAAGATGTCAGTGTGTCAACCACATGAAACTGTTAAACTGCTCCCTCTTGTCACTTTTCGAGCCATGTAGCTCAGGTCAAAGGTCGTGTGTGAGAACTGTGGTGAGGATCCTGCGTGGCTCCGGTGTGTGCGTGTGTATGTGTGGAAACATGCGGGTTATCGCTGTGGTCGAGCTGACTCCAACCCAGCAGCTCTAGTGCGATTGCACCACACAGAGGCAGGCTCTCTTAGATTTGCATTCATTTCCCCAGTGCAGCAACAACCGCAGATAAAATTCATATGCTGTTGCTGAGCAATCAGCTGTCACCTTACCCAACTGTTCTTCTACAAAAGCATTACATATTTAAGAACGTACAGGAATAATTAGGGCGCACTCTCTGCAGCAATCTCCACCTTCTCTGGATGTCACGTCTGCCCCATTCTTCCCCTGCCTTTCTCTAACCTGTTGCTTACCTGGACGAGCTTTAACACTGCAGTCATTGTGTTTTTAGGCTCTGTCCATCTTCCTCTAGCCTTCCCTTCATCTCCCTGCAGGTATAGATTTTCCTCATCCGAGAGAAAGTCAGTGAATAAGGGAGAGACCTGAACCTCCTTCTAATTACACCGGTGACGCAAGACCGAGAGACAGACAGACAGAGAGAGAGAAGGAGGGAGGATTACATGGAACGTCCATTTGCTAGAGGAGGATCACAGCTCCCCTGTGTGCGTGTGCGTGTGTGTGTGTGTGTGTAAGTGTGTTTGTGTACTACCGTCTACCCTGGTGCAGTGTCACTGCAGCACTCACTAATTCATTCAATCTCCTTATTTGTTGGTGCGAGAGTGTGTGGTAGAAGAAGACGACAGGAAAGAGAGGGCTGCAGGGTAATTACTGGCACTTCCTGCTGCTCTCTAATTGGCCATCTGCTTTGCTACGGGGCGGGCCCACAGCCATCTTACATCAGCTGAGAAGGATGGAGAGGACCCGGCACACTCTCCGGCCCTACCCCGTCCTACTGCCCCAACCTCTACCCCTACCCTTCCCTCTCCGCCAAACATACGAAACTGACATTTGATGGAAGGCTTAAGGACTCAGATCAGTCGGAGAGTTCACATCAAAACTGTAACATAACAGCACTTTCTTTTGGACGGTTACTTCAACCCGAAAACTCAAAGTATTTTTTGGGTAGAGATGCATCAAGAGGCTCTTTTTTCCTAGAACACACTGTTTCTTGTATGTAAGTGTTCTCCTTGCTAATATCTACTGAGCTGCAGTGAAAGATCCTTAAATGTAGTTTTCAAAATCTGACACAATCGTGGTTCCTGCTTTTAACACAGAAGCCTCTTTCACACTGTAATTCCCCACTAGTGCTGGGACAGACTTCTGCCATCACTACGCCTTACACATAGCATCCTGAAACGGCGTAATATTGGCATCCTAGTGTGTGGTTACACATCGCATTACATCGTGGTGGAGGCACAAAACGCGTGGTTCATTAACACACGGCAGGAGTGCCACTTACACACACAGACATGCTTAGAAACGCTGCACTGTTCTATACTGCCAGCTTTGACGCTACTCAGCGGCCTAGCCCCGCCCTCTACAGGTTGCAAATTGCATACGAGGCGTAACATGGGCGTAAAAATCCCACCTTAGTAAGTACCCAGAGACAAAAGAGGATCAAGTATTTGCTTCTTGGCTCTCTTACTAATCACCAGGCTGTGTTAAATACTCAATTCTAATTGGTCAAAACCCTTTGTCAATGGTTATCGACTGTGGCTGCCAAGAGTGACGCCATAGACAACCAGATCACTTATCATGACACATATTTTCCTGATGTCTGCAAACGGTGCTGTTAAAACACAATATAATCTGAGTCATCCATCAAATTGAAGAAAACAGACACAAAGCAATCTTAAAGGGATATTCCGGCATAAAATTAAGTTAGGGTCAAACACACCGTGACACTGAGTTAGACACCCCCTTGAGAGATGAATGTTGCCGACTGCTTGTTTCTCTAGTTACACAAACTTTAGTAACGACCGCACGATAGCAATACACAGCAGTCTCAGGAAACCTTATCCAAAATGCCACTCTATAGCAACAAATGATCAGAAATGTTCTTCCTTGAGCTGCGTCACCCCTCAGCAGTCCATAATAGACTGGCCCGAGGTCTCGCTACAAACAAGCTGCTGCTGGAAGGGTGTTGGTGAGTTGTGTTTGGTCTCTCTGCTGAAGAAACTAGGCAAAGTTAAAAAGATGTTTGGTGGCTAGTGCTATGGCTAGGACCCTTTATGTATTGTTGATGAAGTTAGGTGCTGTTCTGAGCATTATCTGTGGCTATAGAGTGGCTTTTTGGTTGAAGTTTGTTTATGGCTCTGCAAACTGCTGTGTATTGCTATCGTGCGGTTGACAAGTTGGTATAACTAGAGAAGCAAGCAGTTGGCAACATTCATCTCTTGATTCTATTTTACAGAGTTATCCCTTCACTTCATAACTCATCCCGACTTAAGACTCTTCTAAAAATCCATCAATCAAACGATAGAATTGAGACTATACTTCATAAAAACTCAAATAAGTCATTTTTAAAAATCTGATAAACCAGTTTAGGTTTTAACCACTTGATTTAAATAACCGTCACACCCACCTATCTTCAACTGTCCTTCAAAAGTTGTTGAACTAACATTACAAGCCTTTTAAAGCTTGTTTTAATAATATAGATCTTAAATGTTCAAACCCATTGCTCCTACACAGTGAAGGAAATGCATATATAACTGCCATTAGGTCAACATGGTAACCACTACACAAAAAACCGTCCATCAGTTGTCTCTCTCTAGTAATTTGAAGCAGTGTGTCCAAAGTGTTTTTCCCCTTACTGGAGAGATGCCAGGTGGAAAACCCTTAAGAGCGCTTTGGAGGTGCAACGGTTTTTGAGCTGAGGCGCTTCGGTTGCTATGAAACTGAATACCCTTTTAAGTACAAAAAAAAGGAGGCATAGTAGAATTCTTGCTCAGGACAGAGGATAGGATACCGCATGAAAGGAAAGAGGATGGAAGACCAGGCGGCTTATGTTGGTGTGTTCAACTTTGTGGGCAAAGAGCACCATCAAACACCATGACTGTATGGGCAAGAGTAGGAGTTGCAGTGGCTAACCCTAACCAAATATTTAAAATTCAGTAACATTAAAACACATAAAATGCAAAGTCCTACATAGATAGGTGCTTGTAGCATAATGCAAATATGCAAATGGCTTAAAAATGTCTGCTGGCCTACATAGAATTGCTTTGGTCGACACATACGTGAGTCAAGAGGCTCCTGGAAGGACAAACATTGTGCTATGGATCAAAGCTTAAAACATTGATGAGACCAGGTTATTATTCTGGAGTAGATCAGAAATACTTTAATTATCAGGCGGCTACTGTGTCAGGTCATGGATCAACCATCAACTTGAACGTATGCTGAGCTCAACTTCCATACTGGTAGTTTACGGGTTGGTGAAAACAGATATAACCAGAAAGAGCTAAGGAACGGCTTCCTGTGAGCACGATGTCGGTCTTCACATAGTAAGACAGTTAAACCCCTTTAAAAAACAATATCTAATACACTGGTGCAAGTTAAGATACTAACTTGACTGTTGTTGTCTCTACATGACCATTTAAATTGTCGTATATAAATGTGCGGACCACAGTTAAGCTCTACAGTTTTTCAGCCATTTTCTCTACCACTTTTTAGCTAGGTAGCTCCGTCATAAATAAGACTAAGCTTACCTTCAGACCTTCATGAAGGAATCCTTCAGGTTGTGGAGGAAATATAGTGTCAAAGTTTGAGGAGGGACTAAGCTGAAGTGAATGAGTAGGTCAACTGCCTAAGTTAAACCAAAAATGTCTGTTTTATCAGGTTTTCAGAATCTCCTCCAAGCATCAAGCATCAAGACTGATTGGCTTAGTTAAGAAAAAGAAGGTTTGGGTTAAATTTGGGGTTTTTCACACGGGACCACAACAGCAGTCTCCTTGGCGAAAGAGCTTTTTGGAAGAAAAGGCTGAAAGGCAAATATAAAGCATGCCTTTTTTGTCCCAACCTACAAGTTCTAAAGAGTCGACTTCTCCTCGAATTAGGTTGAATACCCAACAATGAGTGCAACACCAGGCCTGCTCAAAAGCCTCTCAAATAAGTGGAAATGTCGGCTGTGATGAAGAGGTCTGGGATCAAGCTACACCCCTGGAAGAGGGGACTGCCTAGTCCTGGAGGTTTAGAGGTTTGTCATTAATAACAAAGAGAAAGATTTTGTCTGCAGGAGACGAACAAACTGGACTTAGGAGAAATTTTGCAACAGCGTTTTGCAATAAATAACAACAGACACCAGTAAATACTTTCAGGGACAGAGGTTTAAGGGTGGTGCTCAGAGTAGATGGTCTGCCTCACCCTGTCTCTCTTTACCCCTTCTTACACGCACACACTGACAAACACACAGAATGTTGCAGCAGACAATGCAGCAGCCAGCCACTTTTCACATTCACTCTACTCATAGACGAGAAATAAAACTGAGCATTCACTCAACACAATGACACTTGTTTCACGCCATCATAACACTTTAGGCACCAAATACGAACACGAACATTTTTAAAAGAATCTATCCTGATGTTCTCGATTTAGTTTAGATATTTTTCTTTGTACAGGTCAACTGATAATTTCTCCAAATCAATCTTAAGTCGGCTCGTCTTGTCCTCTTCCTATAGGTGCTTTTCTTTGAATTTTTAAGGGATTTACTGTCTTTATTTGTCTGGTTAACTGCTGACACAAGGTCTCCAGAAAAAAGTTTGTGGAGAAACTATGAAAGACTCTTTCAGGAAGAGAATCAGATGGATGTATATTTGTGGATGCGTGTGCGCATACAAGGCACCATACTGCCCACACGCATCCACCCCCAAACTGCCTGTAGGCCGGACCATCTCACAGCCATCTTCCTACATCCATCCCTTGTATTCTGTCTCCCCTTGCTACCTTCCTTCTCTCATTTCCTTCCTTCCTACCTTTCCCCCCCTTCCCCCTCCTCAGATTACTGCAGTGTTTACCAGAGCTTTGAGAGACTTACCCACCAGGCCACGCGTGAGGTCACACTCGCCCCATCAGGCTAAAAAAAACCCACCCAAATCCTACCAGGCAAGCTGCCTGCTCACGCACTGGCTGCCTGTGAGTGCGGACGTTGGGGTTTTATGTGCGTGTAGGTGCGTGTTACACTGGCCGTGCGGCCTACAGTGATTCTCCACTCTGCACAAAATCCTCTCGTTCCCTCCTGCGCTCGCTCTATCGTGCCTCATCTTTGTCTCATTTCACCTTGCTGCCCTGGTTTGGAGAGTTGCTGATCTCCTTGCAAGACTACATTGTTAAAAAATCTCCTCCTCTTCTTCCTCCTCCTCCGGCTCTCCTGGACAGCTTTCTTCTCCTCTGGCATACACGTACACACACAGGCCTACATTGTGCTGCCTGCCCCTGCAAAGAGCCAACAGTTTTCTGCTGAGCTCTTACTTTTCCTTGGTGGGACATTAATACCAGGAGCTGGCCTGTGTGGACACTTGATGGCAGGGATAGAACAATAACAGTATTACAACACACTCGCAGATGCCTCACAATGCAGACATACTCTATTAGTGTTACTCCCTGCCCTCTCTGTCTCTTTCACACACACACATGCCTTCAGACAGAGACAACAACAACAGGGCAAACAGGGAGGCGCCTATGGAATCTGTGGGGTCTTAGTGGTTGATGAGATACATTTAGCATAAGTGGATTAGCCTCAATACAAACCAATCCCCCTTTGCAAGAGAAAGGCAATGAGTGAGGGAGGCTTGCAGGGAAAGAGAGGACGTAAAGCTAATCAAAGAGAGAGAGAGAGAGAGAGTGTGTGTGTGTGTGAGCAGAAAAAGGAGGACAAAGGAAGCCAGGTGTGTGTGAATGTCAGGAAAGAGTGCAGGCCTAATTTGTCAAGATTCAAAATAGGAGAAGGCAATTAAGTATCTGAGTCTGAAGCCAAGAGGAGGATCTGACACACTAACACGAGCCGACGTCACTGTTACGACACAGCAGGCATGTGCATGTGGGTGTGGATCTGTGCTGAGACACAGCGAGTGACGCAACAAATAATATTCAGGAGACGCAACAATGAGAGACAGGAATAGTGTTACGCGTCCTCTGCGTGTTCCTCCGGCTTTGTTTGAATCCTATTTTTGTTCCCTTTTCACGAAGAGCCTCGCAGAAATTTGGATCAATCCGTTCACAGTCCGGTGTTTTCTAATGAAACCGCAGTGGAGCGACAGAAAGTTATTCAATAGAGTTTTTATAAAGAGGGCCATTAGGGCACCGAAAGGTTGCTGATAAGAGCTCCCAGTAGACCAGGTGATTGAATGAAGATTTCCTATAGCAGCGGACAACTGTGTTCGACTGTGTACTCTCCCCTTAGGCTGGACGAGTCAGTTATACATATGCTGAGAAATTAAAACGGTTCAAAATTGCTACACAGTACCACTACCAGGGCAGGAAGTTATCCCTCGATTACTCCTGATAAGCCAGAGCAACTAACACTACTTAGCGCTGTTAAGTCAAGCACAGGTACAGAAAACACAGTCTGATTTGGGAGCCTCTGGGAGGAAAAACTGAACAGTTTTCCTGTGCTAAGACCTAAAATTGCATTCAGCAAAGTCCACAATGTGCAGTTTCCATGCAGCCGTGTAGCTCTTTCTGGCAACATGAGCCAAGTCGAATCTGACTTCTTTCCTTGTCTGCAGCTAAGAAAATTGAATTATTGGCGTTAACGTGTCCAAGTCCCCAAAACTAGGGGGCGATATGGGTCTTTTCAGCAGCGATGTTACCCACCCCGTACAACTGTCAACAACAACAGCAAGTCCGTGCCTGACGTTAGAAGTGGCTACAACTGCTGCTGGGCATTTTCGAGCAAGAAGATGGAGCATCGTACACGCTACTTTTTCTGCAGATGAGATGCATGCTACTTCTCTTCTTTGGTATTTTTGTTTCGTGGTTATGGGGCGCACGCGCAAATGCATTGTCTGATCATACACCGACTACGCTAGTTAAATGGTAGAGAGAATTGAATTCCAATCGCATTATCTGGGTGTCTTAATCGGAGTTCTCAAACTTCGATTATAGTTGGACTAAGGTGTTTATATGCACTTCAGTTGTCCGGTCTTAATCAGAGTAAGGCAATAATTCAGTTTTCTCGAGTGTCATGTAAACATACTGGATGTGAGGTACTGGATCAGAACTCTAATCATCTCTCGTTTCATCTGATATTGATTAGTCTTTTAATCAACAATGCAGTGGTGTTTTTATACTTTATACTGTTACACCAGTGAAGAAGAAAATAGTATTGGATGTGCAAAAAAGGAAAGATAAATGGGAATGAGTGGAAATATCAGTCAGATTCTAGGTTGAAATGCTCCCTTGCTGATCTCTCTCAATGTGAAATTGCAAAATTCCAGAAGCAACAGCAGCCTTTGAGGACAAGAAGCACCTCTGATACATGATAACTCTCATCCGCTATTTATCAAGTTTTCACCATCAAAATCTCTGACCGATACAAATTCTTATGTGCACAAGAAGGACCGGCCTTTCTAGCTTCTTCTTTTTGTGCTACTGTTCAAACATAGTGGTCCAACATGGCGGCTTGGGGGAGGGTGACATCCTGCTAATATACGACATTAAGTTCAACGAAGTCTGTTCTACTAAACGCTGTACCTTTCATGGAAATATTAAACAGTTTTTTCAGTGATAGGATGAAGCAGTCCAGTCACATTTCTTCTTCTTTATATAATTTATAGAAAGATTACTGTGTGCCATTTATGACAGCTGTCGTCAAAGCAGCATGTAGCTCATTTTTTTGGATCCAGAAGATAAAAAGGCAAACATGCAAAATTCAGAGTCTGTTGGAGTGTGTGGTGTTACCATACCTCTTGCCGACAGCTTCTTAGTGTTGATGATTTTTGCAGCATATTCCTGTCCTGATGACTTCTTTACACACCTACGCACCACTGAAAAAGCTCCCCTAAGAAAGAAGAACATAAACAACCAAAAATCAGTTCCATTACACACGCTCGTTTTCTTTCTCACATGCGCAAAGTGTGACATTTTGAAACTGCTCTTATTTTTATGGCGGTGGTTTGGTTTTGTGTGTGTATGCTAACAACCTTGATCTCTCTCACTCTCTCACACACACACAAATACACAAACAGTTTACAGTCATTACTAACAGAGCATCAGTGTGGGCAACAATCAAGCAAACCAGCACCTGTATAACAAGACTCTCGAGTGCAAACACGAGTTTAGGCTGTTTTTATTGTAAATAAAGAGCTGAATACTTCATCTCATTTTTTGATAGGCGCACAACACAATACCACCAGCAGCCCACAAAGGAAATTCAATTTGCACCAGCCAGCATATAGAACAGGCTGCATCACATACAACAATGGGCATATTGAAGACATTCACATGGTAACAACGCTCACTTATCAATCTGCTCGAGGAAAAAGAAAGGAAGTGCGTAACACACTTTTAACAACTCTCACTCTGAGGAGTTTCATATTGACCTAGTTGAACGCTCCATACATTTTCACCTGCTTTCTGCTTCAGTGACTGTTCGGTTTTGAGCACCATAGGACGAGTAATTATGCATGATTTTCATAGAGCCTGTACAGCCTGCAGTATCTGCCTCTATGTAGCTGCTGTCTTTAAAGGGGACGGCAGCCTTTTACTACTTTTGATGATATACGGAGAGCTGCTACTTTTATGCTGCACTCTGCTCCAGCCACTCTGCTCCTTGTTTCAATTATTTACCAGTAAATGAGAGGTGACAGGTGACAGAAGCACAAGTCAGGGCCTTGATGTTAATAGCCTATGACGGAGCAAGATGCATTAACAAACGGGAGCAGAAACATAAGCCGAGGTAAGTGGTCAGTGCACTGAAGATGCAGGAGCGGTAAAGCCCGGATCCACTATGGAGGAGGATGTGTAGGTGTGCATATGTGTGTGTACTGCCTGTGCAATCAGCGCCATCGATTACTGTCAATTATTCGGCAAGAGAGTAGAAACGGCGGCTGGAAAATTAAAGCTGTTGTGTCTTTATTTATGCTAATCCTTCACTAAAAAGCAGGGACTGTTACTGAAATTGAGATCCTTTTGTTTCATGAGAAATTGAGAAATTTGTGCAAAAAATATCACTTAATATTAATATACATAGTTTTAAACAATGGCTAATACACAAACAATTTTGCAGACATTTCAAAATCCTACACAAGTGTGATCACAAGTATTCAAGTACAACCTGTTCCTCTTAATTGCATTCAAGTATTTGAACCTACTTTTACCTTGTGACTATGAACAAGAAGTACTGCTGATGTGAATGCGTCCTGTGTGCCGATATCACACATGCTGTATTTGAATGGGAACAGAGTAGAGATAACTTTGCAGTTTTTGCAATGAGGCTGGATGAATCAACAGCAGAGCAGCCTCCTGATAGAAGGTATGATGGTGAGTGAGACGTTATGAATCATAATGCACTGGGATACGCAGAGTTGAGAGGCTTTAAGGTTGGAGGTGACGCTTGTTTACTGCAATGTGGACAGAATTGTAGATTGTGCAGCGTGAGATAGGGCTGGACGATATGGGAAAAAGTTTATCCTGATATAATTTTTGTCATATCAGTCAACATCGATATATATCACGATATAAAATATGAAATTTAAGAGTGCTTATTGGTAGCATGTCTTTTGCAATACAATAAGCTACTGCATCTGTGAGGTCTTTGGCTACGTTCACACTGCAGGTTCTTATGCACAACTCAGATTTTTTGTTTAATCCGATCTTTTGTGCGGTCGTTCACATTACAACAATAAATGCGGCATCTAATGTAAACTGAATGAGTCTGTGAAGTGACCCACATGCGCACATAGCACAAATTGCTTTCCACGCATTTTTGTGTTGTCGAACAATGGTGACGTTTGTCGCATATTGATGACGTATAGGTCGGATGAACGCGACCTGAGCGTTCACACTGCAGTCACATCGGATACATATCTGATTTATATCCACATTCAAAATTTGAAAAAAATCAGAATTGCACTGTTCACACTTACATGAAAAAAAAACCAGATATGTGTCACATACAGTTAAAAAATCGGAATTGACCTGCAGTGTGAACATAGCCTTTACGTCTCTTCAACATGTCGTAAGGCGTTGCGCTAGAGGAAGCAGACTGAATGGTCGGCTGTTTCAGCTGCACAGGCGCCATGGGCTCCTTGCTCCACTCGGGGTTTGTAACCTTTTACATTGCACGTCCTCTGCCGCGTGGCACTGCTTCAGGTGGTGGAAAAGATTCGAGTTATTTCCCGACTTTGCGAAAACATGTACTCGACATAATTTGCAGTGCACATTACTCTGCACCAAAATACCTCCACACCACCTACGTTTTCATGCCGGTGTTGTTGACGATGTCATCATCTGTTGAGCCTTCATCTGCATTTCTTTATTTCTCACAAGTGTTGTTTTCATTGACGATAACAATGATGTTGACGAATATATTTCATCAACGTCATCGTCAATGAAAACAACACTGCAGAATATATGTTAAGCGTTTGACTGATGAAATGCAACATTTTAGTCATCTAAGACTTATGTTTAGCTCGTCAACGTCATGTCTTCGTCGTAGAAAAAAGGGGCGTTGACGAAATATTGGTTATTTTCGTTGACGATGACGTTGATGAAATATTCATCAACGTCATCATCAACAAAAACAACACTGTTTCTCACCGTGTTTAAGTGCAATGGTTGCGTGTCGCTGCAGCCTGCTACTACGCTGTTGTTAGCTATTTGTTTCTAATTCAGCACATGATCGGTTTAGCGCGAAGCAGACCTGGAGCAACTCCCCTTTTCATTGGCTATTTGTATAGTTTACCAAAACACAGCAAAATGACGACTATGGAAATCAATTCTTGATATATATCGTTATTGTTTTGTCACCCAGCCCTAGCGTGAGATGAAACATGATTTGTTTCTACATCAAAATCGCATTTTGACCTTCAGTCTGCATGACAGGCCAGTGTCGCCCTGCAGCCTCTGGTTTGGGTACAACAAGGGGGATGGGGTGGGTGGGGGGAAGAGCCTTCGCCGGCCAAGAACAACAGATGCTGCTGCTGCTGCTGCTGATGATGATGATGATGGTGATGAAACAGATGAGGTAGTGGCCCGGTCCTCAGAATACCGAGAAAACACGTCACTGCCTCTTGCACAGTGCACATAAAATTACCGCTAATACTGACAATGCTCAAAGTGGAATTAAGCCACAACACATTCAAGGATAACACGACGTGATGATCCGGCCAGCTGGTGTGCGGACATTACAGCGCAAACATCAACGCAGAGGAAATAACTTCCTCATTAGTGATCCAGGGGTACGTAACGTTACTCAACACGGTTACACAAATCATCTGCAGCTGCTCAGGGGTAGGGGGGAGAGGAAGAAAAAAAAAAGTGGTCGGCCTAGTTAGCTACCGACCGCAGCCTTTTTGGTGTATCGAGCCAAGCACGGAGCTGTCAGAGACCCAGGGGCCGGTGAAATGTCACACAGGCTACCGTCTCCAAAGCGTCTCTCGGGGCCCCGGTGACGCCTCCAGCAGACCAGAAAATACCGGCTAGCAAACACGGGGAGGGTGGGTGGGTAAGGGGGGGGGCAACAGCTGTTAATGCACCAACCACATCACCATTAGTGACTAAAAGACGCAACGCTAGTGAGGCTAACTCGGCTAGTTTATCAATATCAGCATGGTAGCTGGTTGGCTAGTGACTGTACGTTAGTGCGCTGTTCTCTGCTAGTTAGCCGTTAGCGACGGTTATCCAGCCTGACTGCACCACTACAATAACACACTCGTATATACACGAACTGACACATTATTTATGCGCTGAAAATGACAAGTCTTGAAGCTATTCTGGTGAGCTACTGCCTCGTAGCTCGCTAACCAGTAATAATGTGAGGCGAGGTTGCGGGGGTGGGGGACAAAACGACAAGACAAACACGATGCACACACTGTAATGCTGAGACTACTGCTTACTTCCCGAGCTCCTCGTACAGCTGGTACTCGTCGGTAAACCGGGTGGAAGTAGCGGTGGTTGCCATGGTTGGAGCCGCTGAGTGGGGGAGCCCGAGCCTTGGGGTACGACGGTGGCTGGCTCTCTCTCGTGCGGGGTCCGGGAGGAGGGTAGCCTAGCCTCCAATACTGGAGTACCTTTCTGACAGGCAGGCAAGGCTGAAGAGGATAGAGGCGAGCAAGAGACGGAAAAGGAGGGGCTGCTGAGAGGAGGAGGAGGAGGAGGAGGAGGAGGTGGAGTGATGATGATTGTGTGTGTATGTGTGTGCGTGTAGTAAAGGGGAGGAATCCTCGCGAGAATAGGCTCGTGCAGCATGAGACCAAGGCCTCCACAGTTCTAATGATGGGAATTACGACTCTTTAAAGTGAACCAGAACTTTTGGCACACCTCAGCAAAAAGAGTCGGTTCTTCCGTCCCTGAACGGCTCTTGAGCATTACCTTTTGAGCTTATCACATCTTGTCAAGACTTCGAAAAAAATGAAGATTTCAAGATTAAAGTCATTAATTTACCAGAATAAGTCTTTATTAACAAAAATAAAGGCGTAATAAAATCATTACATACGAGAATAAAGTCGTTTTAAAATCATTTCTTACAAGAAAAAAGTTGTAATAAAGTAATTACTTACGGGAATAAAGTTGTACTAAAATCATTTTAACGAGAACTAAGTCGTAATAAAATCATTACGATACGAGAATGTTATTCTCGTAAGTGACTTTGCTCTCGTAAGTTAGTGATTATTTCACTACAACTATATTCTCATAGGTAATACTTTGTCACGACTATATTCTTGTCAGTAATTACTTTATTATGACTTTATTCTTGTGAGTAATGATTTGAGAGGAGGAGGTGGAGTGATGATGATCCTGTGTGTATGTGTGTGTGTGGTAAAGGGGAGAATCCTTGCGAGAATAGGCTCCTGCAGAATGAGACCAAGGCCTCCAGTTCTAATGATGGGAATTACGACTATTTAAAGTGAACCAGAACTTTTGGCACACCTCAGCAAAAAGAGTCGGTTCTTCCATCCCTGAATGGCTCTTGAGCATTACCTTTTGAGTTAATCACATCTGACCTTTTTTTCAAGAATAAAAAAAAAAATAAGACTTGGGTCCTCAAGATTAAAGTCATTAATTTACCAGAATAAGTCATTACTAACGAGAATGAAGTAGAAATAAAATCATTACTTATGGGAGTAAAGTCATAATAAAATCATTACTTACAAGAATAAAGTTGTAATTAAGTAATTTCTTACGAGAATAAAGTTGTACTATTATGATTACTTATACGAATAAAGTTATAATAAACTCATTTCTTTCAAGAATAAAGTTGTTATTAAATAATTACTTATGAGAATAAAGTCATAATAAATCATTAATTATGAGAGTAAAGTCTTAATAAAATAATTTCTTACAAGAATGAAGTTGTAATAAAGTAATTACTTACGGGAATAAAGTTGTACTAAAATCATTACTTACGAGAATAAAGTCGTAATAAAATCAGATTCAGATTCAGACTTTATTGTCACTGTACATCAAGTTACAACGAAATTAGTTTAGGATGCTCTTCCCGGTGTGCAACAAAAGCAATAAATATAAGAACAATAAATATAAAAACAATAAGTGTAAAAACACACAGTATAAAAACAATTTAACATGGCCTTCTAATTATGTACATTTTTATTATGATACTTATGATAATGTGGTGCTGATGTGCCAAAAGATTAAGTCTCTCCTTGTTTGAGAAACCTATATTGATGGCTCTCATTTCAACAACTGTCATCTTAAACAACAGGTTAGAATAAAAGGACAAATATTTTACCTAAATCATTTTTGCACTTTTATTAGCTTCCTTTGGTCAGGGTGAAATCACACTTAATAGAACTTCTTGCAGTCAAGCTAATATACCTTTGTGGTCAGGGTTTTATTTTCTGTGCGTATATGTGCGTAAACCTAACATTTACCATTAATGCTGAAATAACACAAAGGTCCCACAGATGCAGTCCCAGAATGCATTCCTGTAACTACAACCTCTGGCTCTGCAGACACATACTTTTGGCTAAGGCAGCTGGTCCCATTTCAAATCTTGCTATATTTAAGAAATTTAGTATAACTCAAACAAACAGTGTCCAAACCATCTAAACTTTACTGATTAAAATCCATTTCTGGACATGCTGTTTCTTTAGTTTTTGCCATACTGCCACCCACTGGTGAGGCAGGAAACCTTGCATGACATGATGTAGTAGGATTACATGGAATTTAGATATTTGCCGTCATAGCATGGTGAGTGCAAAACACATGAAAATTACATCTTTACAGCAAAAAAGTTTAGGTTTTTATATCTCTTTTTTTTTATTCCTACTAACTCTACAGGGGGGAATTTTTTTAAATTGTATTTGACAATAACCCCCAAATAAAAAAAAGGAAAGCAAAGAAAAGGAAATTGAATGAAAAAGACTAAAACATGTGTGGATGCTTTTTAATGATACAGCAAACAAGATTTGACCGTCAACAGTGAAAAAGAAGAGGGTTATTTTTCAATAGACACTACTTGACTCTGTACAGGATAAGATAAGGAGAGACTGACCAGTCCACAGGAGTCAGACTGAAAACACAAACTGAAAGTTCCTTACAGCGGCTTTAAAAGGAGCCGGCTCTTCAAGTCAACTCGTTCCCAATCAGCACATCACTATCCAGTTCAGTGAAATCACAGAGAATGTGGAAAGATGGAGCTGAATTTTGGTATATGGACATTTCTCATCCCGAAAAGTGAATCATGATTATGTGAACATGTTAATGAATACTAGTCTATTGAGTAATGGGGCGTCGCATGGCTGAAAAAAGCATTCAAACCCAGCAGTGGTCTTGTCTTATACACAAGACATTGCAGGGGAACACCACACAGCAGCAGCAGCAGCAGCAGCAGCAGCAGCGTTTTACTGCACTGGCTGGGCAACACCCAAGCTTGCCTGGGTCACACTTCACTGCAGCAGGGAGGCAAACTGTGACAAATACATTGCATTTCTTCATGCACACACAGACACATACCCGAGGAATCAATATTGATTAATGCAGGTCTTGCTCTGAACACAGAGGGCCCCTCTGAACCACTGATTTTGCCTTTTGTGTCTGAGGGCTTGCACGTGTTTGTGCATAAGAGAGTGAGGGATGAGAGGAGAGAATAGTGTGACTGCTGTATCGGGTTTCCACTGACGAGCATGCACCTATGTTTTTCCACAGTGTGAGGGCTGTTAGCTTGGCGGCGCTAAAAGATGGTGTCACACAGATCCAGAGTGCCTCACTAAATGTTTAATGTGGCATGAGTGGGAGGCCATCAGAGGACAGGCGGGTGGGGCTGGAGGGAGCCATACAGCTTGAGAGTTAGAGGCCCTGTGAGTGCATGTGTTATTGCATGTCTATGTGTGTGTGTGTTTGTGTGTGCCTGCTCAGCACTCTGGCTCGCTTAGCCGGAGAGTGAAATGGTGATTTTGCTTGAAAATCTTTATGTGTGGTTGTCAGCGTGGGAACACAAAGCTGGAACACTGAAAAGTTCAAATATTATGAGGCCATATCTGCAAGTGCAGCCTGCTGAATCTGTGATGGAGAGCAAGAAAAAGCAGGCCAGCGTGTGTGTGTATGTGTGCGCGTGTTATGTGGAAGACAAATGAGCACTGCAACGTAGGCTACTGGCCCTCTCCTGCCCTCCTTTTCCTACGTGCTAACCCTGCTGCCTCTCCTCCTCTTCCTCCACCTCCTCAGCCTCCACAGAAGTTATATAATGGTGAACTCCTCAGCCTCTGTTATCTCACACCAACCACACACTACGCCTTGCCCGCTTGATGAGAGACAGAGGAGCAGAGGAGGGAAGAGGAGTGAGAGCACGGGAGGCCGAGAGAAAAGAAAAGTAGGATGGTTTCAGCTAAAATCAGGACTCCGCGAGAGAGAGAAAAGAAGAAAATCTGTGTGCAATTTTCCATACAGTAGTATTCTTATTTTTATTGTATTATTATCACAGTTAGACCTATCATTTTCCTCTTGAGCAACCTTACAACCACTCTCCAATATTTTTAACACTGCGTTGGCGTAGTTCTTGCACATGCGACTCAAGACCACCAACAGGTTTTGAATTACACGGTGAAAAAGAAAGAAGTCACACTCTGTGGGTCAATCCCTCTTAATATTTGGGGGCAGGGAATGTCAATGAAGATGGCAGCTATCTACACAGACACCACTTTGTGTTTCCATTCATCATATCCCCATGTCAGTTATTTTCCTCTGAGGTCAAATGCTGTTGTCAGGGATGTTCTGACGCCCTTTATATCCATATGGTGTTAATGGGAAATCTGAATTCCCACCACTGGAGTAGTCTCAGGTTGAGAAAAATTCAGAAAAAATTTAAGACGGTTGACTCAGTAAAAGGGTCTAAACTATGTTGAATGATTAATACCCACTTAAATTATATTATCATGATAGTTTTTGGACATATTTAAAAATGTTGTAGCTATAGCAGGCTATACTTTACACTTAACAAAACCTTGCTTAGTAGAGAAGGAGCCTGTGTCCATAAACATCCAATGGTAAAATACATGAAGTCTGTAGAAAGGATACAAGGAGATCTGAAATTACAGTATAAATCATAGTTATATTATCGTCATCTCTTATTTTTAGTACTTCATGCAGTCAAAGAGCAAAAAAATGTGCTAACATCATATTAGGCAGTTTTTCTTGTTAGCTCTAGATAAAAGAAGCAAGGTATGATGACGAATTTTCAGCCATGTGATTGCACATTTACTGATTCGTTTGGAATTCTATATGTAGGTTGCAAAATCTGTTCGGGAAAGCAAGGTTATATGAGCATAGACCTGTAAATGTTTTCCAAAATAGTTATAGACTAGCATCTTTGGAGATAATATTTTAGGTTGATGCATGTGTATTTCAAGATTGGGAGCCCACAATCTCGTCTTTTTATAGACAATGCTGAAAAAAAGTAACATCGTCAATATCTTCAACTAATGCAAATAAAACCCTTTTTTGGATGATATTGGATTTTGTGCAGTTATGCCGTTATGAAGTGTTCTCACATTTTTTAAACTAAATATAGCTGCAGGCAGCAGAGGAAACTGGTCTAATCCAGTTGTATTAGCAGTAGAAAAAAATCTGCCCACCTATCTTTCTTTTTGTATGAAGCTTACTGCAGTACACCCATGCAGGAATTTGACATGCTCTCTTGGAGCGAAAACAGCCCTGTGGTATGATCTGCAGAGCCAAAATATCACAGATCTGTTTGCAGCTTTCTCCCATGCTAA